CACCCACCTCCCCCTCTTTTCCTTCTCCCATCCAATTTCTAAATATGCGTTGCCATGGCAGCACCCATAATAAACGTGTCGTCCTGATACATTTCAGGATAAAAGTGTTTCAAAGTTTTTCTTTTTTTCCTTATTCAAGTAAATTATAAGGGACGCTGAATCCTTAGTGCATTGTAACAACAACCGCTATGTGGATTAGAATGTCATTACACTTGTCAGTGCCAGTGGCCATCCTCTTGAACTTTGTCAATGGCACATTTTATCCATAATACAGAGTTTCCCTGAAACTCACGTAACAACAACAATGTCCATGCAATGCGGTCTGGAGCTCTTGGATGTAGAAGAGTTATCATTTTGAATACACGTTTGAATGCATCAGCGATAAACCATTGGCCCTAACGGTCTACGTTTGCAAGTGCGGTATGGCATTCTTTCATGATGTAGGAGCGTTATCCATAAAGGATGATAAAAGCTTTAATACATAGAGAGGGACGGCTGATCCTCCAATAGTATTGGCAGCTATTAGATGGGTCATTGTACTCACCATAGTAATCTACATTGCATAACGGGTTGTGGGATCATACAACGTGGTACCTGAAGGTCCCCCATGTAATTAGCCAAGGCATAAGAGTAAACACGCTGTTGTCAATGCACTCCATGCACTTAGATCTAGCACGGCATGATGCCATTGTATATAAAGTTGCAGTGTATCATTTCATTTACCAGCAGGAGTCACTTTTCATGGTGGCTCGTTGTCTCCCGGCATCATTCGTATTCTTCATACATTGAAGAAGAATGAGCGTCGAGTAGTACTCTTGGAGGAATTGCCTTCCATTTGGCGCTATTTATGTAAACGAGCAGGACCTTGAAATGCTGAAACGTTGCGCGAGACCTATTCGTTTATGCAGCATAATGACGTCTGATGATGATGGGACAATGTAGCCACCGGAAAAAAGAATGCACTCACGCAATAACATGATGAAGATCGATGATCTCCGATTGCCAACATGCTATATTGCATTTACTACGACCTGCGTAATTCCTGTTTCACATGCATACGTTAGTAGCATTGAGCACTTTTATGTCGGCTTTACCTTCTTTTGGAATGAGCTCCATAATAAGCTGATGTGAACGTATGGGCTATTTCTGTAAACGTTACAGCAGCAGCAATCATGTAATAAACAAGCTACCAGCTGCGATGCAGCACGATTAAAAAAGTATAGCTTGCAACGTCCAAGCATGTCCTCAGGGATGTAGTAGGTGAGATGACACGTTACATTGATTAGCAACAAACACATGTCATTCCAAAAGGTACAGCTGACAGGTGGGACAACAAATGGATGGTGTCAGCAGCAATAACAATAATAGTATGTATCTTTGACGCTAGTAGTAAACTGACAACATGTCGTTTTTATAGATCGGAATAATAGCACAAACCCGCTTATGGCAAGATTCATTTTGTTTTCGTAAGAACATGATGCATGTCGCAAGCAAGAAGAAGAAGAAGAAGTAGAAGGGTATTGAAAGTGATGAAAATGCAGCTGCTGCAGGCGATGCTACGATAGCAAGATGCATGCCATAGTATACCCTAACAACAAGAACAAGGGCAATCCAGGGTCATATTCTAGTCGGGACCAGTAAACAATAGATGTTAATAAGGTGATCCTGTCAATGATGATGATGATGAACATGTTGATAGCAGGGTTATAGTTCAAGATTTGCGATTGTAGTCGGTAGATGATGGGTGTACAAGCTACTTGAAATTAGCTGATTTTAGTAGTAAAGCCTGTATATGGCTTGATTCCCAGTGTAAAACAAAAATGCAGTTACTTAATAAGAGCAAATATAATTTTGTTATCTTGCGTCGACTCCCAAATCAAACCATGTCCGAAGAATACGGGATCGAGAATTGTTATAAAAAGAAGATGTACGGGAGGAGATGAGGATGATACTATCGATTGGGATGCAACTTGTCACTCTTTTGATATCATTGATCTGCTTGTTGTCATGCCATCAACACCATACAGCGTGGGCTCATCGTGGTGGTGGCAGGACAAGGACATATGAGCTCAATATCACGTCCGAAAAGATTAACCCAGATTGTCACAATGAAAGCTATCCACATCTTTTGGTGAATGGTCAATTTCCTGCACCTCCTATTCGCGTTACAAAGAACGACCATGTCCACATTGTTATCCGCAACCACATTGACACCAACCAAAGCACCACAATCCACTACCACGGCATTCTACAGATTGGCACATGCGAAGCCGATGGTGTCCCTGGCATAACACAAGAACCCATCAAGCCGGGCGAGGAGTATCACCAACGATTCCAAGTCATCAACCAAGCCGGCACGTATCACTACCACGCTCATGTGGGACTACACGACGACACTATCATTGGACCCTTCATTGTATATGAATCAGACGAGGCATGGCCTGACGATGAGTGTGACAACAACAACAAAAAGAAGCTCAAGGATGGACCCTATGAATATGATGATGAACGCGTGCTACTGCTATCCGAGTATTGGCATATGACAGATGAGCAACGTATGGCGTATACGCTTGGCACAAGCTATAGAGGCATTGCACTTGCTGATAGCTACTTGTTCAATGGACGCACCGTGTATGATCCAAGCAAGAATGACAGCAAATGCCCTGGCTATTCAGTTATCAATGTGGAGCCCAATTCTGTTTATCGACTTCGTTTCATTGGGGGTGTCACAGCTGCAGGTACGATATAAAGGTTCTCATAAAAGTATGATGATTGCTAAAAGAAAGATTTCTAGTGCTTAGTCTCAACATTCATCAACACAATTTCACCGTTATCGAAGTCGATGGCAACCTTGTCAAACCATACGACGTCTCTTACTTGGAAGTTGCACCGGGTCAACGCATGTCGGTTCTAATGCGCACTTTGGATGCAAAGGATGGCGAAAGTTTCTTTATCAATTCGGCCCCACGGCATGTAGCAGCATCCTCTGGTAATGGACGTGCTATATTAAGATACAAACGGGCTTGTCAAAAGCATCAATCAGCCATTGCAACACCAGCAGATACAGCAATGACAGCTACCGATACGACACTTTTGCATCTACCAGCAGCCAAATCGCAATGGATCTTTCCCTATTTGGAGCCACTCAATGGAGAAGGCGTGGATACCAGTGGACCCCCTGATCGTACGGTGGTGATTCGACCCTCGGAAAAAGTGATGCCTGACAACACGACACGATGGTTCTTGAATGATCGCTTATATGAAGAATCGACGCATATGCCTATCCTTCATCGCATTATGGAGCAGTCTCATCATGAACGGCTCAACATTCTCAATTCATCATTATCTGCAGTGGATGGTTACGATTCCAATTTAGGGGCATATGTGACAGCCTACAATGAAATTGTTGACCTTGTCATTGAGACCACCACCATTGCCAATGGCGTTTGTATCGGGCATCCATGGCATACGCATGGGATGGTGCATCACACTTTGGCTTCAGGTCCTGGTGAATACAATCATGAACGTGACAAGGATAAACGCACATATCAAACTCCTGCATTTGGTCGAGATGTTACCTTTGTTTATCCTGAACAACCGGGTCCTCCTCCAATGACTCCAGGCGATCAGCTTTGTGGGTGGTCAAAAATCCGAATTCAGACGGTGAGTGTGTAACTACCATCATGCAGCAGACCAGCTGCTGGGTTGTTTGAAAAAAAAGCTCATTTCTTTTCTTTCTTTTGTGTAGACAAATCCCGGAGCTTGGGCCGTTCATTGCCATATCACTATGCACATGTTGCAAGGCATGATGATGGCACTTGTTACAGCACCCGACAGAATCCATTAGTCGTCGCCTTGTCTTTTTTGTGTTCTATTATGTACAATAGCTACCACTACAACAACAACAACTACCATCTACCTACACCACTATTTTACAATACGCATTGTTTTGTTCTCATGATCCTGCAGTGTGATTCAATTACATCTCAGTCATTTTCCAATACAACATCACACATTTACACGTTACTGAAGGGTTACAGCATGATGATGATAAGATTGATCTTCCCTGCTGCTGTGCTGCAACAACATGCAAGCCGTTTATCTTTCTCCACCATCTTCTCCTTTGTTCATTCGCTCTCTTTGTTTTTCAATTGCATTGTGATTTGCCTTATGTCTATGATCTCTATTACCAGCAGCAATGGATGCATCAACAACATGTGGTGGCAACTGCTGAAGAAGAAACAAGGTTGTTGGTGGCAAGCTTAACCTTTAATGGATAAATGGTGAGTCGCGAGGAAACCTGTGTAACAAATAATGCTCAAGCAAAAAGCCGAATGCCATTAGGAATGCAATGCATGATGAACAAAAGAGCAACACCCAACTCCTTTTTATTCCCTTTTTTCTTTTTCTCTTTTGTACCTTTACCTTCTTCATTACCAACCACATCTACCCCCCACTCTATTTCTTTGGTTTTCTTTATAAACCATTTCTTCTTCTACTACTACTACTACACGCATGATCCCCATCACGGGCGTGGCAGCTGGTATGCATCATCGTTCGTTGAGGTCGATATTATCCTCCTATTGACTCTATAGTTATAGAACGCTCTCAGCAGAATCGAGCAGCAGTCGATCGTAGATCATCCTTGGAGACACACAATGTGGTATGTCAAATGCTGATTTTCAAGACATGTGGACATAGCTGACGTATTGCTGCTCCCCTTTCAAAATAGGCATTTAGGCGACATACCCGTTTCTGGGATCGAACCAACAAGGGATACATCACACCTATAGATACAGCCACTGGTATGATTACTATTACATGATGTAAAGAATCCAGCCATTCATTGACCATGTTGTCGTCATCATGATAATAGGCTTCATGAACCTAGGCTACAGTGTCTTTTTCAGTCTTACGTTTGGCACCTTCTTCAGTGTTCTCGTTGCCTATGCTACCCATAGCTCATGGATTCCTGATCCACGCTGTCGTATTAACGTGAATAATCTTGCCCGTTCTAAGGTAGAGTATAAATATCCCTTTTTCTCCGCGCCTTTGCATAAATAATATTCACCTATCATTCGTTGTTGCTATAGCGACGACGTGCCAAGCGATCCTCTTTGTATGACGAATATGGCAACTTTGACGCGAACAATTTTGATCAACTCTTTGACAAGTATGCCCAATGGGATTTGAGTGGCAACAGTATCACGCTATCCGAAGTCCTTCAAATGGCCAGTGAGCAAGGATCGTACGGTGTTAGCCCAACCGCATGGTAAGTCGGGTGACCTCATCATCATCTCCTTAATTTACTTTTCTCACGAATCATGTTTGCATTAGGTCACGAGCTGTTGTTGAGTGGTGTGCACTCTATTTATTGATTGGAAGAGGAGGCGCATTTCAAAAGGATGATATCCGTGCTGCATTCGATGTAAGTTTTAGAGAGATACACACGCTATCCATCCATTGCTCATCATCTCACTTTTTCCAACAATACAGGGATCTCTCTTTTTCAAACTTAGAGAAACGAGAAGACCCACCATCAAAGGGCTTGCTTCTTCTTCTTCTTCGGCCGCTGGTGCTTCAAACAATACGCATGGTGCAATTCATCCCACCGACTTTGCAAGAATGCTGCCACAAGGTGCTGTGCGTACATTGGAAAAGCAATTGAATGCAGCCTTGGACACGTTGCCACGCTCTACCTTGTCGATGATTGAATCTCATTTTCACAATTGGGTGCCTGGTGGTGGTAGTGGTAGTGGTCATGATGATGCTATGCACCACACTCGATTGGTAGAATGGGGTGATGATGAATTTGGTGGCAGCACCGGCAGCAGCAATAGTAATGCATCCTCCCCATCTTTGGTGGCATCCACAAGGCGGCGATCCACATTACAAGAGCAACGTTTAACTGGCACCAAATACTTTTCATTGGACAATCAATCATTTGCATTGACAGGCGTACAAGGTTATCATGGCACTACATCCTCCTCCTACACCTCGGACGAAGATACCAGCGTATCCACACCTGAGACTGAAAACAGCACCTTGCCTATGGTGATGCTCAGTGGTCTTTGTCCAGATGGCATGGATTATTATCGTGATACCCCCATCAAAGATTGGATTGGTGATAGTGCACTTGCAGGTGTAGCTCGTAGCGCAAAAGAAGCATTACCGCCTCCGCCAACCAATATGATGCAACCCAATCGTAAGGTGGATTTAATGGCAGACCTTCATGATTCTCAAGACGTTACCTTGATGGAGCCTACGATTCTTTCGGGTGTCATGGTACAAAAGGCTGATTATGGAATCCCTTCAGAAAAGGCAACCATGGATGACTTGCATGCTATGTCACCGCTCTCAAGCTTTTTGCGTCAACATGATGAAGACTCGATGACCAGCAGCAGGCTTATGGATAATGATATCACCTTCAAAAGTGGATTGACAGGCGTGCGATACGATGAAGCGAGCATGAATGAAGAGCCTGTTGCATTATCAGGTCTACTACGCCATGATGACACTTTTACTTTGAGCACCGACAATGTTGTTGAGCATAACAAACAATCGACGACGACGACGACGTTTGAGCCAGTGACCTTATCAGGCTTGCGAGTCGATGATGTTGATGGTGGTACACGAAGCGGCTTTGTCGAAGCTCCTGTTGACATGTTGAGTCATCCAAAGACACCACCAGAGGCAATGGAGCCTATTGCTTTGACCGGTCTTTTATCATCCAAGGATGATGGATCAAGCTTCTTTGTTCAAGAACCATCCTCTGATCTTGCATTCAAAAAGGATAAAGTGATCGATTTGGAGCCTGTGAAACTATCAGGGTTAGCCGCCAACACGATTGCAAACGAATTCACCCCCTTTGTACAAGAGCCTGAGCAGGATGTTGTGTTTGACAAGAAGCGTGAAATCGATATCGAACCTGTAACATTATCCGGTTTACGGCAAGAACACGACTCTTTTATTCCATTTGTTCAAGAGCCTAGAGAGGATACTACCACAAAAGTTGTTGACATTGAGCCTATTTCATTGACTGGTCTACGCATGGATGATGATGATGGGTCATTCACTCCCTTTGTTAAAGAACCCGCCAACAACAATGACACCAAGATACACGTGATGGATATGGAGCCTGTGCAGCTTACGGGTCTTCGATCGGATGAAGCTTATAGCACCTTTGTGCAAGAACCCAAGGTCGAGCCTGTATCCCTCTCCGGTCTACAATCGAAGGATGATGTTGCCATGGCTACTACAGTGGTCTTGACTGGTCTACGTGAGAATGTGGGATCCGCCTCATTTGTTGAAGAACCGGCACATGATGAACTAAAGACATCAGCGGATGATTTGTTGGACGCTGTTGACCTGCCATGTCTTAGAACAGGCCTTGACACCGAATACCTTGGATTTGTTGATGTACCTTCTGATTACGAGCCAAAAGCACCCGTCGATGTGGTACCTGTCACCCTCGCGTGTTTACGTACAGGCCCTGCTGCTACTACAGAGCATGCTGCCTTTGTGGCTGAACCCTTGGATTATGAACCAAAGTCACCACCCACCAATTTGGATAAGGTTGTGATGTCTTGTTTGCGTGATAATGATGATGCCAACTATGCGTCGTTTGTGGAAGCACCTCTTGGCCTTGAAAAGGAACCCGTGGATCTTGATGAATGTGCCAAGCCCGTGCCACTATCATGTTTACGTGCCGATGTTGGCTATGCTGACTTTGTGGATGAGGCACTTGCCAACAAAATCGAAAAGGAGCCAATCGACCTCGATGAATGTGTCAAACCTGTACCAATGCATGGCTTACGCTCTGATGCAGGATACGCCGAATTTGTCAATGCCGTTGGATACGAGCGTGATGTTGAGCCTGTCACGCTTGAAGTACCAGCATTCCAATGCTTACGTTCAAAGAATAGCGAATACCTTGGCTTTGTCAGCGAACCACAGGACTACAAGAAGGCGATGCATGTCCCACTTGAACCACCATCAACAGCATTTTTGCAAAGTGACATGGACAACCTAGGATTTGTTGAGGCTCCAGCAACCATTGAGCAAAAGCAATATGACATGGAAGTGCTTGGACAACAAATGGATCACCTTTCTCTCAGCGGATTGAGTAAGGAGGTTGGCATGGAAACGGGTCGCCATGGTGATGATGATGAGCTCAAGTCCCCCAAGGAAGAATCAGCTGATCCCATTTTATTGAGTGGATTGCAACATCAAGGAGAATCAATTAAAGAGTCGATCATGGAGATATTGCCAACAGTACAATTGCCTTGGGAAGAATCTGAAATGCCCATGATGAAGTTTGTACCTGAGGAGATAGCATTGACTGGAATGTCACAGCAACAGCAAATTGAAGTCCCTCTCAAAAATTGGCTCAACATTGGCAGCCTCGTTGGTGTTACAGCAAACAAAGAAATGTCACTATACGAAGCACCTGTGGAGATGCCTAAGGAAGACGTGGTGGAAGAAGTGGATCTTGAACAATATCGTTGTGCTATCCCACTATCCGGTGTCAGTGATTCGGAGCTCACCACTTCCCTCAAAAATTGGCTCAACATGGAGGCTCTTCCTGGAACTCTTGGGTCCATTGTATCGATATACGAATCACCTGCTACTACCATGCCAGATGATTATATCCAGCCAAGCTTAGATATGGATGATGGACGTTCACCTATGCTGGGCATGATTACATCTGATGACAAGACACTCAAGAATTGGCTGAATATGGGTGCATTGTCGGGGACTGTTGCAAGTGGTCTGTTATATGAACAGCCTATTGATACCAAGGATGAACCACCGAAGCTGAAAAAATCAGAACTTAAGCAGCTCCGTAAACCTGTACCGCTACCTGGGATCAAGAATGAGAACGTGCATCTCAAAAATTGGCTCAACACAAGCGCTCTCCCTGGTATTCGAACGACTGAATCATCGCGTTTCATTTATGGCAATCCCGGTGATGATATCCCAACTGATTACATCCAAGTGCAAGAGGACATGCAGCAAGAGCTCACATCACTCTCTGGTACAATTGCTGATATTCCAAAGGCACCACTAAAGAATTGGCTCAGCATTGGTGATCTACCGGGCATTCAAAAAGACAACACCATGATACGCTTGTACGAGGAAGCACATGAACTTGAGCCTGCTGATTACGTTGAACCCACATCTTTGGATATGGAAGGTGATATCAAATTGACAGGCGTTGTTGAGAATGAGGATACTATTTCAGAGGATGACGCAGCAAGGCGATCGAGCATGGAAGACACTATGCATTCAGAAGACGAGCATTCTATCACCACATCAGAAACCAGCCATGGCCCTGTACCCCCATTGTTTACATCACCCAAGCCCAAACAGCAACTTAGTAATGAAGAATGGTCCGCCATGAAAGAAATCATTGAACAAAAGGAAGAATGAATCATGTAAATAAAAATTCGTGTAACATCAGTAACAATGATGCCCAAAATGCATAGTATTGCCAATAATCCATCCCCATCCCACCAACTAAAACCCCTCAATGATGAATGAAAGCCAATATGATGTATGTATATAAATGAAAAAGAAATGATCTCGATAATCAAGCCTTGTCTTTGTTGTTGTCATTACTTTGTTGTTCTTCCTGTCTAGGCTTTTTAGGTTCTGGTTCATCCGTGCTGCTGCTGCTGCTATCTTCCTTGAGAACGACGCCTGTGGGTTCAGGTATTTTGGCAGCCACCCAATCACGCCATTCATCCCATGATTTGCCTTGCATAAACGCCACGATGATTACGGTCATGTTGTCGCATCCAACACCGCCAACATCGCATTGATCCGCCAAACACTCATCCATCAGGTTTTCACAAATCGTTTCCAGGGGCACCTTTTCCTTGAGTTTGCCACGAACAAAGTCGACGACTTGTTGATTTGTCATACAATCCCAAATACCATCGCATGCTACCACCGCAAATTCATCGTTGGCTGTCAATTTGTGTTCAGTGACATCAGGCTCGGCTACCATAACCCAAAGTGTCAGTTCAATCATTGTTCCTCATGTTCATTGATTGTCTTGTTTTACCTGTTACGACTTGTTTTTCGGGAGGCAAGTCCTTATTTTGTTTAAACTCAAAGTCACCCAATGCCCTTGATAAAGCGAGGTTGCCTACATATAGATAACAAAAAAAGTGCGTGTGAGTGTCATCATGCTTTGTCACGTGGGGGTAACGCCACACCCACCTATCCCCAACCAATTTCACAATATTTACCATTCACTCTTCCAAATTCGACATGACCACCTGCTTCAACAATTCGAGCTGTTTCCTTTTCATTGACGGGTTTGTGATCTTGAGACAGTGCAATGGCACGACCATTGTTGCTGATAATGGCTCTCGAATCACCGGCGTTGCTCTATCATGTGTCTTCCTTTTTGAGTCATCGCCCAATAACAGGGCCCTTGAAACACATACCACATATAGCACATTGTCCTTTGTCAATAAAGCGGATACAGCTGTACATCCAGAGGTCTCGTTTTCATGATCAGGATCTATAAAACCCATCATCAGCCTTTTGCAAATGCCATCCTCATCCATCCAGCCCCCCTTGATATATAGATATATAATATACCTTTCCTCAGTGCATCATCCATTGCTAGATAACCGCTTCGCAATGCCTCTCGTATATTGCCTTCCTTGAAATACTTTGATTCGAATATCACATCGTGCAGATGCTCGCCACTGTACTTTGCAACCACAGCGCCTATTACATACATGTTGCATTCATGTCAATGGTATTGAACTAGGGTTCATGAGTGACACACACACACGCACACCCCTCCACCACCTAGGTAATACGTACCTCCATGACCATCAAATACAGCAAAGAAGCTTGCGCCTGTGTCCTTGTATTCGGGAATGGTGGTATGTGCATCTTCCATACCTGTAAAGGGAAGTCCCCATGAGCATGACGACTCGTCCAATGAATGCATCAAGCGACTTACTGATTCGCCACCCCTGCATGCAAGATGCTCCATACTTGACGCGTGCATCTCCACCTTCGGAAGACTCCTTGGTTGTTATTGGTTCGGAAAGTGTTTGACCCATAAGACGGCTGTGTTGGTTCGATAAAAGTGGCAGTGAACGCGTAGTAGATAAAGGGGGAAGAAAGAAGAGGGAAAAGAAAGACAATAAAACAAATGTGAATATGCCTGCTGCTGCGTAGTAGTCGTACGTGTTCCCTGTTAAGCCTCGAGTGGTGGACAACCGCTTCATCCAATCACCACATTGGCTGGGTAGTATCAACTATGCGAAGTGCTTACTTTGTACTACATGCTTGATCCTGTTCATTCATTGTCAGTCGATGTCAATAGTGTGAGTCATTGTTCTCTAGCGACTACCACCATTCATGCACCTGTCTTAGATAGGGTGGGAGGGGGATAAAAGTACAAGGAAAGAGGAGATACGCATAAAAAAGAGTAGTGAGCAGCCCTATCCTTTCAGTCAATTCCCTCCTTTTTCAATCCAAATCTTCTTTTATCCCATCCTTGTATCATAGCAACACCCATGATTAATGTTTAGTAGAGTTATTACAAGGTAAACAGGAGAAGATTGTACATGAATGGATAGATGCTAACCTTTTGATTGTGTTTGTGCGGCATTGTGACACCAAATTAACGCACACGCATTCAACGCATGTTTACAAGTGAAAGCACATGGTTTGTGTGTGTATAATACTAGACGACGCTTGCTTGTCGTTCGTTCGACTGGATTCTTTTTTGACGCCTGACCTCCCGATCACTGCTCTTTTCCATTCACATTGTTGCTGCCATTCACTCTCAATGCCCCTGCACCCATTGCTGGCAAGTTCCTTTACAATTGGTCTTTATTTGCGGTTGTAGTGGTGGTGGTGGTGTTGTTAACGTTACCACCACACATAGGTGAATGGATCTAGGCGACGACTGACGGCTGTGAACCAATCTTGCAGCAGTAATAATAGTAAGATACAGTGATAATACTCAGCTTACAAATGTGGATGATATGGCTAACCTAAGGTGGGGTCGTCTACATAGATAAGATGCAGCAGCCTGCAGCTGGAGAGTTGGTCGTCACCAAAGCAAGAAAGAGTTATTCTTTTCAGTCAACAGTGCATCCGATAAAGCCGAGCTTCTTTTCTTCTTGTCCAAAAACATCTTCTCCTCAAGGGTAGGCATATCATCATCATTACCCACTCATCCTCGATTAAAATATACCCCCTTCCTTCCTTCCTTTCTCACTCATCACTTATGCCATTTTCATCTTCTCAATGTCTATTACCTCCTTACATGACAGGTCACAGCCAGATGATATGGGTGCTGATCTCGATTCTATTGTATCTTCATCTACAGCCACAACATCATCCACGTCTACTTCATCTCCATCACAACTCGTCCTTAGTAGAACAACATCATCCCTCGTATCCACCGTTTGCTCAGGTACCAGCTCATGTACCTGCTATCAGTGCTCACGTCGCCATCATCATCATCACCATCAAAAGAAACCATCCACCACCACCACCACCAAGGATTGTTCTTGGCACTCAGAGATTGATGCCGGATTAAAGCAATACAACATCGAGGAAGAAAATATCACCACCACCACCACCACAACAACAACAACCAAACATCAACGTAGCATGTTGCAAAGGAAACGACCGACGATTCATTCTTACAACAAGCATTTACCTCGTCCACCCTATGCACCCAATGATAGCATTTATCGCGCCCACATGAAGCCTGCAGCAGTAGTAACAAGTCAGCAACCACCACCACCACCACCACCACCACCACCACCTTGTAGTGACAAAAATGGTAGTCCTTCTTCTTGCAATGATCATACTCGATGGTTTGATGATACATCCAATGTCGACCTTGTGTTATCCTTTATGGTATTCGACACCATTGTGGCTGACCAACCTGATGACAGCATCTTTGGTCTTACAGATTTGATTGAAGAAAGGACAAAGCAACTGCATGATAGTCTTTTTGACACTGCGGAGGATGAAGCGAAGGATGAGGAGGAGGATGAGGAGGAGGAAAAGAATCGCCACGATGACAATGGCGGCATTCAGGGGTCAACAGCTGCTGCAACAGCAACATCATCATCGTCGTCGGCCTCTCAACCATCTTCATCATCATCACCAGCAGCACCAATTTGCAAAAAGAAACATCCTCCATCATGTCATACCTTGAGCTCAAGAGAAGGGCCCACTCATCATCCGCTTACATTGTTCCATACCATGAAACTTGTCAATGCTAAAGAGCGATTGGAAACATTTGGTACGTATTCAATATCCATCTACCACCACACGTATATGGTAATTCTCCTCCTTCTAATAATAATAATTTCTATACAAGTCATTGCATATGATCATTGTATTCGGGCCAATAGCGGGCTTACCAATTGGATCAAGAAAAGGCGAGGTCCACCCGAAATCCTTTGCAGTAAGTAACGAGCTCATCCTCAATCTTTCTTAGGAATGAAGATATCTCATTTACCTTTGATGTAGGTTTTACACCACGACACGTTGCATGGCGACGACCCCAGTATAAACGATTTGGATTTCTCCCTTCAAGGCTATCGACTCGAGAAGATGGCACCGAGGAAATGATGGCAAAAATCAGCTCACATACGCCAACAATGCACAATCCATACAATCGTCGCTCATATGATACGGCTATTACTACTAATAAGGGTGCACCTACGGATCTATTGTCAGCAGCATACGCGTTGTTACCAAACACATCACCCGATATTCGTCACACATCATTGAGCCGTGATACAGGCAAGAGGCCTTACGATCATGTTGATATGCCAGGTCGACCTTTACCACGCAAGGGCCATAGTGTAAGTATCCGCGGATGGATTTATAGGGGGAGGATGTGGGCTGATCAATTGTACTATAGAGATCAGCAACCCTCGACTCTTCAAGTCATAGCGTTTCTACAACTTCAAGTGACAAAGAGAATCATGGCATGCATCGATCATCTAGCAAAAGAACGTTGAATTCATTTGGAAAAAGCACCCTGTGGAAATACGCTCGTAATGACACATGCAATATCCAACAACAACATCCTGAGATGGTCACACAGGTAATGTGGATGATGATGAATCATAAAGCCGATGTTGCTCATACAAAGAAAAAGTAGGATTGAGCCTATACAATCATCATCACAACACGCCCCCTAATAAGTATTATATGAAAAGAGATAGTCTATTGTACATTATATGAAACAAAGTATGGATCTATGGGTATCTGAGCTATCTATCTATCGGCGGATGAGAGTCAGGAATTCTTCACGGGTTTTGGGATTGCTACGGAAACAACCTATGCAAGTGCATCAAAGTTAATTTCGACCACCATCCATGCTTGCTAGCAAGAGCAACTTACCCATCATGCAGCTGGTAACAGTAGAGCTACCAGGTTTTTGTACTCCTCTAAAAGTTGATAAATGAGCCTTCTTGGTTTACCATCCTTATCCTTTCTATCCACATACCGCATACACATGCACATGTGTGCTGCTTCCATAACGACAGCGACACCTTGGGGCTGTAATATTTCCATCAATGCTGTTGCGATTTGTTTTGTAATACGTTCTTGCACTTGCAATCTAATCACCGCCCAAATGTCAATTAGAAATGTATGCTACACAATTGACAGCACACACACAAACCTTCTTGAGTACAACTCTGCAATCCGAGCTAACTTGCTGAGTCCGATTACACGGCGATTCGGAATATAGCCGATGGCAATTTTACCAGTGAAAGGTACCATGTGATGCTCGCACAATGAAAATACATCCACATCCTTGACAATCACCATCTCATCATGATCTACCCGAAAGCAAAGGTGTATAAGCCATCATGGGGAAGGGATCTCATCCATCCAATCATTACTTCTCACCTTCTTCAAAGATGGCATCATTGACAACGTCTGCATAAACGATATGCATTAGCGATGCGATACTTTACGCAACGATGATCCATCACCATGACTACCACCATCACCATGACAACGTACCTCGAATGTTCTCCTCATATCCCTTTGTGAAAAACATAAGTGCCTTGGCATAGCGATCGGGAGTCTTGAGTAAACCTTCACGTTCTGGGTCTTCACCAATGCATGATAAGATCGTTTTGACAGCTTCAGCCAACTTTTTTTGACGTTGAGCTCGTTCTTCGGGTGATTCATCTCTTCTTTCTCTAGCACCAACACCTTTATAAAACACAAATCAGTATCCTTGACTTTATGCAAAAGCAAGCACCGTAATACTTTACTTGGGTAACTCAAGCCGTCCATATCCACAGGTGTACTTTGACGACTGACAATGGAGCTTGTAGAGGTGACAGACGATTCTGAAGGCGAAGGCATCACTGGCCTTGATTTGTTCAAGTGATCGCTCGACATTGGTGTTGTGGTAAAAGGGAAAAAAAGAGAGGGGGCGGTGGTGAAACTTCAAGGCACCACAGTTGAGGGAACCTTTTTTTTTCTTTGTCGGGCTTGAATTAACTCGGTGGAGATTACCACAGTGTGACCGTGCGAAAGGTGGCATGTCATTGGATCAGCCCTGAATCAGCATCTGTTTCTCTCCATACGTGGAAAATAGGGTACATAGATGCTACATCGCTATCTTTTTGCTTTTACATCATGATCATGTGCATAGAGTGATTTTTATAAGTGTAATAAATTACACACCCACCTCCTTATTGATGCCGTAAGACCGACATGGATGATGATGACGATTGTTTGCCATAGCATCCACCTCAGCCTTCTTCTTCTTATTGTAACGAAAACAACGTAAAAAAGTCATGCGTGTATACATTGACGGGCATACGCCAGGGAAAAAGGAAACTCGTATGCCCTGCGCTCTTTACCTGCAGCAACAACGATACTATGCATGAAACAGAAAGGGCTCTTTGGGAAAAGGTGGATAATGCGGGGAATGGAGTACCCAATATTGCTGATCCGTTGCCTTGGGCATGCTAGTATTGTTTTCCCGAAAATCCAAATGCCCATCATACAACGATTGGCGTTACTTTCAAAAGCGCACGGATCAATACCATGGATCGGGACAACCACGACGTCTGTTTGTTTAATGTTCAATGGCGACCCAGGGCTGTTAAGCATACCTACCTACCTCCTCACAATCATAGACGACTCCAATTGGGTTGCACTACTATGACCAATGTAGCAAAGAACAAAAAGGCGAAAATGCTACCGTTGTTGCTGTTGTTGTTGACTCGCATTCTACTGCTACGGCAGAATGATTGGCCCCCCCCCACCTCCCTATGATATACCAGCTGACACAAACTCTACCCTACGACGTGCCCCGTCAAAACATTTGTAAACATTACGCCACGTAGCAGGATAAACCACTAGTATCACATGCCACGTTGCTTCGACAGAAAAATGAGTTTGCTTAGGAGATACTTGACATTTAGAAATAGGAACCGAGCCTTCATTGTTTAGTTTTGTGTTCCCTACATCATACAAACACACACAAAGCATCATCATGAAACGGATAGGAAATTCCGTGGTATAACAACAACAATAATAACGTGTGGCAATTTCGTATCACATCATGAAGCACTTTCATCAATGCAGTCTCATTGACAATGAGCTGCAGCACATGGATCGATCTTTGAGATGATGAAAAGAGTGGATAAATATATGCGTAGCGTATGTGTTGTGTGAGAGTGAGCATCATGCAATGCATGACACAATGCCTTTTATAGACCTGACAGAAAAAAAAGAGATAAAAGATGCGTGACAGGACCATATTTATATGTAAGGGCGTAAAGGAAACTGCATCTAATTCCATTGCCATCCGCCATCGCCGGCCGTGGATGAGCAATCATCATAACAATGAGGGATTAGAAGGTATAAAATGTGGGTACAATGACCACCTCATGTAAATAAATAGAAAGCATTCTCCTTTTTTCTCCATCATCACCATCAACTCTGTCATTTAGCTCCTCTCTTTCTTTTTTATTCCTTCTCATCATCTTCTTTTGCTCCTTCCAACCATTACCATTATGCTCTGTAACTTGCCAAGCGAAGTGATGCTTCAAATTTTGCATCATGTATCGGTTGAAAACCATGCCGATCTTATTCCAATTGCAAGGTAAAAGTAAATTGGGTACCTTTTGTAATTAAAGCTAATAATCAAGTTGTTGTATTATTAGCACATGTAGACGAATGCGTACGCTGGTTGCCGACTGGACAATATGGTCAGGGCCTATCACCATTGTCATGGACTCGTCGTCGTCGCCATACTCTACAAGCCATTTGCATCAAGCCATTGCTGCTGAATCATCCTTAGGAGCAGCACCACCACGTGCCACTCATGTCAATCTTGCAATCGAAAATTCAAATGCATGCACACAACTCCCCGACTTGCTTCACTGGTTGTTAAAGAGCGGGGATATGAAAAGCCTAGCATTGTATACGCCTGCATCCACGCATGAAGCCATTATCCAAAATGCATTTCAACCACGATCATTGAAGGATGGTACCGGTACAACTGAAAGTAGTTTACAGTCCTCCTCCTCCTGTATTGAATCCATCACCCTGAGAGACCCTTTATTATCCGATGCCATCCTTCTTGATCATCAACAACCCATTATGCCGCTGGCGGTGACCTACAAAGATGACTTGATTCACTGGTTGGCTCAATCACAGAAAAGTTTGGTCCATCTTGATATGCCAAGTTTACCCATTGATTGGTTTACCGAATACGGAGAAAATCTTTTCTTTGAAAAACTGGAAACTCTCACTATCACAGTGACTCATGGTGATGGTGGTGGTGGCAATGATGATGAGGAGCAGCAACTACAGGAGCATGGATTGGATGGGAGAATACTCAAGCAAACCTTTCCCTGTTTAAAGGAACTAACAATCCACCTACCATGTGCTGATCGATTCTCCTTGTTGCTTCCCCTCTTGAGTGACAAGCAGCTTTACCCCTGGATCGAGTCGATTACCGTGATTTGCCCTGACGATGACAGGTTACGAAAACGATTACCCCAAGAAGATGTGGAGGCCTTACTTGGATCACTCAAAGGCGTCTCAAGAATCAATGCTGGTTGGGATATGGTTGTCCTGGACGACATCTAATCATAGCAACCTACATACGTAATTCTATCTTTTTTATATACCACCATCTTTTTGACATTATCCCCTTTGACGCATTGTCAATTCCATCCCCCACGTAATGATATACCCACCAGCGAGCCAGAGTCATTTGATGCTAAACAAAGCCTGCACTTTCCACTTTTGAAATTCTGCTTTTGGTGTTTATGATGGGGTGTGTGTGGATCCAAAAAAGAGTGCTTTTGCATGCATGCATAAATTGTTGTCAACAATGTATGTAAATCAGCGGCATCAAATATCGCTGACGATCTTGGCTTACATATTATGTAGTAGCAGTGAACGAGGGAAGGTGATCGTGAATCTGCTGCCCCCTTTACCTTAGGCCACCCGCATTCCTTTCCTTTCCTCCCCCTCCCCCCAAAATGGCTGTTACACGTGAATACCATAGCACTAGTGGGTTGTTGTCGATCACCAGTTGCTATTCATGCAGAAGTAGACAGGCTTGAAACTTGATGATGAGCTGTCAACCATGCTGAAATGACGATCCATCCAATGTTTTATCACCTAGGTAAGATCATAATAGAAGAGCGAGGATCATCATGGTGTGCAGTGAGGAGGGGTGATACACCCGATGCATCGCACCCATGATGGTGCTAAGTACTCATGCTTTTACAGTAAAAGGGGAAGATGATGATGGTGCTTTTGGTGCTAGGATTGTGAGCAGGAGGAGGGGCTACAACATCCACAACAAAGTTTTGGATGTATAATACAGTACCGGTGTAAACTCTTGTATCATGACCAAGGTCGAAGATGATGTATCGGTAATCCTCTTAATGAGGTCGTGTTGACGCTATGATGCAGTTATCGCCCAAATAGACAGCAAATGGAATGATGTGAGTCGCTGCAATGATGATGGGTCATTGTTGCCCTTCGATACAGATCGATGCAAAGGATATTCTTTCTCCTGTGGCGAAGCAGTACTCGATCCAGTTGACAATGATATATGATGTAAGACCAAGAAATGGACGATTCTGGATTCGGGTGCCTCGACCATCACCTCACGAGATTCCAGAAAAAGTAAATGCAATAAACGTACATGTGTAAGAAATGGTTCCAACAACCGATTTATGTAAATTACTATTACTACTACGCCTTTGAACAATCAAAAGTAGTCGTAGCAGTGATGGTATAAAAAGGGCACTATTTACAAAGAGAACAAGAGAGAGAGAGAGAGAGAGAGAGAGAGAGAGAGAGAGTGGGTGTATAATGTATCATTAGCCATGCTGTTTAAAACATCCATGGGCTTCCAAGTAGACGTCTTCGGGACCCGCCCACGCTACTGCATGATTTTCGAGGTTGTATCTTTGCTTCATTCAAGGTCGTTGTCGTCGTTGGCATTTTTTCAGCTTGATCATCCTCTTCGCCATCATCATCACCACTATGATCTTTTTCTTCTTCAGCTAGCCTTGGAAACGAAACGTATTCCAATTGGAACTTTGAATCCATAAACGATTGCTGTTGTTGTGTTGTTGTAGGTTGAGAAAAGGTGACCGAATCCAGCGGTTCTACCTTGTTGGTTGTGGTTGTGCTTCGTCGAGTGCGTGATGAAGGAGAAGTAGTGGTAGGACGAATGGCATTAATGATATCCGACCATAATCCTTGCCAGAGATTGTTGTTGTTATTATTGCTGTTGTTAAGAAAGGTCGAACGAGTTTCCAAGAGAATGGGAGCCATGATGATGATAATGAGTGAAAGACAAGGAAAAAGGGATGATGATTACTTTGTGAAAGAAAAAGATGAAAGAAAAAACTTGCCATCCCCGCCTTGGTTAAAAAAAGGTTTCTCTTGCTGGCTGCTTACATTGCATTTTCTTAACCAACCACTCACTCCGTCATCTCAAACGGAGACTACCAGCACCTTGAAAGAATTCCACTTCCTTTGTCTCTTTTTTGTTGTGTCCACTCCTTTCCAATGAAAATAAGCTCTTTTATTCAACTTGCTATTTGCTATCCTTTGTTGTTGTTCTTGAGGAGGAGGAGATCTCAATCTCTCCTTGATCTCTTCTACATATCGCATGTATATCGATCCTTGATGATAAGCATAGTGATTCAATGCCTGCTGTCATTCATCCCCCCCAGTAAGGAAATGGCAGCTGATCAAATGTATGGGTCCTCTCAGGGTGTTTTATGTGTCTGGATTGTCATCAGTGGTCAAAGGGTTGATGTGCGACCGGCGTTCCCGATATAAATGCGTATCTGTGCCTACATCCCCCGGCCTAAAATAGCCGATTGTGTGTGAATAATGAATGAATGATAGCAAATGACAGCTCATACCCGTGAAAGACTGGGGACCCTGTTGTTGAATACGCTGCTTCCCCTCATTTGTGGAGCTATGGTTGCCGTGCCTCCCATTCCGTATCGTCGGTCGGTGCTCTTGGGCCAACTTGGATGAGAAGTCGCCTCCCCTTTTCGAATGCCAAAAAGCCGAACCAATGGAAACTGTCGGTCGGTCATCAGGAGACATGAAGGCCCTTGAATCCTATAACGATTAAGGTTGTTGCTGCTACAGCATGGCTTTGCTGTCGGTTGTCGGCAATCGGGCAGTTACGAGAAAAAAGTTGGCTGGTGCGTTGTCAAGTTGCGTTCCATGGCAACAAGGTGTGCGCGGAGAAAATGAATTTATGCGTGTGGTGGCATTGTATGGATCCCATGCACATCCCCAACAACCACTATTACTACCACCACCACCACCACCACCACAAAAGTACGCATAGTTCAAGGAGTATCTTTCATCCTTTTTGCTAGTGAATTGCCACAATGTTGCCAAATTAGAAACATGATCTCGTTTGTTGAAAGAAGAAAACGTGTAGGGAGGAGGAGGGAATACGCACACACGAAGACACACAAACCAACACATCCCCAACCCGATCCAGCAGCACTGTTCACAAGAGAAAGGAGGGGTGCGATGTGATGATAGGGAGTGGAGTTTGCTTGTTTGTTGTTTTCTTGTGTATGATTGGAAGAATGCACGGCCCATTTTATCGTATGGAAAGGAGATGATGACAAAGACTGTAATGCACTTTACACATGGGAGGGAGTGAACAAGAGGTTACACGCACACGATTATGCACAATTATGGTCGCCGCTATCATCCACAATGAAGATGGTGACGTGTACCTTCTCTTGTTAGCTTTGTAAAGGAATGGGGTGGTGCTAAAACGCAAATCGTCATTAATGCACAAGGCTTTTTGGATCGTCTATAAAAAAGGAAGACACATGTTGTTGGAGGATGCGCATTGTTGTAAAAGCATCCAGCTCATGCATTATTGGTGGATGATCTCTTTCCGTACTGATTTGTTGTCAAATGCAGTTGGAACACGGATGCCCATGCATTTACGCTTTTGCTCACCTTGGTACAAATATCATCTTTTCTTTTCTCACCACAGCGATTCTTTGATCAATGGTCATCAATGACAAAATCATTACTCATCATCATTATTGTGCTCTTTCATCGTCAATTTGTTCGCGAAGGTGATGAAGGACTCTAACATGCGTATACGAAGTATGATCCATCATCATGTATTATGCAGTGATGAAACTATTCTCGAACAAGGAATGATTGTGGGAGTGTCACACACGCCCATCATTCATTATCATCCTCATCATCATTGTCGGGATGAGAGTCTCCGAGAAATGCTACTATCCTGGGGATTACCTGCTCAGCTGGGTTTATTGAGATAATATTGTTTATGCTTACGCATTGTGATCCAAAGACGTGGGTTCGATGTTTATCCATATCATGATCATGCCATACAATATCAAATGAGATGTTCTTAATGCTGCTGTATCACATTGATATGCATCTTGATGCTACTGCTCAAAATTCGATGCACACTCTCACTGTGTGAATAGTAATTAAACACAGCAACACATACAAAGGGTGGGCGGGTAAAAATCAATGAGCGGTGGGGGCTTATTGTGTGTGGCATTACGCACAGAATCGTGAGTGGTTTCCCCCCAGCAACTAAAACCTTCCGACGGGCCCATGCCATAAACTTGCTTTGCATCTTTTAATGTCAATTTCTCTTTTCTTTGTTTCTTTGTATCCTCTTTTTTATTTACATGACGAAAGAGCTAGTAGATACTGGTTCACCTGTCGCTGGCTCTGATACACATCATAAACTCCTTTCCTCCCCAACACCCACCATTGCTCATAGCAACCTTGACGATTTTATAAAGGATAACGATAACGACGACTTGACAAGTATCAATAATACATCTTGCTATACACTACATCGATCCATTGATCAAGTCCAGGGACAAGCTGACAAGGTTGCTGCACGATTGAGAAAGGCTGAAATGTGTGCAGCAGCTGCTGCCATGATATCTGCTGCTGCCAAAGCGTCGAAAAGGAGGCAACGCAATATCCACAAAGAGAACAACACTGCTGCATTGGGAAGAGATTTGATTCACCGAGTCGACACCCAAACCATCCTCACGTCAGTTGATCGTATTATTGCGCCTCTCTCCTCCTCAACTCGTATCACTAGCATTGATGATAATGATGATGATCACGTTAAAACGCATCAGCCATCTTCTTCATCGTATCCTTCCTCACCTACCTCTTCATCCGAACCAACGACCAGCGACTATGACATGTTTGACAATAATGTCGATGAAATCGATACAACAAGTCCACCACCCGAACCTGAGCCCAATAACAACGGTGGTCGTAAGCCAACATCCAACGATGAAAACCCCGTTTCCTTGGCATCGAGGATCCCTTTCAAACGCAAGGCGGCTGTGCGAGAATTGATCGCCACCGAACAAAGTTATTGCAAAGATCTTGATCAACTTGTTCACGTGAGTAAAAAAGATGCACCTCATATCAATCCATGCAATGAAGCCCTTACCTTGTGAATACGTAATAGTACTTTCTTGCCACCATTCAAAAAGCTGACTGCATCTCGGATTCAAAAAAGCACGATCTCGTGAGAAACGCCAGCGATGTGTTGCAGTTTCAGCGAGGTTTTGCAACTGCCTTGGAAGCAGCAAGTGAGACACCCGTGGCTGAGCATGGCTCGGTCGATCGTCGAGTGATTGCCATATGTGAATGCTTTTGCGAATGGGTAAGTTTACAAAGTAGGGAAGGAGGAGGAAAAGGTGTTACAGAGTTTCCATTAATGCAACGACGATTTACATAGGCGGATCAATTCTCTGTGTATATTCCTTATTGTATCTATCATGATCGGGCCACCGATGTTCTCAATCATCTACGCGCAACGAATCATCGATTCGTCACCTTGCTGGACAAGATGCACGCGCATACACGCGCTCGTGATGATCGACGTACTTTTCAAGATTATCTTATCATGGTAAAAATCAGGCGTTTTATCAACAATGATTGAATGGATGACTTATCATCTTTGTATTATGCAGCCTGTACAGCGGTTATTGAAATACAAACTCATCCTGGAGACCATTGCAAAGACCATCCAGCCCTATGATGAAGAATACGACATTATGAACAGAAGTTTACAAGTAATGCATCATGTCGCTTCAAGAATCAATTCCGAAAAGTCGAGCTTGGAAACGAAGCGAAAGACAAGACTATTCAATGATCGAGTGGATTGGCATTCTATTGTGGTAAGTCTTATTATACATCTCTTCATGGCAAGGTGTATTAAATCAATGCTTTATAGGGAGCATCGGATCAATTTGTCAAGGAGCTTGGTGATTGCACTGTGATTGGAACGCTGGACGTTCGAATACTGCATGTCAAGGTTGACAAGGTCAAGCGATTAGGATGCGCGCTTTATCCAACCTACATGGTGATTTGCACAGCCAAACGACAAAACAAATATACGCCCCAACATTGGTTCCCCCTAAGTCTGTTGGAATTGGAGGATATCCCAGATGAACATCGTAAGTGTATGGTGTGTAACTTGTGGCAAAAAGCAAGGAGTCCTTATTTTTTTGTTTATTAGCCAACGCCAATTATGCATGGTTGTTACGCAGCGACAATCGAGTGTTTCAGTTTTTTGCCATGTCTGAACAAGAAAAGAGGCTGTGGATCGACGCCTTACAGAATGCTATACAAAGTTCACGTGAATTGTATAACGAAAGTATCACCACCACCACCACTGCTTCCACTCTTGTTGCGGATCGCCCCACCACGCCATCACAACAACTAGCCGAATTATCATTGCATAATCTACCAACGCAATCATCCGCACCTTCATCACCAACGCAATCTTCTACCAACAAAGTATTACGTTCCTCTACTACCCCGTCTTTATCTTCCACCACACATCATCATCGTCATCACCATCATTTTCCTAGTAGTTTATTTTCACGTCCACATGCACATCATACAACCACACCACCTCCAAGTCCTATCTCGACCGTATCACCTATGAGAGCATGCTGCACCATGCCGGAGATATCACAAGATGTATCCGGTACGAGTAGTAGTAACAGTCGCCATCGATCTTTTTCGCAGGCCACTTTTCGTGACATTCTTAGCAGCACCATGGCTGATATTCGAGCCCATCGCCGTTGTAGTCATTATTATGATCATTGTGCACAAATGGACAAGCGATTTGCCGATGTCTCCTATGTATCGGTGTTGGTTGCTAGGACACAAGCGAGTAGCGAACGCAACAGCATTATCGAGCAACGTAAAAAGTACAAGAGTCGCATGGCTAAATCCATATCCATGGTGGCATTGAACACTTTATTACCAGCACATCCGCATTGTACGAGATCAAGACCCCAAAGTCCCACGACCCCAACAACCCCCACACTTCCATTCACGCCAACAACGGCTTCAAGTCTCAATGAAGAAATTAAGGAAGATGATGAAAAGTCACCCGATGGAGATCTTATGCGACGAAAATCTTCTTTACCGGATCGTCTACCATCTACTACTACTACTACACAGCAAGATGAATTGATTTCATCATCATCATCAGAATAATAAAAGGAAATCTTATGATCTTTGTAATTGAAAAAGTGATGTCATGTTTGAGTGGATAGCTATGTATATATCAAAGTACATGGGATGGCTTTAATGACAAAGTCTATTAGACGGTGCAACTGGGAGCTGTCAAAAGTGAATGCTGCAGCGGAGGCGAGAGGAATACAGTTGCTGAATTTGAAATCGAGTGGCCAACTTCCCTTATTCAATTTCTAGCGCGCGTTTTCCTCGGTATCGCTTTCGGTTGAGCAACCATGTCGAGACATCGAGCAGTACGCAATCTGGATATTGACGGTAAGAATGCGAGGTATAAAAGCCTTTGAAGAAGAGTAACTCACCCGCTTGTTTTAGACGTCTTGGACGAAGACACTTACTCTGACGATTACGACGAGAACGAATGTAAATGGCATGCCACAAGCGAAGAAACAACACAAGCACACTAAGACAATTTGACTCTAGTGGATGAAGGAGATCTCAACGACGAGGATCGCCAAGAACTAGAGAATGGTCTTTCATACGTACGCAATATCGTGGGCGAGGACATTGGCATATCCGACACCGAGATAAAGGAAGCTCTCTGGTACTATTACTTTGATCGAGAAGAAACCGTCAATTGGGTGTTTGGTAAGATACCATCATGGGCAAGGATATACATAGGACTAAATGTTTTTATATGATATAGACAAGGTTGCCAAGATCAAGGCCGAAGAAGAGAAGCAAAAGAAAAAGGCAGCAAAGAAAGCCGCAGCAGCAGCAAGTAAAGGTAAGATGCTATCTATTTTCTTTCCCCCTTTCTTTTGCGCATTCCCCATCCCATTCCCCTTCCAGACAAGCGAGTAACGGATCATGTTGCAGGTTAGTTAGTCTTCTTGTTATGGATTCTCGTTGCATTAATCCGTTTTTCGGATTTGCTTCTTGTAGATCGAAAACCAAGATATCGACGTCCTCCTGCAAGATTATATGCAGACGTACAGCCATCGCCACCTTCATCATCATCATCGCCAATGGGATCATCACTTCAGAGTCTTGCACAACGCACTACCATGAACAACAAGCCAACACAGAAAGCATCTTCATTACAATCATTGGCACAAAAAGCAGCTGGGCAACGAGGAATGTCGGCATTGCAAACGCTTGCTTCACGCCAACAACAACGTACAGCAACAACGACTACCAACACCACCAATACTACTACATCTCCTTCTTCATCTCCAAAACCTTCATCTTTGGCTGCACTTGCTCAAAAATCATCTGCAAGCAAAGGTCGCACCAGTTTGGCACACCTTGCTACGAGATCACGTCCAAGTGAAACATCAACTCGACCCACATCTTCGAATCAAGGCTTATCTGGACTAGCAAAGCTTGCATCCAAGACGAATGTATCAGACAAGCCATCATTATCACCATCTTTGGAAAAGCAACAACAACAACAACAACAACAGCAACAGCAACAACAATCAGTCAAGGAGACAATGAAAGATGCTACCCCCAAAAAGACATTTCATATTGCCAGCGATCAACCAGCCAATCCTCTTTGTGCCAAACCATCAGCTGCAGCCAACTTTTTGTTTATGCACATGTATCCTCAACAAGCCAACACAACAACAACAACAACAGCGCCCATTCCAGCATTCGGTTCAATAGGCCAAGTCTTTTATGAAGCTGTCAAAACATCGGATGATACCATCAAAGTGTTTTCGTTTGACGTACCGAGTCCAGATGACATTGTTATGGAGGCACAGAGTCAACGTAGTGGTGGTCAACTACGCAAATCATGACACGTTCAATATATATTCCCTCTTTCTTTTTCTTATTCTCTCATTCTCTCTCTCGCTCTCTCTCACACTCTCTCTTGCGCGCGCTTTTCTTATTGGGGAAAGGGGGATCGGAGGATATGATGTATATTGGTATGCTCATGGAATGAATATGTATATAGGACCTACACCAACACAATCCAAAAAGACAAAGTCTAAAGCACCTTCATCAGCATCCAATCAATCGGAGGATCAGCTCTCTCAAGACATGTTGGGTATGGGATTGGAGGATGTGGCGAAAAAGGCAGCACAGGCACGTTTGAAGGTCTCATCAGCTACGAGCACGCCCGCTGGTACACCACCTGATACACCACGATCGGCTTCACCACTCGCAAAGATACCTGCATCTAAACGGGTGAATGTCATGGAAGAGTATGCCAAACGTTCAGGAGAAAAACCAAAGTTGAACCTTGTTGTCATTGGTATGTATGGATGAAATGGTATGGGAAAACGCACTCATACATTGTATAAGGTCATGTGGATGCTGGCAAATCAACCTTGATGGGGCACTTGCTATATGAAATCGGCCATGTGAATGATCGCACCATGAAGAAATACGAGCGTGATTCACAAAAGATCGGCAAAGGTTCATTTGCGTATGCGTGGGTTCTTGATGAAACAGGCGAGGAAAGAGATCGGTATGTTGTCAAATACGCGGACGATAAGCGTGAAATTAACGTGGGATTGGAATTAGTGGCATTACCATGGATATTGCTACCAACAACTTTGAGACCGACCATCGTAGCTTTACGTTGCTTGATGCTCCTGGACATCGTGATTTTATTCCAAACATGATTTCTGGTACTGCCCAGGTAAGAAAGGGAGAGAAAAAGGACATGCTTATTGGGAGCATAGAAGCTGATGAAACAATTAGGCTGATGCTGCAGTATTGGTGGTTGATGCAAGCACTGGTGGATTTGAATCAGGATTCGAGGCCAATGGACAAACAAAGGAGCACGCGCTTTTGGCACGTAGTTTGGGTGTTCAACAAATGATCATTGCAGTCAACAAGCTTGATACGGTAAGCAAAAAGACACTATCAACCATGTATCTAGTATGGCTAATCTCATTTTCCTTAGCTCGATTGGGATCAAGGACGTTTTGACAGCATTGTTGAGAAGCTCAATCTATTCTTGGTGCAGGCTGGTTACCGCAAATCCAACTTGACGTATATTCCTGTTTCTGGATTGACGGGTGAGAACCTGATCAAAAAGAGCGACCTTGTGAATTGGTATAGTGGCCCATCCTTGCTCGAGTTGATTGGTAAGTGTGTATGTTACAACATCCAAAGGCCTGGAAATTAATATCATCGTATCTATCAGATGCATTCGAGCCTCCTGTGCGTGCCTTGGATAAGCCATTGAGAATGGGAGTGACCGATTTCTTCAAGGGTGGTATTGGCAGCAGTGGAGGAGTCTCTGTGGGTGGATCCATTGACGCTGGTCACGTGCAAGTGGGTGAACAAGTGATGGTGGTACCAGGCGGAGAGATTGGCATTGTCAAAGCTATGCAAGTTAATGATGAGACATCCACGTGGGCCGCAGCAGGTGATTCTGTATTGATGACACTTTCCGGTTTGGATATCATGAACCTAAGGTAATGCTTGCATGTTACGCGTAAACAAGGTCTCTCACAACGTATTTATTTGACAGCAATGGCTGTGTGATTTGCAATCCACAATTCCCGGTTCCAGTCACTTCAACCTTTACAGCACAAATCGTTGTCTTTGATATCAAAATTCCCATCACAGCCGGTTTCCCTGTAAGTGGCTCAATGTTGTACTTGTGTCGAAACTCACTCTTGTATGCTAGGTGGTACTTCATCAGCAAAGCCTCGACGAACCAGCATCCATCATCAAGTTATTGTGCACTCTGGATAAATCTACAGGGGAGGTTACCAAGCGTAATCCACGGTAAGCGTATGCGCGTTAATTAAAATGATAGCCCATGCTAATTCTTTTCCGTAAATAGACATTTGGGAAAAGGCATGACAGCCAAAGTCAAAATCCAATTATCCAACCGAGCAATTCCATTAGAAACATTCAAACAAAACAAACAACTTGGACGTATCATGCTCCGAAGAGGGGGTGAAACCATTGCTGCTGGTGTCGTGGATGAGGTAAGTTGGATACGATGTCTTGTGGAATAAGGTTACTGATCCCCCTTCTCCTTTAGATCTTGACATTTGGATCCTAAACATAGGGAGTTGTCAAACACTGCATATATACAAGCATCATTATTCTCGCTGTAGCAAAATCTGTACGCAATAGAATGTCATATTACATATAAACAACCATAAACAATCAATGTATTTCCAATGCAGATCAAAACGTGGCACACAAAGGTGTAAACAAACATAGTCTTGTAGCGTGTGATCTCATTATTGAAAGTCACTTTCAGATGACATTGTACGATGAGGACCGGATTGAGTCGTAATCCAATTAAAAGTTGACCACCGTTGCATGTATTTCTTTTGGCAACGTTATCACCAGGACAATGGGAACATGCCACAAATTACATCTTGCCCGATACAGAGACGTGTGTAAAATGATCGACAGATATGGACTCCGCAAGTGAGTGGCGATGATTTCAGCGTTACACACTATAAGGGACATGCATAAAACGCTGGTTGATTGCATACTATAGTGTCTTCATTTCTCTCTCTTTTTCATGTTTTATTCCATTTGCTCTGGTAGCAAAGCATTGCAGCGGCTGGCGGCTGTTTCTTTTGTCTTTTCACTTGTCATTATTGCATGCCTACATTGTGGATCACCACAACCACCACCAGCAATTAATCATCATGCCGACCTCCATCACAACGATACCAAATCACCGCTTGCAATTCATCAACATGAACGTATTCATACGAGTTGGACAAAGAACAATGGAAGCTTTGAATTGAATGATCATTTGGAATCACCTACTACGAGCACGCAGCAACGAAAGGAAACAATGGCAGCAGCCGTGGTGGCATCCTCAGATGAAAAGAGCTCACAAAGGCAAGAGAATCACAATCGACAATCATCGTCATCATCACGTGCATATGAGGACAAAGTCTACAAACATCCATCCGATGAGCATTTTCTTCCATCTGGCAATGGAAAAGCTGCTGAGGAAAAATACCTCAGCTATCTGCCACATTCAGGTTTTCACAACCAACGCATTGCACTTGTGAACGCACTTTTATTAGCCGATCATTTGAATCGCACCTTGCTAATGCCGCCTGTGGTACTTGGAGAAGCGATGCATTGGCGAGAATATGATGCTCTTCAATCCTATCACCAACTCCTCAACAAAGGTCGCATATCATCCACCTATTGCCAACAACATCCCAATGAACGACGTTGTATACGATCGATGCGTTACACCTCGCTTCGATGGGATCGACTTTTTGACTTGAAGGCGCTCAAACAACGTGTGCCTATCCGCTACCGAGATGATTATAGCTTAGCGTATCTTGAACGCAACTACAACATCACCTACAATGGCACATACATGATCAAGGACAAGCTCTTGTACGATTATCGCATCACTGAAGAGAAAGGACATGTGCTTGGCAAGTACCAGCGTGAGATTACAATGGAAGAGTTGGCAAAACGGCCCGAACGACATATCAGCTTTGGATCCCTCTTTGGTACAGGAAGAGTACTTTTCAGCAAGCGCCATAACCAGCATGCATCACAGCTTCGTGATTACGTGAATGACCAGTTCGTGTTTTCTAAAAAGGTGCTCCCATCACTATTTCAAGCAGCCGACTCGGTAGTGAAGCGATTGGGTGGAAATGGTTCTTACATATCGATACATGCGCGCGTGGGTGATAGCATGTTTGCGCGACTTTCACAACAAGTGATGGACAAGTTATGGAAAGATCTACAAAAGTATAGACCACACATAAGACACCCACCTTTACCATTGGAGACATGCCTTGGGCTGAACAGCAAGAAGAGGAGGAAAAAGCAGCAGCCATCATCATCACCCCTTGTATTGTTTATAGCCACTGATGCCCCTGAACCCAAGATTCACCCATTGTTTACATCCGTCTACGCGACATTTCCTTGTGTGGTAACATTATCTGATTTATTCGACTATGACAAGTCTCCATTAGCGACACTAGTCAACCCTGAAGATGGTATCAACTATGGTCAATTCTTGGTGCCGTTCTTGGATGGGATGATAGCAAGCCGTGCCAACGAATTTACCGGGTCCATGTGGAGTACATTTAGTTCCTATATCCGTTTCATGCATGAAAAGACACTCCATAAAGTTTGATCTGCGTCGAATATATGATTATGCAGCTTTTTCCCACACCCGATACAAATGAATAAGGCCAGCGTCCTCATTACCAATACCATCGCCAGCATTGACGCTGAACTACGCGATATCAATCTCAAAGTACGTTGCCATGAAGAATGCTTGCCATGGTTACCAATCTAATGAGCTGCTTTTGGTGGGTGGTCCATGGGTGCTTGTAGATTCACGACGACCCTGAAATAGGACGGCACGAGTTCCATGCTTCCAAACTATTGGCTGATTATATGGAGAGCAAGGGATTCAAGGTGAAGCTTGGGTTGCCTGGGATACCAACAGCTTTTATTGCCGAGTATACACGTGGATCATCAGGTCGTCGCATTGGCTTTTGCAGTGAATACGATGCTCTACCAGGGTATGTGATTTGGTTTTCTTTTATGCTTAATCATATGATTCACATGTGTAGGATGGATGGGTATATATAGGATCGGTCATGGATGTGGGCATCCATTAATTGCTATCAGTGGAGTTGCATGTGCGATTGCTATCAAGTCCGTATTGGAAGAAGGCATCCTCCAAGAAGGAAGCGTTGTGCTGTTTGGTACTCCAGCAGAGGAAACCACGCATGGTGGCAAGATTTCCATGATAGATCAGGATGTTTTTCAATCCCGGGTGGATTTCTGCATGATGTTGTAAGTAATCTTCGTATCGTGTTATCATCGCAATCATAACACATTGATGATGTAGACATCCATACCCATACGATATCAACTACTGTGTCATGCTTGCACGTGATGAAATGAAGGTTGAGTTCTTTGGCAAGGCCTCTCATGCAGGCGGCGCACCTTGGGAAGGAATCAATGCTGTGGATGCCATTATGCAAGGTTGGGATAACATGTCAATGTTGCGGCAGCAAACTCTACCTACCAATCGGTATGTATAATGTACAATAGTGGGATTGCGTAGCCGGTTGAGTAACGCATGAACATGTAGAATCCATGGCAGGCTGGTGGAAGCAGGAAAATCGGTAAGTTTGTTCATTACATCAACCACTCTCCCGCCATCGGTTTGATTACCAACATGCTTGTCTTTAGCCAAACGTGATTCCGGATTATGCGTCAGCAGAAGTTGTTGTTAGATCCGTCACTCATGAAGAATTGGCCGAGCTGAAGGGAAAAGTGGCGCTTTGTTTCGAGGCTGCAGCTGTTGCAACAGGATGTAAAATCAAGCTTACTTGGAATGAGTCAGGGATATGCAAAGGTAAACGGCTGAGGATGGTACATCAACACCACAAGCACTCACACACGTTATTCTGTTATAGATGTCTTCATGAACGATACATTGACGAATACATATCGACATTATATGGAGCAAGAAGGTGTCCCCTTTATGTCACGTGTGGACGAAGAAAAAGTGATATCTGGAAGTACCGACTTTGGCAACGTATCGTATGTCGTACCTGGCACACATCCACAGTAAGTATTCTATCAAAATCCATGTACATCGCAGTAGTAATGGATGACTTATCATGTCCTAGCTTTGGAATTGGTATCAATGCCCCTATTCACAGCGTGAAATTTGAGAAGGCTGCTCGCACAAAAACGGCTCATCAACACACCTTGCGCGCTGCTGGAGCACTTGCAAAAGCGGGTGCTAATGTGCTTTTGGATGATTCACTTTATTGTCAAATGCAGGCTGATTTTAGACAAGGGAAGCAATAGTAGTATTATTAGCTTGACTATTCTATGTATAATATGACATGTGGAATACAACGCCCAGTTGAAGATGGAGTATAATTTACTTTGTTGCAATGGTAGATCAATATAAGTGTATCTCCCGTAGTATGCTTAGTCTTACAAGAATGGAATGACGAAGAGGGACCATTGTTACGGCGTATCTAGTCCCCTCCAAAAGGGAGATGTTTTGCTCTATCGAGTGCAGCCTTTGTCCAAGACACAATAAGTCAACCAACTTGTTTTGCTTTCCTTATCACAGCATTCACACGAGCATGAACTTCCACAATCCTGCATTTCCCACACCATAGATCTTCCTATAAATCAATGCATCAAATGCTCTCGCACGTCGATGTCGAACACTGAAAGAAGAACGGCTTCTTACACTATAGAGGCTTAAAAATGGTTGGCACCGCAACGTCAAGTAAACCTTTATTGATCCAACATCATCCACAAGAGATAAACTGAGAAGTACAACGAATTGCTCCAATGAGGGAGATACATCCATATGGGACAAAGGTGAATGGATGGATGTGAGGTGGCCCTTGGTGCGTGGTGGTGTGTAGCATTTGGATGATGATGGTTGACATCTTGGTTGGACAAAGGATGATGATAGTAGTTGCCACCGAATAGCGTCTAAAGCACGAAAACTGGATGCACCACTCATTCAGGATGAAAGCATCAGTATCAAGTTGACAAACGATACACACTTTCTCCACGCGTTGCATACATCCAAGACCTTCCTTCCCATGCACCAAACCATAATCCATATCCATAACAAGTCGTATGTATTGAAGTAAGTTGCTACACGTAAATAAAGCTGCTATCTGCTATCCACGTGAAAAGACTGTAAGACAAGTTGCTGCAAGTAGAGAACGCCGTATGAGACAATGGAGTGAAGACCTCGCTAATAGCAACTGCTGCAATGAAGGCTGTTACAATTGATCGCGGTAGAGAAGCGCACAAGATCGTGTGTTGTGTCAAGAGACTCGTGTGTTGTAGATGAGCGACAAGAAGGCTGTGTACACGCCATGCACATGCCATTCAGACAAAGTCTTTCGGATCAAGACTGTTGCAGGATTGACATGATGGGTTGAAGCAGGACAATCGTTCGCAGGTGGTGGTTGCACTTAAATGGGTCAACAGTTGAGATGGGAGGAAGAGTGAAGAAGGTGGGAGTGGAAGACCTGGAAATCAAAATGATTTTTCTGATGCCTTGGATGATATCTCTGTTCGAGCGTAACCCGGTCAAATCCCCTCGGATCAAGAAAGTTAAAGGATGGAGATGATGGGCTGGAGCAAGACAATCGTTCACATGCATTGGATTGGGAAACAAAGGTGAATGGAAGGAATGGGCTATTAGCTGCCATGTATGATGTGTTGTTAGGTAGTGTAATATCATGCGTTGACCCTTCCTTTCATGCAAATCGGCTGGGTTACACCAACATGCCCTTCTGCATATCTGGCTCTATTCGTTTTCAGCTACTTGATAATGGACAAAGACCAATTCTCATATAGCATCACGCCTACAGCATAGGTAAAACATAAAGACGCCTGTATCTCCAAACTTTACAATGAAACCTGTGGTTTTTATTAGAGCAATGTGTTCGGCTTGGCCAACAGCACCTTGTGTGAAAGTTTCGCGTTCAATGTCGCAAACAGCCCAAAAAATATTTTTTGGTCGTCGTCGTCGTCGAAGAGGTCGACCCCTGGATCCAGTTTGGCTGGTGGCGACATTGCGAAATCTGGGATTGGCAAGCTTGATCGTGAAACTGGCACCCAACGTGCAGTTGGCCAAGCTGAGCACATTGCTCTATTCAAAACCCCACGTTTGATTGTAAAGTTCGGAGATACAGGCACCTTTATGTTTGTAAGCGTGATGCTATATGAGAAGTGGTCTTTGTTCATTGCCAAGTAGCTAGACCCTGGAGAGCCAAAGATGCAGAAGGACCTCGTTGGGTAACTCAGCTAAGAAGTCAGGACTTCAGGGACAATGCATGAAAGGTACGCAACCCTCACTTTGATGTCATACAGTGGCAGCTAATAGCCACTTTTGTGCATTCCCAACTTTTGTTCATTGTATCGTAGGTGGACGATGCTCCTGCTCTAGACATTCATTTCCATGATTAAAGTAGGTTGATCCGAGCTGATTTGGTTGAGTTACGCTCACACAAGATTACATCGGTTGAGCTACATCGAGCGTGCTTTATGTCTAGAGTGATGTAATCTCTCTTTGACCGTAGCTCAGTCAAATCAGCTCGGATCAACCTACTTTAATTATGGAAATGAATGTCTGGAGCAAGGGCATCGTTCGCATGCAGTGGATCTCGCAACAACGATGGTTGGATAAAAGTGGCCGTTAGCTAGCAATACATGCCTGTTCCTAGATGATCCATAAAGTAATTATACATTGACCCTTTCATTCATGCAAACGTAGCTGTGTTACACAACACGACCCTCTGCATCTTTTGCTCTGCCAGGGTCCACCTACTTGACAATGAACAAAGACCACTCTTCATAGAGCATCACGCTTACAAACATAAAGATGCCTGTATCTCCAAACTTTACAAAGAAACGTGGGGTTTTGAATAGACCAATGTGCTCGGCTTGGCCAACAGCACCTTGTGTGAAAGTTTCGCGTTCAATGTCGCAAACAGCCCAAAAAATATTTTTTTGGTCGTCGTCGAAAGAGGTTGAGCCCCAGATCCAGTTTGGCTGGTAGCGACATTGCGAAATCTGGGATCGCCCACGATGAACTTCATACTTTGACACAAGATTCCTTTGACACCGACAAGCACGTTGCTCTATTCAAAACCCCACGTTTCATTGTAAGGTTTGGTGATACAGGCGTCTTCATGTTTGTAAGCGTGATGCTATGTGAAGAGTGGTCTTTGTTCATTGTCAAGTAGGTGGACCCTGGCAGAGCAAAAAATGCAGAAGGTCCTCTTTGTGTAACTCAGCTACTTTGCATGACTGCAAGGATGGAAGGATGATACTGTATACACTATTGACAATAGCCCATATACTGCCCGCTAGCAGCCATTTCTTCACAAACAGCGTTATTGCAAAATCCACTTCATGTGAACGATTCTCCTACTCCAGCCGAGCGTTTCCATCATTCAAGTTTCTTGATCCGAGCCGATTTGACTGAGCTACGCCAAAACAGCAAACATGAAAATTAATGAATCGCAGACCCTGCGAATGTCTCCGTCTTTCAAACTTTTGGACGCTCCCATTCCAAATTTTCAAATGAAGCGTGAAGTCTTTATTAGAAAAAGTTGATCAGCATGCTCGAGAGCACCCTTCTGACCAATTTTCAAGTTGGAAGCGAGCAACTTCGGGGCGGTGGGCCGTCCGCTCTTTTGTTGCCCATCATCCACCGCTTGGGCCCTCCCGCATTCAAGACACCCTTAATGAAGTGTATGGTTTTTAAATGAATGAAGCTGATCAGCATGTTGCAGCGAACCTTCTGACAAAGTTTCAGGTTCGAAATGGGGAATCCCAAGGTAATACATACTATTTCCATGATCATGAATCCGGGGCTGACCTCCATTTCCGACTTACATAGTAAATCTCACGTTGCACCCTCCCATTCAATTTTTTCAAATGAACATGGGTTCTTTTTTAATAAAACATTGATCAGCATGTCCCAGAGCACATTGTGTGAAAGTTTCAGATTCGAGAGGGGCAATCTCAATATCAAAGTTTGATGTACAGTGTACATGCATATGTACAAGAGGTGTCCGACCCATTTAATTTTCACCTCTTCTTCTCCTTCCACTCCCGGCTTCTTGTCTCTTCCTCCCATTCTCAACTGTTGCCCCATTCAAATGCAACTACACCTGCGAACGATTGTCCTGCTTCAACCCATCATTTTGATCCTACAGCTATCTTGATCCGATTGTCGTTGACTGATTGGCAACTTCATGGCGTGTACGCAACCCTCTTATCACTCTACTGCAACAAACGAGTCTCTTGACACAACACACGCTCTCATGCGCTCTTCTGCCACAACCAATCGTAACAGCACTCATTGAAGCAGTTAGCGATGTCTTCACTCCATTGTCTCAAACAGCGTTCACAACCTTGTCACTCTACAACCACACACTCTCTTACACACTCTTCTTCCACCACCAATCGTAACAGCAGGTGCCATTAGCAAACTCTTTACTCCATTGTCTCTAGTTACGTGCAACAACATGCCTTACAGCCCTTTATGCATGGACCAGCAGTAGCCATTGTATACAAGCAGCTTTATTTACGTGTAGCAACTTGCTCTGATGCATACGACTTACAAGGATGATCTCATATCAGCTATCGAGTACGCTGCGATACAAGTAATCTTCGCCTGGTTGAGCTACGATGGATGACCAAGAAAAAGATATATCAACAGCAGGATGGAAAAGGAAACATATCAACAACGGCTCTTTTCAACCAACGTATTCGATTTGATGGATGGATGTAATCAAGTGCAGTGATTCAATATCATGGAATGTTGCTTTGGTTACTTGTTGAGTTGTCAGCAGGAAGGATGGATCACGTCACGTGGAAACGGCTGAGGATGATGATGGATTGGATGGGATTGACGAGAAGACTTATATCTTTGACGAAAGAAGGTGTCTTACAGCCATGGATGAAGGATGTTTCTTACGGCAGCAACGAAGAACACGATGTCACAATTATCCCTATTGCCTCTACGTGATTCACCCGTATCTCATTCAATTTACATTACTGTTCCTTTATCTATTAACTTGATAAACATCCACATTACCATGTCTTATTCTTCGACTTATTGCATTGAATGAAAATTGGATTCAATATGATGTTTAGGAGAGTATCGTACTGGGGAATGAAAATTGAAGGTCGGGAAGCGAGATTAGATCATTTACATCATCGTATCGCGATGCTTCGTTCTTTTGTCACGTTATTGCGTTCATTAAAACTTCATAGTTCACGTACTGATAGATGAAAAACAGGGAAGATCCTCAAACGATTGTATTGCAAGATGAGTAATACTGCACGAATGGGAGGGCAAGGATAATGGAAAAAAGGAGTCATATGAGGGAGGGTTGGGTGTTTGCACGTATTTTATGGTGTCTCACCAAAGTATGGTGACAACTCACCTGCTAGACGTATGTTGGCGTTTGGGGTCAATTTATGCTAGAATACTGAAAAATCGATTACAGCGGTATTTGACGGTTGCCACGAAAACGACACGTCCCTGGAATGAAATAACATGGGGAAGGGCTACAGTAACAACTACAGCAAGGATAACAGCAACTACCTTACAAGATCTAAATCACAAAGAAGAAGATCTTGTATTATGACGTTACTACATGATCACAATAAAAGGGAGGGTAGAGTAGTATAATCGAATACGGCCTTTACAATGAAACAGCCTCTTTCTCTTCGTTTCTTTTTTGTTTTATCACAGCATTTATGTATGAGTGCTCGTTTAATTAAAGAAAGGAAAGTTATCGAGAAACATAAGTAAACGTTCCCAACATGAGGGCTGTACCTGGCTCATGCACGTCATTAGAACGATGCATGATACAAATAAACATTGGGTTAGGCGTAACGTGTTACAAGATTAGCATGCATGAAGATATCACTGAGCTTATTGTACAACTGATTTTCTTTTATGTATATGAAAAAACAACGCAATTTTGTATATAATTCTATGTAAATGTGATTATTGAGCCAATGCAACAGCAACGCTGTAAGGGCCACTATGGCTAATGGAAACATTGATGGTATTGATACCAGCGGCAGAAGCGGCTTCCTTGGCCTTGCCAGAAAGAACAACTTGAGGAGCTCCAACTTCATCTGCAATGATTTCAATTTCCTTGAGAGGAGCACCGGCACCTTCAGATTGGATCTTGCCATAAGTGGAGATAGCCTTGAAAACGGCTTCCTTGGCAGACCAGCGACCAGCAAAGCTTGCTTGAACATCAGGGCGACCGCGACAATATTGGACTTCAGCGGTGGTAAAGTTGCGTTCAACAAAGGTTTGATTATCGGCATTCACATGGGAGCACAATTCAACATCGACACCAACACCCTTCTTGCCAGCTTGTTGTTCAGTGAGTGAAGCAAGGACAGCCTTAGTCGATTCAACATCGCCTTGGAGCTCAGGTTGAAGAGCCACAGACTTGGCATCGAACAACCATGTCTTCTTATCCTTGGAGTATTGAGCACGAGCGTTGGGGTTGAGGTACACCTTGTATTCAAGCTCATCAGTGTATGGAGCAGCATCCTTGACTTGGATAAAGTCACCAACACCAGTAAGCGAATCATGCAAGTAGCGGTAAGCCTTGGCATAACGTTGAGCATTCTTAGCCTTGTAGCTGTTGTATTCGTGTTCTTCAAGTGCACCAAGAACGTAATCGGGATGGATGATAAGGATCTCACCACCAGCTTGACCGAAACCAAATGACTTCAAGAGACCTGCCTTAAGGCCATCGGTTTGAATGCTGCGAGATGGGTACACAATGTATTCAAACTCCTTGAGCACCTCGTCGACATTATCGGCATTTCGGTTACCAGGAACGATACCACTGTTCAGGCATTGAATCATACCATTGGCCATCCATGAAGCAGCAGGACCCTTGGGGTGACCAGTAAGGTACTTTTGGGTGATAGCAAGCAAAGCGTTACCCTTGGAGCGACCAAGATGCTTGAGTTGTTCATTCAATACACGTGATTCGTTCTTATCATTGGCCTTGGTGGAAGTGCCGTGGAAGGAAGCAACACCAATGTCATCCACAGTCAAACCGTAAACAGCAAGGGCACCACGCAAAGGAGCAATGGTGGAATCTTGGCGATAGAAGTCCATGTTCCATGTGGCAAGTGCTTCCTTTTCTTGACGCTTAGCCTCCTTGTGCAAGAAATCGGTACGCTCAGCCAAGAAGCTCTTCTCCTCATCCTCATTCAATTCACCAGCAGCCTTGAGTTCTTCCAATTCTTCACGCAACATGTCGTATTCACTCTCAAGCCAAGCATTGATTTGGGCACGACGAGCCTTGAGTTGACGAGCACGGTAGTTGAAGTTCAACAAGGGCGATGCACGCTTGCGAGTGCTTTCACGAGCAGTGGTCAAGATACCAGCACCAGGAGCAGGAATGGAGCGACCTTCCTTATCAGTGGCAGTATTGGTCATAGCAACGATACCATAAATAGGAGCACCAATCTCGATAGCAGTGGATGCCGACATGAGAATATGATTACCAGAGCCATGAGCTTCCATGAAACCATTGCGAGTAGTAGTTGTAGGACGCGACATTTCAGCAGGTGTACGGCCATGCTTGAATTCATCAACAGCATTGGAAGTAGCCTTCATGTTGGCGAATTCGTAGCTGGACTCCTCAGTGATATCTTCAGTGGCACCAGCAATCATAATCTTGGCCTTGCCGGTCATGATGGTGTCAATAGCAACTTCAACGGACACAGCAGAGGTGGCACATGCATTGACAGGAGTCTTGATAGGACCAGAGGCAGACAACAAAAGCAAGTTGATCCATGCAGGGACAGTGTTGATGAAAGATTCTTGAAGGATATCCTTTTGGACAGGCTTGTCAAGCAAACGATCACGGAAAAGACCACGTTGAGCACGTTGACCACCAACACCAGAGCCAGTAGCGTTACCAATCTCGGAGACGTGGACATACTTGTAGAACTCGTAAGGATCAGTGATACCAGAAGAAACGAATGCCTCAACAGTGGAGATGATGTTGAACAATGACACAGGGTCAACTTGATCAATGATATCCTTAGGCACACCATAGCGAGCAGGATCCCAACCAGTAGGAATTTGACCAGCAACAAGACGATCGAAACGCAAGGCCTTGGGCACAAACAAAGTGGATCCCTTCTTGAGGACAACAACCCATTCACCATCACCGCTCTCATAGACATCAGCATGGTCACCTTGTTGAGCCTTGAAGTATTCAGCTTCTTCCTTGCTGCAAGCAAATGGTTCCAAGTCATGGTCCACAATAATTTCTTGCATAAGCATCTTCTTGTTGGGATCGTAGCCATTCATGACAGTAGGATCTAATTGTGACATTTATAAGTCATCTCTACATCCACACATATATCAATTCCAATAAAACTTACCAATGAGACGGATACCACTGTGTTCCAAAATTTGCTTCTCATACTTGGCCTTGACATCCTTATCCTTGACAGGTTCATTGGACTTGGCATCCACCCAACCAGAGTAAGCGGTACCATCCTTGAGCTTGCCGTGGAAGTGCTTGATGTAACCCATGATCCAAGCCATTTCGATGCAACCCTCCAAAGAGAATTCACCATTGGCTTCCATCTCCCAACGAGTACGAGCGTTACCCCATGGCGATACTTCACCGAAACCAGTAACAACCACAACCTTGTCAAGATCAAGCATACCCTTGAGATGGCTAAGATGCTTGAGGGTGTCATATTCCTTGAGCTTGGGGAAGTCGAACTTCATGTTGGCACGAGGAGTGATCTTGTGAGGCTTGTACTTGCGTTCAGCTTCTTCACCATAGACAATCTTGAAATCAAGGGCATTCTCGGCATCGACAGCCTTGCGGATATCGGCAGTCTCACGAATCTCTTGACGCAAGTTGGCGCTGACCTTGTTCAATTCAGGGATGAATTGGAAGCCACCGTTCAAATCGGCCCACACAGGTTCGTTTTGGCACAACTCAACAATCGTGGGGTGCATAAGACCAAGGATGTTGAAGGACATTTCAACAGTAGAGAAAGTGCGGATACCAAGCTTCTCCATACCCTCGGCCACCATGTTGTTAGCACTCATCAAACCAGTACCACGGGTCCAGCTATATATATAAAGTAAGTATTGATTCATGACATGATCCATTTGTATACATACCCAATGACAGCACCAGTGATCAAGAGGTAGCTTGACCAGCTTTCAGAATACCAACGGTTGAAGAGAGTTTCAAGGGCAATCTTGGATTCACTGTACAAGCCATCGCTACCAAAGAGACCATGGTTGGGGGACAATGGCAAGATGACTTGAGCAGGGCGAGTATCGGATCCAATTTGTTGCTTGTGGGACTTGACGTTACCAAGCAAACGCAACAAGTTGGTCAACATGATACGATGGGCAAGTTCAGACTTGGAGTCAATGGAATCGATTTCACGGCCGTTTTCAGGGATAGCAGCAAATGGAATAACACAATCCAAATCCCAGTTCAAGCCCTTGGGGTCGTAGATGTAGTTGACAATGGCGTCGACATCTTGCTTGGAACCTTGATTGAAGGGAACAACGACCAATTGAGAACCACGAGAGCCATAGGTGTGATAGATGGATTGGAAGTATTCGGTAACTTGGCGACTGAAACGAGATGTGGTCACCACGACCTTGGCACCACCCGACAAAAGACCCTTAAGGACCTCTGAGCCAATGGAATCACGGCCAGCACCAGTCAACAAGACGCACTTTTCAGCAAAGGTGATACCTTCATCAGCAACTTCACCAAGGACATCCAAGTAAGTGGTAGTCAAACGGCTGCTGAACTCCCATCCACTAGGATCGTTGACGTTCTTCTTCTTGAGATGCAAGAAAGGAATGGTCTCAGACTTGGCAGACTTGGCAGAAATGCGCTTGTGCTCAGCAGTGCGTACAGTGGATGACAAACGACGTTGACGGCCACGATTCTCCTTGACAATGGTGTTGGACATGGACATTGCACGAAGCACATCGCCATACAACTCGCGAATGGCAACCTTGGAGGACTTCTTCATCTTGTTTTGGTTGCGAATGATCTTGTAAATGCGGCCAAGATTCTGTTGCACCTTGAGGCGGTTGGAGTACTCGGTGATCTTGCTACCAGAAGCCATGTCCTTGACATAATCAGCGAGCTTGCGGCAACCAGGACGAGGGACTTCATTGTATTGAATATCGCCCTTTTCAGTGATAGTAGTTTGAGGACCAGTGGGGAAGCTCACTAAAATAAAATTAGTTGTCTGATTCATACCACATTCCCATTGCATCACGTGATTGTACTTACCATCCTTGTAAACGGGATCAACAGCGAGCACTTCCACGCAATTCTCAATCAAAGCTTGACCGAATTCCTTAGCCAAGTGATAGGTTTCACCCTTGTCACCAGCACAATTCTCAACATTGTAACGCATGTAGTCGATCAAACCAGGGTAGGCACGAGTCATGATGTGCAAGCACTTGGCAGTGACTTCACGATCAACAATAGCAAGCTTGCCAAAGATGATATCGTACCACATCTCCAAAGCATCTTGACGGACCCAGTTCCAGTACGAATCATAGCGACGAGCCTTGAAGCTGCTAAAGATGGGCTTGATGCCATCAGCATAAATATCACCATGTTCAGCGAGCCATTGATCCAATTCAGCTTGCAACTTTTGGGTGGTGGTCTTTTCCTCCTCGTACTTCTTGTGACCATCACGAAGATCCTTTTGCAAATAGCGAGCATACAAGTTCAATTGTTGATAGATCAATGCATCTTGCTTAGCCTTGAGGGCATCAAGCTCTTCAGTGTTGATCATCATGCCAGCCATACCAGCACCAGCACCACCGGCAGCACCACCTTGAGACAATGAGATACCAGCCTTCTTAGCATAAGCTTGGGCAACAGAATCCAACCATGACTTGGCATCAGCATCTGAACCAAGACGAGAAGCAGGCTCCATGGTAAGACCCATCAACAAAACACCTTCAGTACGACCGGGACCAAGACCCCAAGTGGATGAAAGATGAGACTTGGCAGCGCTAAGAGTGAAACCACCAGGCATCTTGGAGCTAATCATCTTAGCAACCAAAGCACTTGTATGCTTGCCAAGAGTACCAGGGAAGCTGCCGTTCAACGAAGCACCCAATTCTTCAATAGGAGTCTCTTCAGCCTTTTCAGGCACACCGCTTCCGAATTCCTTTTGCAAATCACCAAGAATCTCATTTTGAAGAGTGGATTTACCACCAACCAAATCCTTGATACCCTTGCTTGTTGGCACCTCATCAACAGACTTCTTGAGCTTTTGGGCAATGACCACATGGATAACTTCAGTAGCAGTAATAGGAGCATCACTATAAATAATAATAAACAAAATGAGTAATCATAATAATCATAATCACAATTCCCCCCCCCATTGTATGATACATACGCAACAGGAGCTGGACCAGCAGCAGCAGGAGCAGCAAATGCAGCCATCATAGGAGCACCAGCTGCAGCAGCACCACCAGCAGATAAGCTGATACCAGCCTTCTTGGCATAGGCTTGAGCAACAGTATCCAACCATGATTTGGCATCACCTTCGGAACCAAGACGAGAAGCAGGTTCCATAGTAAGACCCATCAACAAGACACCTTCGGTACGACCACTGCCGAGACCATACTTGGATGACAAATAGGACTTGGCACTGCTAAGGCTGAAACCACCAGGCATCTTGGAGCTGATCATCTTAGCCACCAAGGCACTTGTATGCTTGCCAAGAGTACCAGGGAAGCTGCCATTCAATGAAGCACCCAACTCTTCAAGACTTGTCTCTTCAGCCTTTTCAGGTACACCACTAGGGAACTCCTTTTGCAAATCACCAAGAATTTCGTTTTGAAGAGTGGACTTGCCACCAACCAATTCCTTGACGGTCTTGTTAAGTGGAACTTCATCAACAGACTTCTTGAGCTTTTGAGCAACCACCACGTGAATGATCTCAGTAGCAGTAACAGGAGCATCACTATAAATAAATAAATAAGCGTATGAGTAAATGTCATATGACATCGTATTGCATATATGTAAATTACCTAACAGGAGCTGCAGGTGCAGCAGCAGCGGGCATGGGTGGTGGTGCAGCAACAGGAGCAGCAGGAGCAGCTGCAGGGGCTGATGCAGCAGCAGGTGCAGGCTCTTCTTCAACAGCAGTATCCTCAAATTGATAATAGATCTCGGTAGCATTCTTGGAAACGCACAAGTTTTGGCGGCGGTTGATCAAAGCATCATCATAAGCTTGATACTTCAAGTTGAGAGTACGAGTTGCCATGCCACACAAAGTAGGTGAAGGACCCAATTCAATAAGACGCTCGACCTTGAAGTACTTGAAGAGCTGATCTTGAGTCTCGATCCAACGCACAGGTGAAGCAAATTGATAGGCAAGCAATTCGACAAGCAAAATGTAACCAAGACGTTGTTGTTGACCAGGAGTAGAATACTTGTCATCAGTCCAATTCTTAAGAACCTTGCCGAGACGAGGGCTGGAAGTCAAGCTGTAGACATTCTCAATGTACTCCTTTTCAATGCTGAAGGGTTGAGCTGTCAAGTTGGGAATGTACTTTTCGCTGAGTTGAGCCACGTTGATGTAGGTTGGGTTGATCTTCTTTGCCAAATAGGTACGGAAAGGTGCAACACCGCTAAGCAAGAAGCTTGAGTGGAAAGGTACATCAATACCAGGCAATGGCACAGTAGCATAGCCACGCTCCAATTGGACACGACCAGTGGCAGCCTTCTTAGCATTGGTCTTTTCAATGGCACCATCAATGATTTCGGTCAAATGCTTCTTGACATCCTCCAAAGGCATGGTGGTCATAAGCTTTTGCAAGTCAATGTCTGATTTCTTGATAAAGTTGAGCACATTGGTCAAGACGTCAAGGTTAGGCAAAGAACCAGCAGCAACGTATTGCCAATTTTCAACGTTAAAGTTGACAATCTCAAGGACATCATTGCTTTGACGAGCAATGGAATCGACAACATAGCGTAAAGCGGTATCGTTGAAAGTCTTGGAGACACGAGCAGGGTTGACAGCAGCCATACCATAATTGGATCGACCTTCGGCATCACGTTGCACAGCGGATTGCATGGTCATACCACGATAGAAGACAACATCCACCAATGACTCAATAGGCAACACGTTACCAACGGCAGCCAATGCGGAGTATTCACCAAGGGAGTGACCAGCAAAAGCACAATCCGATTGAATAAGCTCCTTGGCACGCATGTCTTCGAAAGCAGCCTTCTCCATCAAAGTCAAAGCAGGCTGAGTGAATTGGGTAGCTGACAACAAACCATTGGGCGATCGGAAGGTGTAGAAGGAAGTGCGATCGGTGATGTTGGGGAACAAAGGCAAAGTCTTGGTGCTGCCATCGGATTCGACAACATCATAAGTCATGCTCATATAGTTTTGGCGAATAGCATTGCCACGAGGACCACCAAAGTGCACAGTCTTTTCCTTGGGGTTGTCACGCACAATCTCAATGATCGAGAAGCCATAATTCTTCATGAAATGGGCATCTGCACGATCCCAAATATCCTTGGCAACAGGGGAGCTAGCATACAATGCCATACCCATACCTTGTTCTTGAGAACCTTGACCAGTGAAAACATAGGCAGTGGTAGGCTGCTCCACCTCAGCACTTCCTTCAACAATCTTGTCCCCATTTTGGTTGACGGTCTCAACCTTGATAATCTTGCGACCATTCTTCATACCAATATGGGACAACTTGGTTTCAAGGCGATCAGAGGGAAGCACCATACCCATAAACTTGACATCATAGGCAACCACACGTTGAGGATTGTTGTCAGCAGCGAAGATCTCAACAAACTTGCGAGTTGAAGCACTTGTCCACATGCCATGGGTGATGGTACCAGGCAAATTGGCAAGGTCAGCAAAGTAAGGGTTGACGTGAATAGGGTTGAAGTCGCCAGAGATCTTAGCATAGGGCTCATTGGATGCAGGAGCGTGCACCACTGAAGAATAGGTCGACTTGGCAGGCATAACAGAGTAACCACCATTTTCGAAAAAGTGGGCTTGCTCAATCTCTTGACCATGACGCTTGAGGTATTCAGTAACAGGGTTACCATGGCTTTCACCAGCTTCATAATCAACCTTGCCAACTTGAACAAATTCCTTGGTCGAAATTTGCATCGAAACAGTACCCTTGGTTTGAACGCTGGCATAAACCTTCTTGTTCTTATACTTCACTTCGGTGTTGAGGCGGAAGATAAGGGTGCTATCAGTAGACAACTCATGGTTCTCCAATTCCTCGGTCCACTCGATCCATTCCTTGGATTTGAGAACAGCAATGTCCTTGGTGTCCTTGAACTTGAGTTGCATAGGAGTCTCAACCTTGCGTTCAAAGGTGTGTTCATAGTCATCAAATTGGCCACGATACAAGAATTGGCTGACGACTTCGAGAATAGGCTTGCCATCACGAACAATCACACCCTTGACCTCAATAGTCTTTCCAGAATCACCATTGATGATGCCATTGATATGGGCATAGGTGTCGACAACATCACCAACACTGAGAAGAGTACCACCTTCAAGCACACGGAAGCCATTGGACAAGTGAACAAGCTTAAGCAAATCACCATCGATGACCTTGGGGAAGATAGCCTTGATAATAGCCTTCCAGCCGACAACAATGGCAAAGTCCATAGGAGCATTGACCTTTTGACCACGATCAACGTAAATCTCAGCTTGGTTACCAACAGCTTGGCAGAATTCCTTGATCTCATCAGACTTGACAGATTCACCAGTGCCAATCAACTTTTCGGTGACAGGGACATTCAAAAAGTCATCCTTGTTATCAGCACCAAACCAAAGCTTGTAATAGAATTCCTTAATGCGATCATTGCGGCTCTGTAAAATCGATAAATATGAGTAAAGATCATCCATTATCAGCAACCAATAATATACATACCTCCATGACCTCATGAATAGGAGCGTAGCCAAGTTCGGGCTTGTAGTCAAAGTGCAAGTTCAAAGGAATGAAATCATCACCACGCTTCTCAAACATGGTAACATTGATACGGCTGCCTGAAACAGCGACTTCAACGGAAGTAACAAAGTCCTTGGTCTTGCCAGTGGCACTCCAAAGACGCTTGTCTTGAACCTTGACAGCAACAGGACGGCCATTGCTATCACGAGAGACAACAACTTGTTGACCAGGACGAGGACGAATCAAGTGCTTGAGAGGGTTGTCAACAAACTTTTTGTTTTGCACAATGAATTGCGAAGTCAACAAAGCACGCAACCAGTTGTACTCAGCACCAGCAATAGCTTGAGACCATTCATCTTCCTTGTGCAAAGCGGACTCGTTTTCACCAGTGGCATACACAATTTCAGTGGCCGATTGGGAAGCAGGCTCGATGCTCTTGTTGACTTGGATATCAGAGCCACCAAGATATTCAATTTGAGGAATGGATGCATCGCTGTTGTTGTAATAGCGTTCCTTCAAGCTTGCAATGTGGCTGGTGTAAATGTCACCAAGGATTTCACCCACAGGTTGATCGACACGAGTGGCGTATTTGGCAGCAACAGGGCCATGCAAAATACAAGTACGTTGAACATCTTGATCGACGACAGCTGCAAGGTCTTCAGATTGCCACAAGGAATCCTTCTTGAACCACACCTCAAAGTCCTTATCCATGACAGGAATGAAAGGCACAGGCTTTTGACCACGGCGTTGGCACAAGGTGACAAAGTGCAACACATCTTCAGAGGTCAAGAGCTGAGTATCAGCCTCAGGGAATTGAGCCAAAAAGTCGGGCACAAAGTCGTTGGGGTTGTCGAGTTGGCTAAAGTTTTGCAAGAGCGATGCCTTTTCGGAGGTTGAGAAACGTTCTTCCACACGACGCAAAAAGTCGCCAACAAGGTTGCGGTGAGAAATGTCGATCCAACGTTGTTCAAGCTTGATGTACAAAAGCTCCACCATACGTGATACCACTTCAACGTAGGTCATTTCTTGAAGATCGACAACGTCACCATTCTTCTTTTTGCCAAACCACACCTTTTGGAAATCAGCATTGAGACGCTTGATGATATAATCCTTCTTGGCAAGCAAAGCAGTAAGACGCTTTTCCTTGGGTTGGTTGAAGATGCTTTCATCCAATTCCTTCCACAAACGCACACCACGAGTAGCAATCTTGTGAATAGGTTCACCCAATTCAGAGCGCACAGTAATCACACCACCGGTAGGTCCCTTGTAAGTCTTTTCCCAGTTGTCATCATCAACACCAGGAGCATCCACCATAGCTTGCTTGACAGCAGGGGATGCAAGACCTTCCTTAGACACCATCATACGAGAACCAAAGAGGATACCATCAAATGGCATAGGAGGATAATCGAATTGCAAAGCCCAATCACCGGTAAGATAGGGCAAAGTATCATCAGCACCACCAAAACCAGAACCAGCAACGAGAACAATGTTTGGTTGACGACGAATAGAAGCATAAGTCTCAAGAATGGGTTGATGGAAATCCTCAAAGCTGTGGTGACCACCAGCACGACCACCGGTCCACTCCATGATAATAGGCATGTTGGGATTAGCTGCAGCAATGGAAACAACCTAAAGGTATTCATCATTAGTATCACCTTTCTATCACTTGTATTGCTTTTTAACATACCTGACGGATGGTTTCAATGCTACCAGGCTTGAATGCAACATGGCGAATACCAGCATTTTGCAAATTCTCCAAGACCTCGTTGGCTACATCCAAGCTGGGAACACCGGCAGCAACACAAACACCCTCCATAGGGAGACCTTCCTTACGCATGACTTGGATCAAAGGATACTGGAAACCCCATTGGCGTACGTTCAAGAACAAAATGTTGAGAGTGATGCCTTCACCAGCACGAGTTTGCTTCATGATCTCATCCACCTTGCTACGCAACATCTTTTCATTGTAATGACCACCACCAGCAAGTTCAACATGGTAGCCGGCATTCATTACTGCTGATACAAATTCGGCGCTGACAGTGGAAGGAGTCATACCAGCAACCATAAGTGGGGGCTTGCCAAGGAGACGTGACATGCGAGTATCAACATGAATACGACCATTGCTATATGGAAATAGTAATCATCATCAGCATCTATACATGTATCATACTCTTTCAAGTAACCATGCCAATACACATACCATGATGTCTTTACAAGCTTGGGTTGGAAAGCCTTGGCCCAATCTTGAGAATAAGTGACAGCACGAATATCCGAATCAAACAAATCGGCCTTGTACGACAAATCACGGTTGTTGCCTTCAAGAGCACCAGCCAAAACGATTTGGACACCTGTACCTTCCTTGTTACGATGGGTCAAGGCACCAATACCCGAAGTACCACCGGGGCCGAAATCGATAATATGCGTGAGACCCTTGAGAGCAATAGCCTTCTCCCAAAGGACGGGACGTGCACAAATAAGAGACACCAAATCGAGTGTCAAGTCCTTGGAGTTGCGAAGGTCATCACCTAATAAAGTAATAAAAGGAGCAAGTGTCAATCAAAAATGTTGTCGATAATACCATCCACCATTTCATGCCCCCCAACGCCCCATTGACCCAAAATGTGAAACACTTGTTGCACCGTTGGGTGTGTTGTGTATGTACTCCGCCCCTTAAAAAAGTGGCCCCTCCACCTACACCCACCCACCCATACACAAAATATACATACCTGAATCAGTAGCCAATACTGGAATACTCAAATCCTTTGCTTCAAATCCAAGCTGTTCACGTTGAATATCTTGTTTGAGAATTTCACCAGCCTGTGCCAAATAATCACTGTGGAAAGGAGCTGTAATCGGCAAGAATCGGGAAGAGAATTTAAGCTTGCGTTGAGAAAATGGTACTCGAGATTGTTCGAGGCCTGCTGGTGCCTTGAGCTTTCTCAAGCTAAGATTGAGACCATACAAGGATTGTGGTGGACCAGTGCAAACGAATGAACGAGGACCATTGACAAGGGTCACCTTGATTTGGCGGTCTGGTGCAAGATGTGCGTTGGTGGCATCCAAATGTTTGCGGACTTGCTCCTCACGTAGACCAGTGATAGCCAACATTGGGGTGGGGTTGCCTTCATTATTGTTGATGGAATCTTCAAGGATGGTGGGATTAAGCGTAGTGGGTGGGAAAACTTGTTGTGCACGAGTGCCGATCCAGAAAAGCAAGCCGAGTGCCTTTTCAGCATTGCGTACAAATTCTTCTTCAGTGTTGGATGAAGCAATGACAGCAGAGGTAACAATGCCTTGACTATGACCGGTGGTACCTAATATGCACGTTACATGTTAATAATCCTTTCCCCATCCATATACACCCCCAACCAATAACCTTTTTTACATACCAGCCAAATATTGTTTGATATCTGAAGGAGAGCGATCCAGCACCTTGAGCATGACATAGTAATGGAGAAGTTGGGTAAGACCAATCAAAGGAAAACTGACAGGTGCTGAAACGAAATATTGTAGATCAGGGCGTAGCTCGGGGTTTTCTAACCAGCGCACGACATCAAGACCCTTGGAATGAAATACACTTGCTTCAGAGCTGCGAGCATGTTCAGCCAAAACAATGGCCATCCTTTCTACGAATCCACGCACCAAACCATTGTATGTTGTCCAAATATCTGCCAATTCATCAAAATATTCCTCAATGTTGCCTTGACCCCCAAAGGCTGCAAAAATCTTGGTATCGCCACGAGCTGCGGCAGCAAACAACGCCGATTGGGATGGGGTAGCTTCCTCAGCTGAGAGTGCTTTGCTGTCTTTGAGAACAACCAACGAGGTGAAATAAGCACTAATGATCACTGAACGGGACTCGGATGAAAGGTTGCGAGTGATGGCATGTACGTCATTGTCCTTAAGATATCGGCCACGGAAATCAATAAAAGCTGTCCTTGCTACAGGCAAAAATTGTTGTTCCTTGGAAGCACGCTTAGCAGCAAAGCTCATAAAACGGGCTGCCAATTCGATCTCATCAATCTCATCCTCTTCGATGGGGAATTCTTCTTTGAGCTGTTCGGCCGAGACCCAGATATCGGCAGGCACCAAAATGGATACTTCAGTCTTGTTCTGCTTAACAGAAAGAGGGCGCAATACTTGATGTGGTTGACTCATGATGGGGGTGATGCTCTGGATGTGTTGTATAATATGTGTATATATATATAAATGTATATATGTGGTTGTTGTGTATGTCGTACGGAGGAGGTCGAGCCTTTATCGGAGGAGGAGAGAGAACCTCGTTAGCATTTGCCATTGACAAGTACAGTATCCGACGCTTGCTTTACCTTATGCGCTACAAGTGGATGTAGAGTATGATGGGATGTGAAAGTGTGTAGAAAAGATGATAAAGAAATGTAAAGGAAAACTTTTTTCAGCCTTTGGATGTTCTCTTTTTCCTTCCCCCAACAAAAAAAAGAAAGAGATAAAACCAAAAAAACAATGACAGCCCATCCCGCCAAGGTTTTGGCCTGCCATTGCGTCGGGGCAAGGCTTGTCGCTGTTTGAATCGTTGGCCTTTTGGGGTGAAACTGCAAAAGAACCAATGCCAACCCATCCCCAAAAACAATCATTTGTTGCGTGTCTTGCTGCTACTCGTTTTGGGATCATTCTCCTCACAAATTTCCTCATTGTTGGCAGTGGATGGGCTTTTTCATGACACTTGTCCAAGTTGCTTCTCTTGATTGACCACCGATAATAAAATGAGAGAGGGGAAAGCTGAGTCGGATCAACCCCACTGCTTCCGTGCACGTCCCCCGCCTTTTGTGTGTGCTGTCATTTTGCTTTTCCCCCATTCCCCAAATGCTTTTGCTGTTTTATCAATGTCCATATCGGTTGTTGGATGTGCTTGAATAAGACGCATGTTGTGATCTTTATTACGTGTATAGTTGTCATTTGCTGCAGTACATGATCCTGAGAATAGCAAAGTCGTCATCTTCTTTCCCTTGCATAAGCCATCGGTTTCCTCCTTCCTCCCCCCTGCTGTCAACCAGTGACCCCAAACGTATGCATTGTGATGGTTGTACAAAAGGTTGCTGCATTTGGATATCTCTCTTCATCGTTGAACAAAGTTGACGCTATACGAGCCTGTGCTTGGATCTTGTTGCATCTGGAAGTTGTCTGTCGATAATCCAAATTTGCCTAGCAACGTGTTGCCGAGATCTTTGAGTTTCCCCATCATTTCCTCTTTTTCTTTCTCCATCCTCTCTTTGATGATAGGTGGCAATCTTTTGTTGGCTCGTTGACATTCGTTTTTGGTGTGCGTATCAAGATCAGGTTGTTGGGCCAGCGTTCGATAATCCTCCAATGCATCGGAAAGTGAGCTGTAAGTATCCATCTTCTCATTGGCTTGTGCTCTGCGTAGGATGGCTTTGCTGTAATGTGGATCCAGTTTCAGTGCCTCTGTTGCCATGTCTCGTGCATCTTTGTAATTGGTCTAGTGAAACAATGATCCCATCAATATACCATGATACCCAACGAACAATCCTACACACTACTTACAAGCTTCAAATGACATGCTGTGATATTTCCAAAGTATATGGCTCGTTCTTTTGTTGCTGATACAGGACATAAAACAAGTGCATCCTCATAGTGTCGAATGGCCTGCTCATAGTCTCCCTTTGCAAAGTGCAGGTTGCCCTTTTGCTTGTAGTCGGTGGCTTCCTTCAGTAATCGCTACATGTGTATATACACTGGTCAACACACAATGCATCCCCAACATCGGTTTCCATGGCTGCTGCTACTGCTTACATTGTATTCCTCGGGCTCATAGTCGACTGAATCGAAGAACACATCGCCATCCTCATCGGCATTCGGTTGCTGTTGCTGTTGTTGTTGTGATTGCTGAGGTGCTTTGGATTCAATAGGGTCTTGTTGAATGGGGAGATTGGGTATAAGAGAAACTGATATAGAGGAGAACACTCCAAGAATAAACGTATTTTACCTTGACTTATTTCTTCAATGACGGCCATGGAGGGCAGTTTTTTATTGTTTTTGGGTGCAGTGTACTTTTTTATGCAAAGAAGAAGAAAGAAGCGTGTATAGAATGCGGGGTACAAAGTAAACGTTGTCGAGGGGGATTAAACTTAGATCTTGCTGGGGATACGAACCTCATGGAAACCAGGAAGTTGGACAATGACTTCTTCCTCAACGTTGGTGATTTGGCAATCATCGTTAGGAACACCATTCTCGTGGACAAGACAAGCAAAGTCAGTGACACCATCAAGGGCCACCATAGGATGATGCCAGGTGTTTTGGCGGTAGTTGATGCCTTGAGTGGAAGAAGCAATGAAAGCCTTCATGGTATCGATATCAGGAGAACCATCCTCCTTGGAAAGACACACAATGACCAAGTAACCACGGGTTTGACCATGAGTCATGGGCATGAAAGCTTGGCTGGAGTAAGGGTGACGCTCAAGAAGGCGCACAGTGAAGGGCAATTCAGTAGTAGGCTTGCTACGGAAGACACACATGTTGGTACGAGAGTGGCCAGGATAGTTGTTGACAATGTCAGCAACAAAGTGGTACTTTTCAGCGGTACCCTGGTTAGCACCAGACATCTTCTTGGAAACAGGATCAGCTTCAATCACATCACCGAAAGGCTTGTACTTTTCAGTAGTCAAGGGCTCAGCAATCAAGTTACGCTTGTGAATGGTGGGGGCAGCAAGAGGAAGAGCAGGGATTTGACCACCTTGGCGGACACCATAGAGACGAAGACGCTTGAAACCACCATCTATAATAATAAAACTCATTTGTTAATACCAATAGCCACAACCATTTGTAAATAATAATACATACCAGGGATGATGGAGATACGAGCATGAGAGAAGACCTTGTCGGTGTGGGGAACATCAAAGTAGAAGACACCGTGGGGACCAACCTTGGTGTTGTTGGGAAGAAGAGTGACCCATTGGGCACTAGCCTCAGGCACCTCGTTATCAGAGTTGGTAGCTTCAAGCAAAATGCTATCAGGGAAGTTGCCCTTAAAGTGAGAAGTGTCAATCTCAGCCTTAAGGATATGACCCTTATCACCAAGGCGAACCACAACATGATCGCTGTGGCCTGGGATACGGGAACGCTTGGTTTGCCAGCCATCACCCATGTTTTGGCCACGACCAGGCAAAAGAATGTTGTTGCCAGGGGTATAATGTTCGTTGGTAACGTGAACAGCGCGAGCACCGTTGCCAATGAATGCAAGATCAACGATGGCACTAAACAATAACAAAAATGCATAAGCATCTCCATCACAGTCACTTTCCTTTTATGTCACCCTACTTACTTTGGATCCTTGGGCCAAATAGGAACAACAGTACCGTAGGCACGGAAACGAGCAATACCACCATCAGGGATGTTGTTGAGTCTCAAGTGAGTGAAAACGGGAGTCTCTTGATCCAAAACGAAGGCGTTGTGAGAGCTGGAGTTAAGCTCAACCTTGGGCAAGATTTCAGTCCACTTTACAGAGGAAGCTTGAACATCACCTTCAGGGCAGAAGGCAGCTTCAACAGAGGCAGCGGGAGCATGGTTACCAGTGAAGAAGCTGGTATCGATATCAAAGGCACGGATCTTGCCAGCGAAACCAAGCTTAATAATGCACCTGAAACACACACTATCAGCACGTTTTGCTCAAGGAACATGGGTTATCAGCCCATCTCTTTGTGTCACTTACCAATCGTAAGAGTGGTTGTGGCGTTGGCTTTCCCAGCCATCCATCCAAGAACCAGTATCTATGGTAACCAAACCATTATCAGCTTTTCCTTTTCCTTATCATCCATTATCAATAATACATACCGACAAACTTGTCAGGAAGAGAAATGGGTGGGTTGGGGCTGAGCATGCTGCGAGCGGGAGCAAAGAATTCGTTGGTCACATCAACGATGGAGCTACCAAGAGCATAGGTGGCCAAATCTATAGAATGACGTGTGTGCGTATGCGAACGTGCATGCGTGTGTGTGTGTGAGTCGAATTGGTTGTGGTAACGACGACGTTGAAGGTGTCGATGGTGTTGTGCTGATACTAACCGACGCATTGGCCGATAGATTGCTTAATGTTTTGATGATCAACGCGCTTGTAGGAAACCATGGTCGATGGGTTGTAAAAGATGGGTGAGGAAAAAAGAAAAGTGGGGTAGCTAAATTGAGCCCTTTTAGTACCTTTTGCAAATCTCTGTGCAGCTGAGACCATCGGGTCTCACACTTCTTCAAGTCAGAAAAAATACCTTGTTGTACAATAAATATACCGCCTTCGGAGACCATTCCTTGATCTTGGTCCCTTTCTTCCGACAAAGGGTACAAGAAGATGTTCTTTAATGAACCTCGAACACTATCGGGAATGAACTACTTGGTGCTGCCAAATCTGTGAATGCTTCAACGTATCAGAATCATCCTTGTGTTTTTTCCGTTATTAACATGATCAAACGTTAATGATGTCTCATTTTTGTTGTTTACATACACCTTCCTTTAACCTCCGGTTGTCCCTTACTTTACCCTTTCGAGCGTCTGTCAATGTCATCATCTACCCACCACTAACGCTCCGAGGAACCACCTTTCACTGTCCTACCGTGTTTTAAGGTTTGGTGGTAAAAAAGAACCAAGGGCTATTTTGCCAAATGCTATAGTTTGGCCTCGATACTGATCCCAACAGATCCTTCGGATCGCTTCTTGTATTAAGACCTATATTCTTCCAGACCACTGTTCGATCATATTGCTTATAGCAATATTGATAATTTCAATCTAGAATCAATCCATGGTATCGATACACAAAGAGAATCATTGGCGACCATGCATACAACAATGTAAATGTCCCAATAGCTAATGTTTGGTCAATGCTGTGTGTAAAATCTCTCCCCCACGAATTACTCATTTTTGAAGCGGCATTAACATTTCTATAATGCACACGACGTCATAATCACACATACATACTTTTGCCATACCCAATGCATTGACCCCCTTATCATTTCCTTGGCTGTAACAGCTGGTCATTGATAACGTTCTAGGGATTGATGGTTCTTTTTTTTGTTAAATGAATCTTTGTCTATGGTGTAACACAATGGAGGAAGTGTGTGTGTGTGTGAGAAAAAGAGTGTCGTATATGTACAATAAAGGTATTAAGAAGAATGGGTCATGGTCATTGTGCTTTGAGCGAATCCAATTCTCGCACCAACAGCTCGTATGTGAGTATTGTCATTGCTGAAGATGGCACGGTACGTAGCAAGTTGGTGGGTAATCCTTTGTACAGCCCTCGTACGCCTTCTTCAGCCAAAATGATCTTGACTGCATGGAAGATGCCTTTGTATTTGAATGGCTTCACCGTTTGGTTTTGTAAACGTGTACGAATCACCTAATGGCACAAAGCATTAGCGTATACACTTTTCAAGCGGGTATGGAGTATCATCATCATCATCATCATCATTACCTCATGCGGATAAGTCGCCATACTGGCAGCCATTTTTGACAAGGAAGATGCCAGCAAAATTGAAACAGGGCCTGCTGACGAGGTATCGGCGTCTACATCAGGGTCACGTGAATACATGAGAGAAAAATTTGACCACAACCAAACCACGCTTTACTTACGCAAATAGCACTTTAGCTTTTCATACAATGGGAATTGTACAGCGACATGGCTAACACCCAACAGTGATGGTCCCAATCCCTTGTAATAACCCCGAATCCCTTCTTGACGTCCAATAGTGATGAATGCATCCAATGTATTCTTGTACCGATATGCAGTGCGTTCATTTTGTGTCTGCAATGCCAGGGATAAGTGGATGAAATAACAAATGATGCATGTAGTCAATCATCTTACCATCATCCTAGTCTTGATAACCCACAATGGATTGGTTAATGATGTGGATGCTGCTCCAGCTGACATGGCAGATGCAATATGAACCAGCCAAGCCTTGTTGTGACCTATCAAGCAAGAGATAAGAAGTCCTATCTCACCCTTTTGTGTCCTTTTTGACTTACCAAACTCCTTTCCCCATCTATGTTTGAAGTAATCGTATGCAGTAAAGTAGATTGCCCAAGTTGGAATGTAGCCAAGGATCGTCGGCCCCAGACCACGATACAATCCACGTATGCCTTCCTCCTTCCAAATCCGAGAAAGTGTACCTGTAAACAAATTGTGTCAATACAGCAGATCAAAATGCCACGCCTACCCCCAATCATCTTTTATACTCACCAACCGTTCCCCTGTAAACGACAATTCCAGGCTCCAATTTGCCTTGATTCTGCAACCGCGTCTTTACAACGTCGAGTGGACAAGTCACCACCGAGGATACGATACCGGCGCCTGCACCAGCAATAGAGTGTTTGAGGTTCTCATGACCTTGACTAGAATCGCGACGTTAGTTTGCTAATCTAGTTCTCGAGGATTGCATGGGGGGTGTTGTTGTCGTCGTTCAATCGCTTACGCAAATTCCTTGTACCAGCTGGCGACCTTGCCCATTTGCTTCAGCTCTGGACGCGCTCCAATGGTAAATAGACACTGTGCTGTATGGTGAACGCTTCAATCAAAGGGCAAAACAAAGGTCGATTGACGCAAAGGGCAAAACAAAGTAACGAGATGTGGTGTGTGTATGCAGGGCCGGAAGAACAAGCTGTGTATAGCTTGGTCGCCTCATCGCTGCCAGTCGCCGCTTTTCTTGCACACGCCAAATCTGTCAACCAGCTCCGATTGTCTATATTCAAAGCGTGACACACGTTGTATGCTGCATCATTGACTCCCCGTTTCCATGGGGACGACACCCTCTTATCATTGAAAAAATGTATGGCATATTGGATAATGGAATTGATCACTTGATTGATAAAGGGATTGTAGAGTTGTACTTTATTCCACGTGTGTGGAATTATCCCACGGTCTTGATAGGCGTGTGCTTTGACATGTCGCCGTCGTGTTACTTTTACTTTATTACAAATAAACATTGATGGGTTTAGCTTTTTTTATCATGAAAAGGCATGCTGTATCATAGATGATATGGCTCTAAGTATTGCTTTCTTTCCAAGTTTGTAGAATGATGAATGTCATTTCATTGTATCTTTACAATGACCATTGTGTAACGCTGAGCAACAAGGATAAGCTCCTTTATGAATGACTGCATGTGTCTTAATGAATGGAGTAGCTATGAGCTATGTCGCCCTTGTGATGTCGCTCATGAACCTCTTATCCACCTGTTGAATAATTCATGCCCAATAAATAGATCCATTACGCGTAAGAATTGTACCAGCAATCACTAATGTCATCGAATGCTGTGCATGATGATGTACATGCACACATGATACTCTAACATAGAAAGAGAAAGCAATAATGGGTGGCGGAATTCATGCGTAAGGAATCGTCCTTTTGATATAAGTAGCTTGGCACAATTTATTGATAGATAGCACAAAGAACCTGTTCGATCTGCCTGGGTATAGTAATAAAGATATTGTGCTATGTTTATCAAGCCATACAATCATAGCCATTATTGCATTTCCTTGCCGTGGTAAATATCAAACGACAACAGGAGGCCATATTAGACATACTTCTGTCACTACAAAAAACCACCTTTAAAGCTGCAGGTACATAGATTTGTGTACCAGCTGTTGATTTTCCATCACTTCGATTCGGTACTTCAAGATGGTCGACCACTTTATCAGTTCGATCCATCATGACAACAATTCTCACGCCCGCTCACATATAAACAGGGCTGTTTGCACCAACACCATCATACGCCCTTTGTTTTTACTTGTATGCATATCATCATCAATGGCCTTTGGTAAGCCTCAAGGGTAGTTTTTACGTGATCCCCAAAATGAGGGTACTCATGCATTCATCTATGTAGCTCACTTCACTGATTATTGGTGCCTAATGACTTTTGGATGTTGTTTTCTTTGATGGAGTCTTTGCGGTAGGCACCCTATCATTTATAGGCAAAAGGCAACCTCAGTCTGATGGGGGAAATTGGGACTCCTTTGTAGGTGGCATAAATACATCCGATCACATTAAAATATGGCTGTGGTGGGTTCATCCCATGTCATGGAGTGGATTGTCTCAATCGAAGATAGCACATTGACAATATGAAATGCGATGTATTTGCTCATAGAGAAGGATGGCCAATCTAGCATATACGACATCTATACTATCAGCTACGCTGATTCTATTTTCGAACTACAATATGTACATCCCTATACCATTTTGTATCCTTGCAATCATAATGATGAAAAGAGACTTTATTGATCTTAGACCTTAAGCTTCAACTTGTGCTCCATAGCACCATGGATATCGAGAATGTCAGTGGACATGTTGGGATCTATCGTAGGCCATGATTAATTTACCCGTCATCCAACATAATCCATCCACTATGAACATACCATTCAAAAAGTCTTCAAAATCAATAGACTCATCCTTTCCCATCAAGATATCAAGATGCAAGTTGGAAGATGGCATCACAGGCATCCGTTGACGCTAACAAGTTGGATCGTTTTAGTTTCCTTGTATCGTAATGCATGATGTTGCTCCTCATTGAATATACCTTGCTAACGATCTCTTTTTCCATCATCATCTTGATTGGTGCGTGCATACCGTGTACTTGACGTGCCATATTCAACTTGAGTTCCCATTGGGATTCTTGCCACTATTTCATGCATATACTCTTATATAAGCATAGCTATTTCACCACGACGAGGAAGAATCGATATATCGTACCTGATCCAATCGTTGTTCAAGAGGGTGACCAGGGAGTACTTCAGTCTTGATAGATCGTGTACCGTAACGAAGTGCATCGTGTCCACCAAGCTCGGCATGTGTGGTATCGATTGTTGATTTGGTGTTGTTTTCAGGATGGACGGCGGGGGCAATGCGGAAGGACTACAGCATTTGGAAGTATTGTACTTGAGTTTTGGTGCCCATGAGGGGTTCCTGATCGGTGCTTACCATATTGTCAAAGGGTGTGGAAGCGGGCGTAAGAGGATACCAAAGGAGCTTGCGCGTCGTTGGATTAATCAAGGCACTGCGTGGTTGAAACTCAGGTGTTCGTCCTCTGGCACTCCTCCATTTGCATAAGTCAACTCTTGAGCACCCAATCTCTTCACTTTAGGCGACTTACTTCTCCACTCCAATATCGGTTATCCTTGCTACGAGAACATTGCATCTTACATAACGCATCCATAAGGTAAAGTATCCCATCATGTGAATCGTATAAATATTTCATCAATCAACCTAATAAAAGGAATGAAGCATGTCTTGTACATAGTACGGAGCGATAGCAACAGTGAAGTTGACCCTGGAATAAATAAAGACATTACGAAGCATGATTCAATGTTCGATCGAATTGGGATAAAATGCATTCGTATGGATTTTTGCTCATTCGTCAAGGTTATTCTACCATGCAACCGCAGGTTCCCTTGTAACTTTATTGAGAATACATACAATGCTATTATCAAGCAACTAGAGACTGATGCGTTGGAAGATACCATTGCTTATACGATGCTTAGATAACACCATAACTTTTACCCTAGAAGCTAGCTGTGATCTTCAAAATCCTCGGCTGAAAGTAACTATTGGCCTAGTTTCATGGGACAGCTGGGACATAGGACACCACCCACCCGACCCACCAGAGCATCAAGGCATTGATAAGTGATCAAAAGGATACTTGCACCATCATGACTTTATGATGCTGGTAGACTTTATTAGACCGAGGTAGTAATGATGATGATAATGATAGCAGTGGTCAATGCAATATGCAGTTTGGAACTTTGATGTGTTTTGGTTGGGGTAGCAATAATGAGGAGGGGGGCGTCGTACGAGCCGAACAATTCCATTTTCCTTTTCTTTCCACTTCTTTACCATGGCTCAATACACTGCATCTCCCTTCCCAACACAACCATTCCTTGCCAATGACGTCGATCCTCGACAATGGGATAGTATCAACAACCAGTACGCCATATCTCAACAACAAAGAACCTTTCGTACGTGTTATCTTATGCAGATTACTGTGCATTCACTAAACGATTCGTTGATCCAGCAGAGAAGGAAGGATCCGAAGACAACAGCGAAGGTATACATAAGCATACTTGTATTTGAACGAGAAGGTATTGATGTACTATATACAATGTTATAGAGGACTCGAGTTCAGTAGGCAAGACACCAGGCGCTGACAAATCAGACAGCAAACAAGTAAGTAAAGGGATTATCCTCTTTGCATCAAATGTACTAATTACGAGTGCTTGCATCTATATAGAAACGCAAAGAGCAGAATCGAGCAGCACAACGAGCATTTCGAGAACGTAAAGAACGCTATGTCAAAGAACTTGAGGAGAAGATCAAGACGCTTCAAGAGAACCATGCATCTGACAACGATCGACTTCAAAAAGAAAACGATGAGCTTCGATCAACAATCAAGCGGATGGAATCAGAAATGTATACGTTGAAAGGAGCAGCCATGGCATTTGAAATGTCCATCAGCAAACTTCGAGAAGCAGGCATTGAACCACCCTCCATTGGCTCATTTAATTGTGCACTTTCGCCACCATCGTCGGATTTACAATGCTTAGCAACACCCAGCAGCTCCCACCACGACAACAATAGCTGTAATGGATCGGTTCAACATCCCATGTCGTCACCATCCATGTCGTGTAGCGAATACCAACAACGACGATCGAGTTGCGATGATATGAAGATTGAACATGTGGATGAATTTGCCGAGAGCGCCAGTGAACGATTCGATCATACCCCGGATCCTGTCACCTTGACAAACGCCAAATTGATTCCTTGTGCTGAAGTATGGGATCATCTCAATGAACATCCACGATTCGACGATTTCGATGTTGCAAAGTTATGCGAAGCCATCAAGAAGAATTCCAAATGCTCTGGATCTGGACCTGTTATTGAAGAAGAAGTCTTGAAGGCCATTGTTAAGAGGCAGCTTGGAGAACTCGAAGACACCGACATGGTCCTCTAATCTTCCACTCCGGTGTTCATACCTCTCATCATTCATCATCACGTCACGCATCCTCCATCCCCTATCAATCATTCGTCGTCATATGATACGCGTTCAAGCTGTGTGTTTCTTTTTGTTGATTTTCCTTCCCAGCCCCCTTCCTCCTGCATCCATAGGCTTGGGATCATTATCAGAAAGAGGGTTTACTATTGCATTGTGTGTGTTTATCTATTGGTATAAAAAAGCATTGGTCTATACATCAAGTTTCTTGTTCATTATGTGTGGCAATTAAGTGCAATGGTGAATACATGGATGATGATGATGATGATGTGTGTGTGGCAAAGCACGTTTTCAAGTGCTGTAAGGAGGATCGGGACATGCGAGGAGCCTTAAATCTACACGAAGCTCCTTTGAATACATACATCTCCATAACAACCCAGACAATATCATGGATACACACGCCATGTGGTTTTAATATTCTCTGACAGCAGCAGCGGCGCCTCTGTGGATTGCCACTTTAACGTTTGGGCGCGGCATAATACCCGAGGAAGGCAAGTGAAGAGATGTGTGAATATCCTCTTACAGATTAATCCGCCCAATAAGAGAACGTGATCGCAATAAGTATTGGATTATGTGTGTGAGCTAAAACTGCATAAATATATACACACGCGATGACGCCAAGAAGCTTATAGTTATTGGGGTAAACAAGGGTGTTTTAGGGGCAACTACAGCAGTAGTAGGATGCTTTTGCTGCAGCAAGATGTTAAAGGGGGTGATGGGGAAAGAAAAGGATTAGGCGGCGAATTGAACAACATGCATATCCTCAATAAACCAAGAGATGCGCTGAAAGATTTACTGCACTCACACACATGCTGCAATAAAGACAACAACCGCGGCCACAGTTACACGACTCATCCATTGGTTGTCAGTGTCCCACAGCATCGTGCTATACATGCATTATGGTAGCTGGCCGACGCCCTATACTAAAACACACCTGGGTTGACTGCCAACGGCTTTATTTTCTTTCTTCTTTTTCAATTTCTCTTACACCCTCTAAAACAAACATTTTTCATCCTTTCATCGAGTCCTCATTTTCATGAATTATCACCAGCAACAATCACCCTACTGGCCACAACCCAATGCAGGTCATTACGGCTACCCCATCATTGTTACATCATCCGGCACGCCAACATCACCACACTTTATTCCACAGAATCAATACCCACAACCTCCTCCACAGCCACAATACTTGTATGCACCTGTTTATTACTACTCGAATACGACGCCTCAACAACAACCAATGATGGCACCATCATCATCATCCGATTCTTCTTATCGACGTCCTCGTAGTAGTCATCGTATGTCTACTATCAGCACTACGAGCAGCAGCCACAGTAATAATAGCAATGGGAGAAAACCACGACGACCAATGTCTGTGCAAGCACCAATGCCACCACAGCAATACCGTATGGCATCGATTGCCGAGGAAAAAGAAATACATCAGCAACAAAAACAACGTGCATCATCCGCACTTTGTGTAACGCCAAGCGATAAAGACGAAGAAGTCCCGCTCGCCATGCTCGCTTACAGAAAAGGATACCCTCCGTATCAGCGACGTTCCACAACCACCACCACAACACATCATCGTCATCATCATCATCCAGTAGCACCTTGTAATTATTCAGCACCGCCGCAACCCAGCAACATGTCGATCCGATCTGCTCCAGCAACCACTCCACGACCCCAATCCTATCATCCTCGTCGCAGTGTTAGAATGGAGCAAAGTCATAGTGCAAGCACGCGTACAACATCCAATAACAGTAGTCGTCGTCCATCTCTTGTGAGTGACCATCCTTACTCCAATTCCACAGCTACAAGTGTCACCAGCAGTAGCGAACCTTCATCATCCTATTCCGCAGCACCAGCCACACCTTCTTCTGTGTCACGACGACCATCGGTTGCTAAACGATGGATCAACCGCTTCACCCGCTCGCTTAAATCATGATCAAAACTTTTACGCATATACACAACAACAACACGTGTGTCTTCATTCAGATCCCCCCTTTCAATCCCGCATACATTGTACATCTTTCCTTCTTATTATAAGCTGATACATAAAGCGCCTGCTGAATCATTGGTGCCAGCGAAAAAGATATAATCATTTGTATTATATATGTATGATGTGCGTGTGGTGATGATGTGTACAAGGAGGAGGATGCTGTTGAGTGATACAAGTGAATATGTGTGTGTGTGTGTTGATGCCATAATTTAAAAGTCTTTCATGTCGTCAATCTCTTGGCTTTCATTCTGCATCTGCATATATTCGTTTTGGCGCGATCGGGGTAATAGGTAGAATGCTTCGCATTTCTCGAATACACGTCCATTTCCCTACCGAGAAAAAATTAAAGTTTATCAGCCCCACTATCTTGTTCTCCGCACAACCCACATCCCCGCCCATCCAACTTACCCGAGGCGGAATGGGTATAGGATAAAGCACAGTATACCAGGGACTAAACATATGCAAAATAAGGCATGAGACAACCTAAAACTCCACCATCGCCCATAGACTACTGCAAAAAGAGTAATCGTGCCACTTACAAGCGCTCGCAAATGTTGAAGAAATAATAAAAGTTTTGCTTGACCCCAAAATCGTACATGTTGATAAAGACCTAGGATGTGCAGAATCATCATGTGAGCCTGTGTTACCCCTTTCCATGGTGTATGCGCATGTCTATATACCTCGCCTTGTCGCTTGCATTGACGTTTGTCGTAGTCGTTGTTGTAGTACTCCACCGTGGTTTGTCCAGTGAGGATCTATGCACGCGATGCGGTATAAGTATAAATCATGTCGTTTTCGTGGTGCTCGGTGATACATACTAAAAAATAATGCCAACCACAAAGACCGCCTAACAAACCAAGCACATGATTAACTCATGGCATACAAACCCATGCTTCACAAAAGTACCACACCACTTACCGATTGCCAATCCCATACAAATAGCAAGAATGATGCAAAACGCCATTAAGGGTCGTGGAAAGTAATATGGCCACTATGAATCAAAAGACAATCAGAGATCTCAAACGCCAAGCTCCTATTGATCCTCCTCCTACTTACATCACTGTTCACCACATCCATCGAAATGATAAAAGGCCTCCAACCAAAATAGACAAAGTAAGCAGCGGAGAGTACCAGGTAGGTCATGAATAGGACAAAGTATCGATGATTAAAGTGGCCGACGCAATTGTGGATCCATGGACCTATTGTTATGAATAACTCGTATCAGTCCTTGTAGTCCCCCCAACGACAAACCAAGCTACTTACAGTGGTGATCAAAACGCATGATACATTTGTTACATACGCTGCAATGATGCGCTCGTTCAGGTTTTGGCAAATGACCTACATTGGATGGATGCATGAAAATGTCAGCCATATCCGGTACAGCCATCGGACTTAATCCAAGGCTTACATTTCTTGCATAGCTTTACTGTTCCTGATTCTTCCATATCCAAGAGCATTTCACGACCATTCGCATCATGTTCCTAAGATGTTGTATGCTGTATTAGTGATAGATCAATGATGGATGCACATCCCAATAAAACAAGCCGTACCTGACGGTTGCTGGTTGATGAATCAAGAGTTGATGGATTACTACTGGAGCTGCTGGTTGTTGTTGTTGTTGTTGTACTACCAGGTGGTGTCTTTATAGCCATATAATAGTGGAAGTGTATGCAGTAGACCATGTATAACGTGAATGTCAAAACGAGAGCGATCCATACTTTGCCAAAGAAAGAAGCATCAGACCACGCATGCGAGTACGGGAAAACGACGCCATAAAAAGCAAGGACGCACAGGTCAATGAGGAAGACGCCAATGGCAATAAATAAAGGCCCTGCTTTGTCCACCGCTTTATCGACCACTTTGCTCATGCACGATGTTGATGTAGAAAACGGAAAGGTGTATGTGTGTGCGAGTATACAAAGAACAGCGTCTCATTTAAGGACCGCTACAAATCAAGTAGGCAACACACATGGCTGATTCTTGGCAGTGACACTTGCAACATCACCGACACCTGGACCAGCAGGAGAATAATCCCACCACTGCAAATCACTTTTACCCCTGAACTGAGATGATGAACAATACCCACTCTCATATACGTTGTAATTCAGCATAACCAACAATAGCAATGCTGATAATAAGATGTCTGCTTGAAGAAGAAGCATCAACAAGTGCATGTTGAAGTAATAAAACATTCATTGTTCTCCACCTAGCAACACAAAGACAATAATAATCCGAAGATGTCAAGTGATCGACGACAACCCAATCCTTATTTTAAGCACATAGGAACACAAATAGATTAATGTCAAAGAAACTTTGACTAATAAAGCAACATAGCATAATCCGAAAGATGATGCACGTTTGGTTCCAACTCAAAAGCACTAAGGATTTACGACGGTAAATCTTTGCATTAAACTCTTTTCAGGGTTAATATACCGCAAAAGGAATGGGCAAGCAGCTAGTGTCAGTTGTTTCTCTATATTAAGAGCCCAAGCTTCTCAAAGTGATGGTCGTATTTTCGCGCCTTCCTTTCCCTCTTCCTTTTTTTCTTCTTCTTTATCTCTTTATCCCTCTCCTATCCACTCGTTTAACCACACACACACATTCATTATTATGGTTTCTGCACGCTTTCTCTGTGGTTTGGCATTGTGCCTTGCCGCCGTTAATGCTGCACCCACACCACAGCAGCCTGACCAACAGCAGCAACCACCACAACAACAACCGCCATCTTCATCTCAGCAACCCTCTCAATCCGCTCAACAACCATCCGCTTCTTCTTCACAAGTACAACCTCAACCTTCGCAACCACCTTCGCAGCAAAACCCAGAAATTGCTATTCAAGATCAAGATAACTTTTGTCTCTTTTTGCCCCCTCAACCTGGATTGAATGTTGCTCTTTACGAAACACAAGGCAAGCCTTTCTGTATGGGCTCTACCTCCGTAAAGGACGCTGATGATTTGCCTGAAGGTAACATACCACATCATCACTACTATTATGTGGACCTTATCAACATGGTTGCTCACCTTATCATCCATAGGCTTTGTCACTGTTGCCCATTATCAAAAGAATTCGACCTATGAGCAAGTTACTGGTTACATTGATCGCTCAAAGTACAACCTTGATGTCAATGATGGTGGTGGTCAATACGATAACCATGGCCAAGGCAAACCTACTGGTGCTTCGTGTAAGGGTTATCCCTACTTTGTTGGTATGATTGAGCCTAGCAGCAACCGATTCTGTATGCGCTGTTGCCAAAATAAGGTAATACTTAACCTTATAGTCAAAGCTTCCTTTTTTTACTCATCCAAGATAAACTTGTTTTTATATTATTTTAGGAGGATTGCCCTACAGGTCGCTCTGAATATGGATGTTTGCGTATCATTCCCGGTGATTACACTGGCAATGTAACCGATACTACTACTGGTGGTGATCCTAACGCTGCTGGTGGCGATCCTAACGCTGCTGGTGGCGACCCTAACGCTGCTGGTGGTGATCCTAATGCTACAGGTGGCGATCCTAATGCTGCTGGTGGAGCTGATCCTAATGCTACAGGTGGTGACCCTAATGCTGCTGGTGGTGATCCTAATGCTACAGGTGGTGACCCTAACGCAACTGGTGGAGCTGATCCTAATGCTACAGGTGGTGACCCTAACGCTACTGGTGGAGCTGATCCTAATGCTACAGGTGGTGATCCTAATGCTACTGGTGGTGACCCTAATGCTACTGGTGGAGCTGATCCTAATGCTACTACTGGTGGTGACCCTAACGCTACTACTGGCACCGATCCTAATGCTTCTGGTGGTGACCCTAACGCTACTGCTGGCTCTGATCCTAATGCTTCGGGTGGCGATACATCATCCCAAGGCACAACCGATCCCAACGCTACTGGTGGTGACCCATCATCTCAAGGCACAGCCGGTCCCAACGCTACTGGTGCTGCTGATCCTAATGCTAGTGGTGCTGCTGCTTCCGCACCAGCTGCTAGCCCCAGTGGTGATGGTACTACTAATGCTGCTGCTCCCCAAAGCAATGACCCTAATGCTGCTGGTGGCGATCCCAATGCTAACACCAACACCGCTCCCGCACCTGCAGCAGGCCAACCTATGTGAAACATTAGTCCAGACAATTCCAGGCCTTGACAACATTCGGATAAACCTAGTGAAACCAATGTGCCAAGTAAAAAGCCTGCTACTGTGAAACAAAACCAAGTGAATTGTTTATGAGTAGAAGAAAACCCCAAATGTCAGAATAAAAAAAGATCATGTTTATTTACTCCTACTTGAGACTTGAGACTAATTGACTAGTTCACCTTTAAAAGAGATGACAAGGATGTCGAGAAGAGTCTTTGTTTATGTTAATTATAGTTGACATTGACGAGGCATTGTTGCTTGACATGTTTCATGCGATGACGGATCGGGTGCTGCACCATGAAGATCGTGCTCCTTTGCATCAGCGTATGGATTGATGATGTGAATAGCATTTGAGATGCTGTAATCGTCTAAAGCGGCATCTTCTATCATGCTTGTATCATGCACACCGCCTATGTTGTTTAAAGCAATAAACTTTTTTCCCCAAGGGATCCTGCTTGTTGATCATCAGCATACAATGAGAAGGACCTCGTCTTGGGGAATGAGCTTGATGTTGTAATCAAATCTTGGAGCGTATATGCAGCACATGATTACACTGCTTAGTCGTTCAAATGCTTCATTCTCAAGATTCTCGAATACATAGAACACAGGAATAAATATCAGGCCTCGTGACCTCTTTATTGTAAAGGAAATGCCAGCTTCGACTTGTCAAGAATGTTGTCAAATGCAAGGGATCAAACGCTACTAACAGCTCTTGAGGACGTGGTTGTAGTAATCATGCCTTTTGTCGTGTTACTAAGTCGAGGAGAACAACAAGCAAGGGCTGGGATGATGCATGATTTCAGCATTCGGTCGGTGTGACTAAGAGCGAAAAATAGAGCAAGCCGGATTTTCACTGTATCCCTTTGACTTTTGCGATCGACATGCCCCACATTTCCAAAGAACACATCTCGATCGGTTGCAATCGGACAACCCATGCTGCTTCCTGGGGTCTCAATGGGCTCGTAGCATTCGGTGCCAACCAGCTGATCGCTTTATACAACCCTCTGGTAAGCCCACTTTGGAACATTGATCATGGCTCCACATTGTCATTGACTCACCTTTACAAAGGACAAGCATAATAGTGGCATCATCGAGACGCTTCCAGGACATACGGACCGTGTTGTTTGCGTCGAGTTTATCGAACGAGGTACTATTCAGCAACACGTACACGTGTGTATAGATAGACATGATCAGCTAAAGCCTATTTTACTTCTACTCTGTTAGGCCACGAAGCCGAACTTCATGACGTCGCGTTGGTTTCTGGATCTGCTGATAAGACGGCCAAGATTTGGAAGAAGAATACAGCTGGAGATTGGGTGAACTCTGCAACATTGGAAGGACACACCGGTGCTGTTGAAGCTGTTGGGTGCTTACGATCCCGTTCAATTCCCGGTACCACTGATTTGTTCGCTACTGGAAGTGCTGATGGCACCATTCGTATATGGGAAAGACGTGAGGCAGATGATGCTAATGGTAACTATCATCCAGGTTTCGTTTTGTTTATGCAACATTAACAAGGCATTATTAGATGAAGTTACCTTGCTGCAAGTGATCGAGTGTGGCAACAAGTATCCAACTACATTGGCTCTTTCCCATCTTCCCGGCACAAAGAGTAAGTAAAAAGGATGAAACGAAACATGAGACATGGTCATCTTACCAAGGGATGTTGTTGTCAGTTCCTATTCTTGCATGCGGCCACACCGACAAGAAGATCACCATTTTCATCCAACAAAAAGGAGGACAATTTGAAAAGGCTCATGTGCTTCAAGGACATGATAATTGGGTTCGATCTCTCGCTTTTGCCACGTATACGGGTAGTCAAGAAGATGCTACTGCAACCAACCACACGCTTCGCTATGGAGATTTGATGCTTGCCAGTGGTTCTCAGGATCGATACATCCGTCTATGGAAGATCTCACCCCATCAAGCCTCTCCTTCTTCTCCTGTTGCCACAAAGGAAGAGCCATCCAATGGTGAATTGACCGATGATTTACTCCAAGCTTTACAAGAGAACGCTTTGTAAGTGATACATGGCTAGCAAAATTGAGACGGGGTACTGAAGTACCAAAATAGGACAGGGGAGAATGCCGAGTTGAGCACAAAGGCTCATTTGGTGCAAGTGGATGATGGAAACAGGTAAGCTGTATTACTTTTTCAATGGGCGTATAATAATCGGTTGGCGTATTGCTCTAGTAAACAACAATTCTCTCTCATGTTCGAAGCTCTGTTGATGGGTCACGATGACTGGGTGTACAGTGTGTGCTGGGAACGACCACAAATGAAGGCTGATGCTGATGGCAAGGTTCAATATACCCAACCCATGCGACTTTTATCCGCGTCAAGCGACAAATCAATGATGATTTGGAGTCCTGATCCAGCAACGGGTGTGTGGATCAACGAGGTAATAATGAGGAAGCAAATTGGAGATGACATGACTCACGTGATGAGTCTATAGGTTCGTATGGGTGATATTGGTGGCAACAGCTATCTTGGATTCTGTGGTGCACTTTTTGGTCCCGATGGTCATCATGTCTTATCCCACGGCGCCAATGGATCATTCCATCTCTGGAAGAATGTATCCAATGATGAAGGTGAGCTGCTGCTGATAGCCATACTATCGACATGATAACTCATTGCAATACTTAGATGATAATCATTGGGAGCCACAAGTATCTATCAGTGGTCATTTCAAGGCTGTCGAGAGTGTAACATGGGATCCCAATTCTCGTTTCTTGCTATCTGCTAGGTAAGACGAAAATGGATATTGCAGCAGCATGGATATTAATGCCAAGCGTAGTCTTGATCAAACAGCTCGCCTATTCGCGCCTTGGGTACGAGATGTTGAAGGCAACAAGGTCACTTCATGGCACGAAATGGGCCGTCCACAAATTCATGGCTATGATCTCAAGTGTATCTCGTTTGTGCATGATTGGCAATATGTCTGTGGTGCCGATGAAAAGGTTTTGCGTGTGTTTGATGCTCCCAAAGCATGCGTGGAAAGTCTTGCTGGCTTAACAGGAGAAAACAACATGGCATCAGAAGCAGTAAGTATCATATGGATTCATTGAAAGCGTGCGTGTGCTTCCATATTAACTCGTCAATTTAAAAAAAAAGACAAGTCGACCTGTGGCTGCCAATTTGCCAGCATTGGGCTTATCCAACAAGGCAGTTTTCGAAGGAGATGTGGAGGAAATGACCAACGCTGAAGAAGACCATACTGCTTTGCAAAGCTTTTCACATTCGTCATCCACGCCCACAGGTTTTACAGAAATCATGCAACACCCTCCATTTGAAGAACATTTGCTGCAGCATACTCTTTGGCCCGAAGTGGAGAAATTGTATGTATCATCCTATCAATCATTTCTTTGCCACTTGGGCTAACATCATTTTAGATATGGACACGGCTATGAGATCATTTGTGTTGAAGGCAGCCATGATGGCAAGTATATCGCATCTGGATGCAAGGTAATGAATGGATGATTGATTTTATTGTACAAATGGATCATTGATGAAGGTATCATGAATAGGCAGCAACACCTGATCACGCCGTGATTCGACTTTTTGATACGTCAAACTGGAAGGAGGTCAAGAACAAGATTGCAGCACATACACTTACTGTGACTCGTGCTCGCTTCTCACACAACGATGAATGGCTTTTGACTGTATCCAGAGATCGAGTATGGTCACTTTCAAAACGAGTGCAAGGAGATGCAGGTAAATGCCACCGGATCAATCATGTTGTATGCACCCATCTCACACATCATGGATTATAGACGCACCTTATCAACTTGCCTTCAAAAACAAGGCTCATGCCCGTATCATTTGGGATTGTTCTTGGACACATGATGATTCTATGTTTGCTACTGGCTCCAGAGATAAAACGGTCAAGATTTGGTCACAGGCTGATGGTGAATGGAAGTGCATTGCTACTATCAAATTTGAGGAAGCTATTACTGCTGTTGACTTTGCACCAGCATTGATGGATGGCCGGTAAGACATATGGGATGCTATACTATTCAATGACCATGTTTTTCTCATTTGCCGTTTTATTTAGATACCTTCTTGCTGTTGGTTTAGAAAATGGACAAATCAAGCTGATTGCTGCATCCGAACAAGACATCACTCAGTGGGCATTGTGGGCCAACGTTGACGATAGGTATGTATACAATCATTTGAGTATCATACAAATGGCTCATAACAATGGGATAGATTATGTCATGTGGGCGTTGTACGGTCGTTGTCATGGCGATTGCACCCAGCAAAGAAGGATGTATTCCAACTCGCTTCTGGAGGCCAAGATCACTCTGTACGCATTATAAACATCCAACAATAAAAGAGTCAGATCACTATTGTACTATAGAATACACCCCCATTTATGTATAAAGGTATCTTGTGGATGGTCCCATAATGTCCCTCAAATGATTGATCCAAAAAGCCTTTTTGCATCACGATAATTTCCATCCCATCGATAAACGATTTGAATCATGTAAAACAAAAGAGTCGATTGAAAAATATGTATTTGGATTTGAAAGCAATTTCAAGCAACCATTTAATCCTTGATCTTCTTGGTACCACGAAGCAAACCGGTTCTTCTGGCAGCGATGAGACCGACCTTTTGACCAGCAGGAGAATCACGAGCCATAGTAGAAGCCTTACCAATGTGCTGATGGTTACCACCACCGTGAGGATGGTCCACGGGGTTCATGGCAACACCACGAGTACGGGGCCAGTTGTTACGCTTGGCCTTGGCGGCATGGTAAGCACGACCAGCCTTCAAGAGGGGCTTGTCAATACGACCACCACCAGCAACGATACCGACGGCAGCACGGGAGGTGGAGGGGACAACCTTCTTGGCACCGGAAGGAAGACGAATACGGGTCTTGCCATCTTCACCGTGACCAACGATGGTAGCATAGTTACCGGAGGTACGGGCAAGAGCACCACGATCACCATACTTTTCTTCAACGTTGCAGATAACGGTACCTTCGGGCATGGAGGCAAGAGGGAGAACGTTACCAATGGTCAAGCTGGCCTTCTTGCCACAGTAGACAAATTGGCCGGTGTACATGCCTTCGGTAGCAATGAAAGTTTCGGTGCGAAGCTTGTACCTATAGAACATCCAATGTATCAATATCTTGATCCTACTACTTTTTGCTTTTTGAGTGAGGTGATATTTACTTGTAGGGATCGCGGAAGACGACCTATAAAGAATAGCCATATAAAGTAAGTAAACCGATACACAATGAAGCTTGTATCATTTGATTCCATTACCTTAGCGAGAGGAGCACCACGACCAGGATCGTGAATGATTTCCTTGACAAGACCGCGAATGTAACCGTGGCGTTCAGCATAGTCAGCAACACGGAATTGGGCAGCACCCTTGCGACCGACAGTGTGAGCCTTGAAGATGCTTCCGGCACCCTTTCTTTGAGCACGAATCACGCGACCCATTTCTATACATCCATTCGTTTAGTACATTCATCCATCGATCCATGGACTCATCCATCCATTTCTTTCATCATTATCGCTTTGCTGGTTACATACCGTTATATTAGGTGGTAAAAAGAGAAGGTTTCTTGATGCCTTGAATCCATCCATTGGATACGCTACCCCTCCCACACCCAGCCAGCCGCCCATTCAACTTCCGCCAATAAGATTCGTTTCCTCTCTCTCCTTAGTACTCAACGCAGCACACAATGAATTCATCATAGATACAACCCACGACTCTTTGTAAGATACTAGTTGCATCATATCGTTTCAACAATGAATACCCTTTCATTTTATGATATACGCTTAAGGAAATCTTGGTATTAGAAGCTGCTATGACCGAGGAGTAGAAGTGTTTGTTCCATAACGCTGCCAATGCTTTCTTTGTATTCGAAATAAAAGAGCACTCTTAAAAAGTTACATTACTGCTACTGTAACCTTGATTGGAGGCGCTTGCTGTAACAAAAGACTGATGATATGGATTAAGGGTAATTAATTTATGTCATGAGAGGTAAAATGGATAAGCAGTAATTGGGATCATCTTTGCAGCTTTGAAAAGATTACAATGTCATGGTCCATCAATAATGGGCCCCTTTACGAACTACGATGATATGGATGAAATGTTCAAAGGTTGCTTGGTATTCATGCAAAGCTTAAAGTGGTCCTTGAAAGGAACTCCATGTGATATTGGGGTCATAGGGACAAATGTGTGGGGTCAATGACTCTCTCCCCTTAACCCTCCCCCCACTTCCCGCCCTGTTGTCTTTTTGTTCCCGAGAATACTCAAGCGATATTGTATGCTGCAGTCGTTGAAAAAGTACACGAGGCGGCATCGTGGCGGCATTCTCGTCACTGCAGCCATTGGTGGTGGAAGCTACCTGATCGGCCGTTATGCAGCTGGCAAGATTCGAGACCATCAACAACATGCGAATAGCAAAGAAACGTATGCTTGCTCTCTTTATGGGGTTATGCATTGTGGTGGTAATAGTTCATTTATTCATAGGTTGCGACGACTCTTTCAGCAAAACCAAAACGATTGTGTCTTTACGGTCCTATCTCTCTTGCCGACTTTGGGTGAACAAATCTTTAAAGAGATAAATGTCGAGACATGTTGGCAAAAGCTGCAACGATCAAGGAAGCTCGAGAAACAGCAATCAGATGATGATGATAAGGATCAGGAAGGGATTTTGGACAAAGAAACCAAGTATCTACTTTGGGAGGAAATCAAAGAGAAGAGTAAGTTTTGGTTGCCATGGTGACACTTTGGCGGCGACTGAAAAGCTAATTGTTTGTTGTCAAGGCTTCATACGCACATTCACGTCGATTTATTCAGTTACCTTGTTGATCCTCTTGATGCAAATCCAGCTGAACATCCTTGGACGCTGCAATCGTTACGAATGGTCAGCTGGTACACGTAGCGAACCAACGCTTCATCTACAGCAGAGCCCATCCATCGACCCACAGACTGAAGATGTGTATCTCGGAGCATGTTGGTGGCTATTGCATAGAGGATGGAGACTTTGCTACCAACAAGTCAAAGAAGCAGTGGATGAGACCTTAAAGAGGTATATCGGAAAAAGTATTTCATGCTATCATCATCCTCACACATTGCCATGAATTTAGCGTATCGCTGAAACGATTGATCAACTACAAGGATGCAAAAGTGATCACCCAACAATTACGACGGCACATAGAATGGGATAGTGATGGTGCATTATCAGAAAGGCAAGTACCCCCAAAGCGAGGCAATCAGCTATTCTACAAGTTAACACTCGCTTCTTCATCATCTTGAAAGTATACGGTCTTGGATGTTACCACAGGACTTGGATGGCACTAGAGAACTTTTGGATAAAACAGGCGTTGGGGATGACTTTCCACGGCTATCATCAATCAAGTTGAGATCACTGCTGGATGAGACAAGGGCATACATTAATAGGTATGTAGGATGAATGTGACACTTATTGCATGGATTTTCCACGTGCTCAAATCTCGTCATTATTAGTGATGCATTTTCCCATGTCCTCAATTCATGTCTTGACCAAGCCTTTGGTGTCTTTTATCGACATGCTTTTGCCGAACCGCTTGTGGATGATAACCAAGCAGCAACTAAAAAGACAACGCTGGCCAATCTTTTACCTGGTGTCAGTCGACAGGCTCATCTTGTGATATCCGGAAATGAATATCTTAATGTAAGGAAGGAGTGAACGGTGGTGTGTGTGACAGGAGATCTAAAAGATCATGATGGTCGATATGTAGGAATTTGTTTATAGCAAAGAACTCGAAGCTTTTTCTGCCATCATTTACACCCAAAACGCCATAGATTAAGCGTTGATTACTAAATACAATTATATCTATTTATGAGCTTTCTTGGAAATCGATGATGATGCCGGTGGTAGTAGTAGTAAAATGTTGCCTTGTCATATTTTGATAATGAACGAACATTGGTAATACGTACAAAGATACCTTGCATGTGCGATACAAAATTAGCAAAATTGCTTTCCTTATGTAATATCGCTTGTTCTACCATCATGACTTTGTGGTTCTGGGAGAATAGGATGAAAGAAAGAGTGGTCTAGTGACACAAAAGCTGTGTATTGTACAAAATGGACCATGGGTGATGATGATGATGAAGCGTAGTGAGCGTGTGTGTGATCAGATGGACTCAGCTGACTATTTTTGGATGGTGATAGGGAAAGGGGGGTATCCTTGGCAACCAAAAAGTGGTATCATCATGATGATACATGGTGGCGTTGGATGGAAATGTCGGCGCCACAGTGCTAATGAAAGAACGATAAAGCATCATCTTCGGACAAATGAACGAATATGGATTATTGCTTCCTGCCGTTTTTGAAATTGTGGCTCAAATTACAGCAAGTCGAGTGCCGCAGCAGCTGATGAGATAGAACGTGCGTGGCGGGTGCTGTGTTGGGGGAGAGTTGTTTACTGTCAGCTGTTGCCAAGCCGTGTACGTAAATGTGTGAATGAGTTACATACGTTTGTGCTGAGCCAAAGGTCCGAGCGTGAGTGTGAACACAGCCAACTACTTAGCCGCCAGTCACGACACTTGTAGCTTTACTGCTCAAAAGCAGACGCGCTCGCAGTTCTTCGTCGACGCTTATCATTTCATCCACACACATTTTTTTTCAAGGTACAGTTTACCTATTTCCTTTATTTACATGGACACTTGGACACAAAGACTACTTTTATATGGGAGCAAGTATTGTCTTCTCTATACAATGCAGTCTTTCACACACACCAATGACAACGAGAGGGGCGAGATGGACAAGGGGAGAACGTGCGAGAACAAGGCGGGGTGAATGGGAACAGGAGATGGTGGGCGTGGGTAATGCCTTTATCGTGTTTTATCTGACGCTGTGTTCTTTTTTCTTCTTTTTCCTCTTTATCTTCCCATTACAGCACAGGTAAGAACAAAAAAGTCTCGATTTCCCCCCCTCATTCGTGATACTCATCCTACCCTCTCCCTCTCTCTCTCTCTCGTCTTTGTACAGCATGTCTGAAATCAGAAGGAAACTCGTTATTGTTGGTGACGGTGCCTGTGGCAAGACCTGTTTGTTGATTGTCTTTTCCAAGGGTACTTTCCCTGAGGTATAGCTATCATGCACATGGATACACTATTGGATGCAACAATACTGATGATCAATCAAGTTTTATGTCCCCACCGTCTTTGAGAACTATGTGTCCGATGTCGAAGTGGATGGAAAGCACGTTGAATTGGCACTTTGGGATACAGCTGGTAAGCATCATCACCATCATCAAAAGGATCGACCTTTCCCCCATACTAACGAGGTTTGTTGTTGTTTATCTATAGGCCAGGAAGATTACGATCGTCTTCGTCCTTTGTCTTACCCTGATTCTCATGTCATCATGATTTGCTTTGCTGTTGATTCTCCCGATTCACTTGATAACGTTCAAGAAAAGGTTCGATGATCACATTACATACATGTCATGGTTGCATAAACTAACATTAGGGATTACTATAGTGGATCTCCGAGGTGCATCACTTTTGCCATGACCTTCCTGTTTTGCTTGTTGGATGCAAGAAGGATTTGCGTAACGATCCTGCCACCATTGAAGAACTTCGAAAGAACTCTCAGAGACCTGTTGCATTCGAAGAGGTATTTTCGGGGTGGGGGAAATGATGGTGATGATGATGATGGTTGCGTTTTGGGGCTCAGCATCTTACGCCATTTATCGTCTCTGGTAGGGAGCTAGCGTTGCTCAAAAGATCCAAGCTTACAAGTATCTTGAATGCTCAGCCAAGACTGGTGAAGGCGTCCGTGAAGTGTTTGAACATGCCACAAGAGCTGCTCTCACTGTGAGACAAAAGAAGAAGGGTGGTGTCAAGTGCACTTTGTTGTAGATGTCACTTTTAATTCTCTTTCACTCACACTCTCACACTCACTCTCTCTCTCTTCAACCCCACCCCATCATTCAGTCATTTCTCTTTTAAACTCGTTTCTGCTGTGCCATTTTAATCTTAAACCACATGTTGCTGTCTTAGTCATATGGATTGTCAATGGGTTGCATGGGGTAAATCTAATTTGAATACAACATTATTGTCGCTCGTTATTCCCGGAGTTGATGTAAAGAATGTGGAAAATGGTCATATCTCGCTCGGGTGTAACCCTCGTGCATAGGGGTCCCTTGTTGCCTCGCTCTACTACTACAAGACCCGATCCGTTATTACTGCGACAACTTTTTACCATGCTCAACTTATACTACTTTTGCTGCTGCTGATCATCTCAGCCGTGGTTGAATACCAAAGAAAAAATTATGTCACGCCATAGATACTTGATCCAGTTACACACACATACACACACATACAAAGCCAACATTTTGAAAAGGCATAGAAAATGAATGTACTCGTCTAAAATCGTAATTATGTCCTTGTTTTGAGTATCTCTTGAGAATACATGGCAAGAAAAGCAAAAGGATGGAATTGTCTACTTTAACTTGCTCACACAACATGAGGGTGGTTTTGGTTTACTTGGGAGGGCTAAAAGAAAAAGGGTAGCATTTAGCATTTTGGATCGCTCTTTCACATGTCATTGTAAAAGGTTACTTACTTGTACACGATCTTTCTAGTCTTGATAGGGGACCACTTGAAACGCTTGAGCCAGAGGGAGAGAAGAGTCAAACCAGAGAGGATGATGGTGGCCTTCATACCCATCTTCTTGCGTTCATCATGTTCGGGTTCAGCAGCCCATGCAAGGAAAGTGGAAACATCCTTAGCCAACTGAGAGGTGGTAGCAGGAGTACCGTCTTCGTATTCGACAACTTCATCAAACAAGACACGAGCCATGGCAATAGCACCACCAGGGAAGTAAGGGTTGTAGTTCATGCCTTCACGAACCTCAACACCACCAGGAGGATCCATATAGCCAGTGAGAAGAGCAAAGACGTAATCCTATCATCATCATCATACCAAATATGAATGATCAAGCTCTCTCTCCATCCCTCTCTTGACTATGTTATTTACCTCACCACCGTGACGAGCCTTGGTGATCAAAGAAAGATCTGGAGGCAAGGAACCAGCGTTACCTGCACGAGCAGCTTCCTCATTGGGATAAGGACGGGGCATGTAATCAGAAGGCTATAGTAGTAGTAGATGATACGTTGATATCATAGAGCATTTCCACTTGTATACGCACACACAACCACTATTACATACCTTGCCAGGACGCATGAACATCTCGCCATTCTCATCAGGACCATCCTCATATTCAACTTCCTCAGCCATAGCCTTAACTTCTTCCTCAGTGTGAGAGACACCGATCAAGTTTCTCCATGCGATACGATCAAGAGAATGGCATGCTGAGCAGACTTCTCTGTAAACTTGATAACCACGACGAATGCTGCATTGAGATAGGTGTTGTTAGCGATTGATTCGTGTCGTTGCTGTGTGGATATGAATTACGTACGCAGCGTGATCGTATGTGCTCAAAGGACCACTGTGAGCCCATGGGTGGTGTGGGGGATGAAGACCTTCATCGGCCATGTTGGCAGAGAGCTCGCTGTCGGCGTACATGTAGGCAAGACCTGTAGCACCAACGATACCAGCAGTAACGGCAGCAAATTGCTTGGGTTGCTGTTTATAAAAACATGTAAGTCAAATCTTTTTTTTTCGAAACCATGTTGTTGTATCATCCAAACACACAAAAGACACCTACTTCAGTAACATGGGGCTTGGTCGAGGCGAAACGGGCCTGTAAAAGAAAAGTTGGACTATGAGTTGATGCCATGTCGACAAGGAGGGGCGCGTGTATTGTTGTTGATGGGTTGGAGTTCCATTTACCTGAACAGTAGGTTTGAAGGCCTGCTGAACAGAGCGCTTAGTTGCGGGCGCAATGCGAGAGAACATGAGCTTCAAGAGTAGGGAGGAGTAGGGGGGTATTGTCCAACAATCGGAAAGGTGAAGAAATGTAACAGCCGAGTGGAAGTTTGGTAGCTGCCTTGGACAAAGAGAGAGAGGAAGAGTTTTTGTTGATGGGATCGAAAATTTGCTTGCCCCCCGCTCGAGCAGCACCCAATCTGCTCTTGTTGTGACGTAACACACTACTACCATATCACCCATCCCCATGGCAACCTCCACAATCATCCATCCAGAACTATGAATAATGCATGCAATGTCTCTTTATTGATATTATCCTTTGTAATTCAATTACCAATGCTGGTTTAAAACGCTTACCTTGTAATTGCTTGCAGTGTATCAACACACACACGTTTTATGGCCTTATTCTCGGATAGAAATCAAGGCTACTACATACTACCTCCTTGCTTGCTCTTTATCGGAAAACGGTGTATGGTCATAGGCTAAACAGCACAAATTCATAGCATAGCGTAAATGACTACTGCCATTCTTATTATTGTAACATCATCCCTATACCCAGCCCATACACTAGCAACAGCACGTATCATCTTATCTTGACATCCTCAATGTGTGGATCCTCAATCAATGAGAAAGAGACCATCCATTATACAAGATTATGCATGCTATGGTGATTGGATCACGTGAAGTCGATGTCCAAAATCTCGGATTTCTACCTACATGATGTATAGAAAGAAGGGATACTACCGGCACAAAAATATACATATAGCCATCTTTTATTTCCATGTATCCAACGTCTATTAATTAAGCGTCGTCAAGGGGTATCCATGAGCACTGTTGTTGCCTTGATTTAGAGATCATAGTATCGGATTATCCTCATTGTTTGGATCCAGTAGCGAGTGAAAGTTGATGATAAAGAGATAGCGTTACAACAATGCGTTCACTCATCCAACAGTAATCAACGTTGTGATGAAGTTTGGCATAAAGTGAAGATAGCAATGTGACACAGCCCGTGAATGCGGTTGTCAAGCACCGACCAGGAAATCTAAAGCTTCTCCTTTCATGAAACTTCATGTCGCTATACACATTCTTTGGATGCTTGCTGGTCGCCTATAGTCCGATTCTCTCCATCTTTTTCCTTTACATTGGTCGTAATGCACAGCATGTGTTGCTGATGGTCGCAAGGTAAAGAGCCCATTGTGTTAAGCGTATGACCTTCGTATTGACGATCGTTTGCTGTAGTGCTTTCTTTTGCCTTATTGCCCTCCTGATATCAAGCGTCATATGGTACTTCGCCAAGGCTACCCAATCACTTCACGCCGTGAGCATAGCCTATAGTGTGCTTATCCAAGAGCTCTTCCGATGGTTCTTTTTCTTGTTGATGCGGTATGTATTATATTCATTCATGCGCGACATCCATCTCATAATGTTTTCATAGGCGTTCAGAGGCAGGGTTGAATATAGCTTCCAAGAACAAGAATTCTCCTTACAATCGATCCATCTTTGCCTTTGTCACTGGATTTGGATACGCACTTACAACATCGCTCGTGAGTTACATTTCGATCCTCGTTGAATCCATTGGTCCCGGTGTTATGATGTGCCCCTCGTGTCCTCAAGCAACTAGCTTTTTCATTTCAGGTAGGTCATAGCATGCAAAGTAGGTTACGATGAAAGACTAACAAGCTGACATAATAGCTATCGACACAATGTTGTTTTCGTTATTGCACATGGCATGGATGGTCGTTGCATTTGAAGGATTCTACAACGTTCAGCAGCTATCAGGGATGCTTAGGGTTGCCTGGGTCTTGATATCACATTTTGGCGCATCCTATGTGGCAAGTAGTCATGGCAACCGATACCACGTGATGAGACACTAACATGGATTCTTACCATAGACACTGCTAAATGGATCCACCACTATTTATCTCGGCTGTGTGTATGCCATTATCACGTGCATTGGAATTCTCGCTATCTCTGTTGCCCTGATATCATTCTCACTCAAATCACGTTATCGACTTGCCAAACAGCATACCTCCTAAAGATGCAATACATATACCCCCACAACATTTTTCAATCTAGATGTCTTTTGTCTCTTTTTTTTCTTCTGTATCAGATCATGTACAAGAAAGCGCTATATATGTGTGTGTGCGTGTGTGTGCATGCGTGGATGTGGAATCATCTGCCATTTTTTGTCTTTTCTAATCAAGGTCAAGATCCATATTATCATTGTTGTGGGTGGAATCGGAGGATGGTTGGTGCTGAGGGGTATTAGAGTTGTTGTTGTTGTTGTTGCTTCCATTATGATCGCTTGACGATGCTTGATTGTTGTTGTTATGGGGTGATTCTGAAGCAGGTCGTGCTGTCCATCCTGCGGCTGTTGGGAAATACATTCGACGCATGTTCTCCATCATTGTTTGTTGAAAGGTGGATCGATTGTTGCCTTGTTGATCAGTGGAAGTAGACGCATTGGAAGTCGAAGAACGTGCATTATCACCACCATCAGATGATGCTTGACTATTTTCTGGTTGATCCTTCTTTTCAGGCGAAACGGAATGTCGACTAGAAAAAAAAGAGGGGATTAGGGGGTTGTTTTTATCCATCATCACACTTTTTCACTTACCATACTGGACAAGTGCCATTCACCTTGAGCCATGGTTTAATACAATCTTCGTGGAACATGTGCTGACAAGGCAATTCGATAGCTTCCTCGGTGGGCACAAATTCCTCCTTACAAACAGCGCAATCCACTTGTTCAGCTAAAAGAACAATCAGCATCCACTCCTATCATCATCATAGTAAAGTTTCCTCACCAACTTCCTCATCGGTCAGTTTTCTTTTTGGTAATGAATCAATGACGGTCTCGGATGCGGGAGGAGGTGCATTTCGACTATGCAAATACAACACGTGAGTATAAATTATGCATTCACAAGATATAGCCTTGTCAGCTTACCCGCCTGCTTGCTCCATCAGCTGAGTAATGATATTGTCAAATCCATCTTGTGAAAAGACATAATCATTTGGATTGCCAACCATGCCTTCTCCCAAGCCAGCCAAGAGTTGCAATAAACTGGTTTTCATATATGGTTAATCACTGAATGCAATACCATCATCATTTTCTTTTTCTTACCTGCTAATACCATTCATACGATTATCACCAGCACCTGTTCCTTGACCACCACCTTCTCCAGTAGTGTTTCCACCTTCTCCTTCTTCACCACCTCGTGGTTGTGCTGTTGGCATTGGCATAGGTCGTAATTGAAAATTGCCATCCACCATACCACCATAAAAGAGTACAGGTTGTGGATGACCACCACGTCGTTGTTGATTCTCTCCTTGTTCATTGTTCTCGGTTGATGTTGTTGTTGTACCATCCTCATTTCCTGTACCAGAAGCCGTCGTATTACCACCACCGGCGGCACCAGCAGCCATAGGCCCACCACCCATACTAGCTTCAGTTGTTTGTTGCAACATCATGGTCACCATATTCTGTAACATGGCTGACATGGCAGGTATGGAAGGTCGATTGTTGCCTCCTTGACCACCACCACCACCACCATCCTCGTCTCTCGGTGCAAAGGAATCCAGAAACTGTAACACATCATCCTCGTTCCCGGCTCGGCTATCGTATCGAAAATAAGCATGTGGACGGTGGCCGCCTTCGTCGTCGTTTACTGCGTCATCGTGTCCACCGTTTAGAAAGCTTTGGGGATCACTCTCAGCATCAATCTATCAAGTCGACGATTCAGTAAGGTGCAAAAGTAGACCAAGGAAAGTAGGCTTTACCTCTTGAACAAATTGCTCATTACAATGCTGACAGGTCGGATCGGGGGCCATATAGATGGGTACTTCGGCATTGCAGCTGTAACAAAAGTACCGTGGTTGTTCTTGTCGTGCTGATGGGCTCTGAGACGACATTGTGGAGCGGATAAAAGAGTGAAAAAGAAGCAAGTTTATCCTCCCTTCTGACAAGTGCCGAGTAAGATAGGTGACAGTGTGATATGGCTTGCTCACTTCCAATCCCTTGTGACTCGACGGTGCTGCTGCTGCTGCTGCTCGATGGAATATCTTGGATCCATAGAGAACAAAATAACACTAGCTCCTTTTCTCTCTTTCTTTCTTTTTACACACTCATTCATCTTTTATCATAGACAATGAATCCTATTCTACCTTATTAAACAATGCATCAATGCTATTACTACTACTACTGCTGCTGCTGCTGCTATTGTATATCTAGCCAAGACTACTACTACTGCATCATTGCACGTATAATCCGGGGGAGATGTAATAGTATTAATAGACTCGGTAGTTTAGGCAATTTGCTTTGCATTGGTAATGGTGTGTGGAGACAACAGCCGATAGGGATTACGTTTTTGTACAAGGCTCATGAGTACCAACACTGACCATTTATGGATATTTATGCTCGGGCTTGATTTCACGCGCTAGAGGCCGCTCTCTCAATAACTTAATGCAAGGGCCATCACTGGCTAAATGTGCTTTTAGGTCGCCGCAACGATCAATCCCTTTACCTTTGTCGATCCATCACCCTTCTATGACATGACACCTATACCCAAGGAATGAAACGTCAATATTTGTTGTTGTTACAAACATGTCACGAGGGATCTTACCCCCCCCAACAATCATCATCCCTTCTTCTTCAGATTGCACGCATGTATCACAATAAAAGACACTGGTTGCTTTTGACATGAATAAAACATGTGCATATGATTTAGTAGACGTGCACAGGAGAATTTACCATATCACTTCTCCTCACTACTAGAGCCATCCCATCATACACTAAAACTTTTATGACTAGGTGATGCAGATCCATAAAATGATAGCGCACACCACAACAACATCACGCACATGGAAGAGTAGTAGTAGTCGTGGTAGTGCAACACAGACCTTGCTAACATTGACACATTTCAATGTCGTGTGTAGCTAAACAAAGTGCTGCAACCAGGCGCATAGATCACTTTTCGATGATTCCTTGTTTGTCTTAATTCGCATGTTGCTTCGTACTTGGTCACTTACCTAACCCCTGAAGAAAATGTGTCTCCTGCACGACCCCTTTTTTCATATCTTATGTTTTCGGTTTTTTGCAGCACTTCTGCAATACATTAGTAGGCGCGCTTCTTTTTTCATTCTCTTTCATTTTTTCTCTCTCTTTTTTCTTTTACACATACATACATAGCACATACAGCGTCATGCCACCTTCATCCAAATTATCAACGAGGATTCTATCATGCGTATTCTGGACACGTACAACGGTGCTAGTGCTAGCCATCGTCATTGTGGCGGCGTCTCTTTCGGTGTATAGTCTACACACGGTGCCGATCTTTTCGTTGTTTGGCGGCGGCAGCGGCAATAGTCATCAACATCAAACGACAATTTTATTGGAAATGGTTCAAGATCGACGACTGATATCGACCTTGGTGGCAGCACAAGCATCCGTATTTTGTCCACTCTTTTTGCTTTTAAACCACAATCGGAAAAAAGACAACGATGAATCCTCATCCTCTTCACCCTCATTGGCATTGGATTTGATTTGCTGTCATGTATTGATGCCTTTGGGATTGGCTCTTAGCTGGACCTTTTGTATCATGTTTGATCGCAAGACCATGATGGCGTTGATGCAAAGCGGATTCTTGGGTGAAGAACTGGTAACGAGTTGGACGGATTACATGGGATGGCATGACATGTGCCTTTTGAATAGAAATGTTCATGGTGAATGGCCTTGTCTTGCTGTCAATGTAATTCATGGTTTCAAGTATTTGATTGTTCTTGTGCTTGCAGCGGAGATCTACATGGTCATTGCAGCAGCCGTCGTTTTGCGTCGAGAACATCGACAAGAACACCCCACCCAAGGCGTGATCCAACTATGTATTGATGAAAAGTCACAACGTGGATACTATAACCCTGCACCGGTTTCATTCATGGATGATCAACAACGCGATGTGTTCATGCAAGTATGATCCCTCTAATATTCTCCATGGCGATACATCTATATAATCTAATGACTCATGGATCATCAATCATAAGAATAAAAAAAGTCAAAAGTGACACATTCATGCTATGCAACAGGGTTTGTGGTGGGTGATACAAAAATTGATCGTTGGAATGTCAACAGCAATGGGCCACATACACAGCCGAGAATGCAGCAAAGAGCGCGTGTGCACGCGTGTATTTCTATTATGTACCGCTTCTTCTTTCTCCTTTGAATCACATTGCTACCCCTTTTCCCTTGCTTTACTTTTTACTATCACTATACTACGATTTCTCCCCCTGCTATTTGATCAATTATTTAGGCTCACGTAATAATGGATACCACTATTGATCACAGCACTGCCGCTGCCGCCGACATTACCCAATTCAAATCCTCTCAACAACCACGCCCATGGTTTCAAGCATGGTGCAAAAAGCTGAATCTTATATCAAATCGCACACGTATTGCACCTATCAACAATCCTCACACATCCGGTGATCATGTGCAAGAATCGAATGATTCACCAGTGTTATCCTTGGCATCACCTACTACACGCTATAACAATACAGCGACGACACCAACAACAAGCAAACAATCTCCCGGTATTCAACGTCCTACGACAACATCCTCACCACTACCATCCAAAACAGTGTTGCATTATGCACGCTCACCGCCTAGTAGCGCACGTATACTACGGCGACTTGCACGCACCACCTTTAATAAATCTCCAAGGATGTCTCATGGATGGTCAATGATAGCATCATCATCATCGGAAAAATCGTCAGGACAACACGTGCTCAACAAGATGCATCGTAAATACGTACAACTCTTTCTTAAAGCCCCGCATTTTGTGGCAGGTGGTAAGGTAACAGGTACAGTGGTGATGGAATTTCCCCAAGGTCTATCACAAGCAGACTTGTTGGATGGATTTGAAAGTCTTGATTTGCAGCTACGTGGCGTCGAAAGTAGGTCTAAATTGTATGCGTATACAAACATGTGTGAATAACCTATTACTACTACTGCTTTAGGTGTCACTGAACCCATTCATTTTAAAACATCCACGCATACGCACGAGTTTTTATCTCGACGTGTACTTCAATTGGGTCAAGAGCAGTTGCGAACATGCTTCAAGTCATATGGCAAATTTGTAATTCCATTTTCGGTTCAACTACCTCAAGAGCTTGGTAGCAGTTATAAGGACAAAAAGGGGTCTGTGCGTTACCAACTGCAAGCGTAAGTATGATTCTACTTGTATTACGTTTACATCCCTAATACAAGCATTACATAGTGAATTGGCTCTAAGTTGGCCTGATGCCACTCATGGTGTGGAGAGGGTACGACGCAAAATTGTATGCAAGGAACGTGCTATTGTCATTTACCCCAATGCTCAAAGCCGTGTATTATCCGAACCCAACTTGTATATGCCGGTAAACGCTGAACGAAAAATGTGGCCATCATCACCATCCAAAGCTGTTTCTTTGCAACTATCACTTGGGCGATCGATATGGATCACTGAGACGCCTATTTATGTGCATGTCAAGGTGGATAATGCATCCACGCGTTCCGTGTCGGATATCAAGCTTGAGTTGTTGCGACGACAAAACACGTTTTCGCAAACAGGCTTGCAAGGCAGTTTTGGGCTCAAGCCAGTGACATCAACTTGTGAAACGGTGGCTCAGGTACAAGCATCTCAAATGGGGTGGCTACTTCCTATGGACCCGGGCATGGAGGATCAAGCAACCATGATGCTGCAATCACCTGTAAGTAGTATACGTGTGCTTTTATCGTATCATCATCATTCACAAGCTTATACATGTATACATAATAGAGGGACCATTACTCGATTCGTAGTCAAAAGTTGATTGATGTATCCTATTCGATTCGTGCTTCGTTGGTATCCGATACCAGCAATAGGTAATATCGAGGGGGATGGTGGTGTTGAATTTTTGCATCATCATCAATTAACCTGCTTTACTATTATAGTGCGGATGCAGTTGTGGAATTGCCAATCGTTTTGGTGCATCCCATATCACTCGATCCACCTCCTGGTGAATACACGCTACCGGAACCAAATCCAAACGGCAGACAGCTCTTGTTAAACATGTTCCAAGCACCAATGCATGAACAGCAGCAAGGTACCTCATCCCAATTGACACCCTCCTCCACTTGTTCCTCTACCAAATCCAAGTTGAGTCAAGTATCGATATCTCGCTCTTTACACAAAATGCGTGGATGGGTATTACGCCACTCACCCAAACGCCGATATTGTGAATCACCACCCCTGAATCTATTATCTACTTCACCTACCACTCAACCACCACCATCATCATCATCACAAGGTTTACCCTGTCGTTGGCAAGGTAACATGAAAAAAGGGAGAAGGAAAGAAACAAAGAAAAAGGAGCCATGATACTAACGGGGTGCCGATCTCTCTCTCTCTCTCTTTTTACAACAGCCCCATCTGAAAAGTTTGAGCTGGTTGGGAGTTGTAGTGCATTTGCAGCACAAGTAGTACGAAGAAAACACCCTAGAGTCGGAATCAAGAAACGCATGTTGGCTTCATCAAGGTACCTCAAAGGATTACAGAATAAGACACTTTCTATTGCAGCGGATGGTAGACGTTTATTGCAGCTAGAAGATAAGGGTAGCAATAGTAGTCAACCAAAAGAGGGATCATCTCGTTAAGAAAAAGTGACACACACATACACAACTGCAGGAAGTATTGTGATGATGATCCGATCAAGAGACCATGGTGGGACCTTGACACGGGACATGGAATACAATTTATTACATCATTGATCTAAGGAATGAGAGAGAGAGAGATTGATGACGATGACGACGACGAGGATGGTGGTGTATAGGGGAAAATGATTGAATGATGCTTGTGGATATAGCTTATTATGATTAACCCACCCAGTGATAGAGAGAGCGAGAGAGGCTTTTTTTTACAGTGGACAAGGTTATACTCACTCCGCTTCTTCTTTTCTTTCACACACACCTAACTCTCTCCAAAAAACCACTCTTACCCAGAGGGACCTTTCCTATTGACCACCACCCCACTACATCCCATCACTCTTCACTCCCATCAGCGGTCCATTTGCCAGTGTATCCACGGTACTGTCATGTCTCCTTGCTTTGATCTTTTACCGCTCTGCCATCCTTCTTGAGTCTTGCACTTCATACTTGTGATCACTCTCTTGTCCATCTGTTGTCTTTTTCTTTTGAAAAACGAGAGCGATTCCTCTGATGGCACCGGTTTTATGCTTTTACTCGTCCATGCACATCTTTCTAAACTTTTGATTTTCTCTATATATGCTCTCGCCCCTCTTTACACAGAACACGGTCTTTACTATCATCCTACTACAATATCTGTACTTACCCTAACCCATTCTCCCGTACAACACCCTTGCAACATCTCCATTTGTGTGCACTCTTCTTCAAGCAAATAGGTAAGTAAAGCAGGTGGGGGGGATACAAGGATGATGATGGCTCTCTTTCTTTATTGACTCTATCATTTTTTATAGCGTGTGTGCAATCTAATTTCTTCTTTTTCTGAAACCAAAGGTAAGTGTGGCTGCGGTCACTCTATTTTGATCTCCCCTCCCTCTCCCCACAAGTTGATTCGAATCTCCGTGTTTAGTCGACACTTATAGCGAGCAGCAAATGTCTTCCGAAGTAGATATGAACGGTTCACCCACTGATCGATCAAAGCGCCCACGTCGTGAGGACGAGGATTGGGATTCTGATTACGAACGCGACGGCCAAGATGATCGCCATCCAAAGCGACAAGCTGTACCTGATCCTGAAACCAAGGCACCTCATTTTGTTGGAGCAGCCGATAATGATGACAACGACAAAAACAAAGCAGCATCACGCTCTCGACGAAAGAAATGGGAGGAAGGATCACAGGATAGCGATGATGAGGAACTTCAAATCTTGTTGGACGATAAGCCATCATCGGTACCCACATCAGCAGCAGCAGCAACAACAGCCGATACGAACAATAACAACACCACATCCACATCTCCTTCAGCACAAGCATCAGCATCAGCATTGACGACTACGCCTAGTGTCATCACAGCTGCACCTACAAACAACATGTTGGGTCCTGATAACGAGCTTGTTCCTACTCCCAGCAATGAAATCAGCATCTCTCTTCGTTCCCTTGTCAGCACCAAAGATGCAGGTGTTATTATCGGTCGTGGCGGCAAGAACGTTAGCGACATTCGTGAAATCTCTACAGCCCGTGTCACCATTTCAGACATTGTACCTGGTGCATATGAACGTATTTTGACAGTGACAGGACCTGTTAAGGCAGTGGCCAAGGTAAAGATGAAAAAGTGGGAAAAAAACAGCAATCGTATTGATTCATGTTGTTTTAGGCCTATTCTCTTGTTGCTGAAAAGATCCTTTCTGAAATGCCTCCACCTGATGATGGTCAAGAGCAATCGCTTACTATTCGCTTGTTGATCGCTGATAATCGTATGGGCACATTGATTGGACGAGGTGGCTCTGTGATTCGGTCCATCCAAGAGCAAAGTCATGCACGTGTGAATGCTTCAGAGGAGCCATTGCCCATGTCAACCGAACGCACCGTAACCATCGTTGGTACTACAGCTGCTGTACAAGGAGCTATCTATCAGATTGCTGAGATTTTGGCCGAGCATCCCGAACGTATTGGTGGCAACAACACGATTCCTTATCGACCTCAGCCTCAAGGTGTAGGTGCTCGTGGTGGTGGATATGGTTCGATGCCTCGTACAAGTTCAGTAGCCGGTAGTGCTGGTGGAGGAGGAAGTGGACCTGCAGCAGCGGTAGCAGCAGCAGCCATGAATCCATATGGTGCCATGATGGGTCACATGGGTGGTATGCCTATGGGAAGCACCAATCCACAACTCTACTATCAAGCAGCAGCAGCAGCAGCCTACGGTGCTATGCCTGGTGTTGCATCGGGTCGTCAAGGTGATTATGGCAACATGGGTGGCATGATGGCTAATCCTCAAGCTCAACAAATCTTTATTCCTAATGAAATGGTAAGTTGATGATGGGATGATGAAGGATACAAAGGGGAAAAGATGATTAAATGTTATACTATTCAATAGGTGGGCTGTATCATTGGTAAAGGCGGTAGCAAGATCAATGAAATTCGCCAGCTGAGCGGTAGCCACATCAAGATTGCGGATCCCCATGGCAACACAAACGAACGATTGGTGACCATTACTGGTACCCCTGAAAGCAATCAGATGGCATTGTACTTGTTGTACTCTCGATTGGAAAGCGAAAAGGGTAGACTCGGATTGCACTAGTAATAGTAATCATTTTACCAAGTTGTCAGAATACATTACACAATCACACCCAACACACACACACACACTTTCATTTCTATTTTTATCACCAGCTTGTGCAGTTTCCCGGTTTCATTTGTCTCTTTCTTTTCATCGTACCATGAACAAGCGTTTGATTATACCCCTACTTTCTACTCTATCGACTCTTGTCTTTGCTTATCCACACGCACCAGGAACAGCAAGTATATTTGGATACCAGTAGATCGGACATGATGGAAGAGCTAATGTGGGCATTCTAGTGCAATCTCGAGCTTATGCATACCATTGGCCATGGTCCTTCACAGTCAACATGCGGCGATTGTTACGGCATACACATTGAGCAGTCTGATACCAGTAGCCCTATGGACATCACCATTACAGGTCGACGACCCTATCAAGGCCTCTTGGTGCAAGTCAAGAATACAAACAATGTTACAGTGGGAGAGTTTGTCGAGTATGCAGAAGATCTATATTATCCTGTCGTATGCGAAGATGAAGATGTGGCTATCGAAAGACCTGAAGGATGGGCAGGAAGTATTGGACATACGGATGCAAAGCTCAAGTCATGGCCTGTACAGCTACGCTGGTCGTCAGCAACACAAGATGTGATTGATTCGCCATCCACTCATCTAAGGGTCCAGGGCATGGTTGTGGTAAGTGTATTTTATATGGGTATACATCATTATATGTATGCTAATGATCTCATCACTTTAGTTGGATTATGACAACTACCACATATTACCTGAGATGCCATTTACTGTTCGCAAACCAAAAGCACTTCCTCCATCACCGACACCTTCACCCACTACAACAACTCCAATCATACAACTTGATCCAACTGATACATTCACAACATCGCCACTCGCAGAAGCCACCTTGATCGATTCACAGCCTGTTGAGAGAGATGAGGAATCAACAACCTTATTCTTGCAAGTACTATGCTTTATCATATCAATGTACTTTATGATGGCGTTGTTACGAAAGCGATTACGACGTGGTAGCAATACAACGACAACGCCGGATCCGGAAGCAGGGCATATCCACTAGAGACATCAGCATCATAGCATAATAGTATGTACTAGACATCAGCATCATAATACAATTTTTATTGTTCTGTTCTTGGCTATTTACAATATGCAGCGGGGTGGTTCATGATGATGAGGTTTATGAGTACTTTGCGCACATTTCCTTGAGAGTATTAGCACTGGCTTCCATTTTCTTGCGCTCATTCGTGCTGAGAGGAATATCATAGACACCTTCAATACCTTCAGCACCAATCTTGGCTGGAGCTGAAATGACAGTACCAAGTGATTCAACATAAACAGACAATGGACGAATATCGCACTTGTTGAGAATGATGGCTTCGCACAAAATAGCAGCACATGCACCAATACCATAGTACGTGGCACCCTTAGCATCGATGATCTTGTATGCCTTTTGCATAATCTTCTTTTCGATATCATTCAAATCAAGATTCTTGATCTCAGGGAACGACAACAAGGGTTTTCCTGCAACAGTAGCAGATTCCCATGCAACAAACTGAGAGTCACCATGCTCGCCCAAAACATAGGCGTGGATACTAGGCGTGGATACGTTGAGAATTTGAGCCAAATAGCCACGTAGACGAGATGAATCAAGGAAGGTGCCAGTGCCAAAGACGCGGTTACGATCAAGACCAGAAAGCTTTTGAGCAATATGGGTCAAGACATCCACAGGGTTGGAAACAAGGATCATGATAGCATCCTTACGAATAGGCTGCATGGAGCCAATCACACTCTCAAGAATCTTGTAGTTACGATCAATCAACTATATCCGGGCGTGTTAATTTGACTATGTACATATGACAATAATGATGCTGATGATGATTTTACCTGAGTACGTGATTCTCCTGGCTTTTGCTTGGCACCAGCAGTGATAATGATAATGTCGGCTTGACCAGCTTCCTTATTGGTGGCACCACGTACGCGGGTGGAGCTGAGCATGTTGGCATCACTCAAATCAAGCGTTTGACCTTCAACCACCTCGGGTACGACATCAACAAGTAGCAATTCAGAAGCGATATCGCGCAACATGACGGCATACGAGATGGTGGCTCCAACCGAACCGGCACCAATGACAGCGACTTTACTATTACCCATAGTGTGTATGTGTGTGTGTGTGAATGAAAGAAAATAAAAGGCAAGCGATGGGTATATAAACACGCTCCATTTATATGAGGACAAGCATGGGTTTCTTGTCAGCTGAACAAGTTGGTTTTTTCTTTTTTGTCTCGTATCATTTTCAATGGCGTGAGTTGTCCGTGCGTGTTATTGTTTCCCGAGAAATTCCGCCTTCTCACAGTCTCCTTATTTGGATGCCCATTGGGGCGTTTATAGTACGTACAAGCATCGGCAACGCTTGAAACATGCAAACAAACAAACTTTAAACAAGCGTATTGGCTGTTGGGTTGTCGTTGTCCAACAACGCCAAGCAAGCACATTATGAGCTGATGTATCTTGCCCGTCGATGCTTTCTCATATACCACGCTATCTTGTGCTGAAACGGCTGCTGAGTGATGTGATGTGATGTTTGGCGAAAATATGAAACGCATGCGGCAATCATGCAATGAGTAAAAGTGACATAAGAATAAGGTATAATTTGACATCACCGTCACCTGCTGGCTGCATGGATTCTATTCAACGTTGTCATTTACTTGACTTTCAAAAGTGGTTCATTGTGTATAGAACAAACACAATGTTGATCACCCAATTAAGCGTGAAGATAGGTAAACAAAGTTTCCATGACCTACATAATAATGCAGCTTCATCACTATTTCAGTGGAGTTGGCATGACACAACCATAGCATGCAATCACCATCAATGACTTTACCTAACAATGAACCATGCTTCTATGGCAAGCGCTATCATTTATTGGGACCATGAGATTATTATCTTGTAAACAGAAGCTGTTTATTAAACATGTGCACAATCCGCTGAGAACCGCCACCGCCTATCGTTTATCTAACATACTGGATGAACGAGGAGCTTGTAACGTAGCGAAAGAAGCAATAGCGTCTCATACAATAATGTGAATGATGCTATCTCATGTATACTCTTTCCAACACACTTCACTTAATGCATCAACAATCCTAAAACCAACCACGCGAACCACATCTTGCTGCGCACATGAGCAGATAATATGATATTATCATTATGTGGAATCCAATGTTCATTTAATGGCAAGTCAAAGAAAAGGACATGGTGTGTGGGTGTTCATCATATAAATACAATAAAGCAACGGCATAATCAAATTGAATAAGAGGGATAAATCACATAGAACCAAAAGGGATCATTGTGTTGTTGTATTCTTGGTTGCTGCCGGCATGAACATCCTTCATCCATGATTCAAAATAGCTGCTGCATGCATTGGATCGAGTTCTCCAGTATAGCATCCGCTGCTGTAGAGCACCTTTCGTCAAAGATAGAAGCCCTCTCGTCAATGCCATCCGATCCATCATCATCCTCAACCGTATCCACGGGTACAATCGTTCCAGCTGACAACGCGCCAAATAACCAAAGCAACATTCCAGGCTTCACCATCACTGCACTTGATTGCATCCATCCATCCATAGCCAATAACGAAAAGAGCCTCTGTGGTCGCTGCTGATATACTTCCTTTCCCATCCGAATGTTTGTCAACCACTTGCTAGGTCCATTTGTCATTACCAGGTGAGGATCGCTTGTATTGCGGTGGATCTGATAGGTGACATGGCATCATCCATAGGAGTCTATATGCATCAAGCAAGCTGCTTCTATACAAAAGCTATCTGCTGTCCACGTAACAAAGACTGTAAGACCAAGTTGCTGCAAGTAAAGAACGATGTTGGAGACATTGAAGTAGAGACCTTGCTAATGGATGCTGCTGTTACGTTTGGTTGTGGCAGAGGAGTGTGCAAGAGCGTGTGTTGTAGTAGAGTGACAAGGTTGTGAACGCTGTTTGAGACAATGGATTGAAGACATCGCTAATAGCAACTGCTGCAATGAACGCTGTTACAATTGATTGTGGTAGAGAAGCGCACAAGATCGTGTGTTGTGTCAAGAGACTTGTGTGTTGTGGTAGAGTGAGACGAAGGCTGTGTACACCATGCACTTGCCATTCAGTCAAAGACAATCGGATCAAGGCAATTGTAGCAATGACAGGGTGGGTTGAAACAGGACAATCGTTCGCAGGTGGTGGTTGTACTTGAATGCACCAACAGTTGAGAATGGGAAGAAGAGTTAATGAGCTGGGAATGGAAGAGGTGGAAATCAAAATACATTTTTCTGATGGCCTTGGATGATACTTCTTTGTGTGAGCTTGTTCATTCAAATACTCTCAGGTCAAGAAAGTTGAAGGATGGAAATGATGGGCTGGAGTAGGATAATCGTTCGTATGCAATGGATTGAGAACAAAAGTGAATGAGAGGAATGGGCTATTAGCTGCCAATGATGATCTCTTATAAAGTATCATACATTGCCCCTTCCAATCATGCAAAGGTAGCTGTGTTACACAACACAACCCTCTGCATCTTCTGCTCTGTCAGGGTCTAGCTACTTTACATTAAACACGAACATGTCTTCCCAGAATTTAACCAAATCGCCTGATAAGGAAACAGGCACACAATATCGTCCACAACGGCTTTCGTATGCCAAGGTTACCAGCACTCATTCCTCAGCACGTACTCATTCCCCAACGCGGGATTCGTTGAAAGCAGCAGCTCATGACAATTCTTTGCACTCGAATGTGTGGAAAGCCGGTGGCTCTCCTGCTTCCTGTACCAGCTTGTTCTTTGATTTCACGTCTCGTTCCGAAAATCGCTCCCAGCTTTTGTGCCATATAAACGAAAGCTTTCCCAACAATTGTGGTGTTCGCCTTCACTCGGATCATGCTCGCCGTATTGTTGAATTATTCATCGATGACTCCAACGTTTACCAGAAAGCTTGTACGTCAGGCCTTGTTTTCAAGGATGGTGTGCGTATCTTGCCTAGTGTACCTTTACCAGCTGATTCCCGTCTCATTCATCTTCGACTCAGCAACCTTCCTTTTACCTCTCGAGATAAGCTTACCGATGGAATTTATAAGGCTCTCTCACCCTTTGGTGATGTTCTTGATTATGGTATTCTCCGCGATCATGACTCTAAGTTGTTCATGGGACACGGATATGCAACATTAAACGTTTCAGGTTCAAAACAATCATCATCGCTCACACACACGATTTCATGGCCTAACTCCGAAGACTGGTTTTACGCAACATGGGCTGAAATGCCGCTTCATTGCCTTCATTGCCACAAATCCGGTCATTCTATGTCCTCATGTCCTACCCACCCAAGCAGATATCGCCCCTGTTGGTCTTGCGGCCAAAATGGCCACCGTGCCGCTAAATGTCCCAATCGCCGCCCTATTGTTGTCAAGCCCATCAATGACCCACCAATGTCCCCATCGTCTTCTGTTTCCACTGCTGCCAGCCATTCTGATGTATCGATGCTTAGCACTGATTACTCACCCCTTGAAGCCCACAACGACATGATTATCAGTACTCATATTATAGAATCTTCCCCTGAAAAACCAACAGCCAAATCATCTAAGGCACCAACACCTCCCGAGTCCATCGATCGTATGTTGACGACTTTTCCCATGTCTGATGAAGCCAAGGAAATCATTCGATCTTTGCATCTATCAAGTTTTACCACCCTTTATTTTAAGCTTAAAAGTCGGGGTAAACTTTTTCCGTCTTCTGCCACTCCTTCCAATTCGTCGGGGAGTGTCTCTTCCATGAGACTTAATGATTCCAATTAGCTCGCTCCCACCCTTTGTCATCTCGTTCCCTCTCATGTATATCTCCTTATGATTATCAATTTGACCAATATTGTTTCGATTTTGGGGTGCCACTCTCCGATGCACTCCCAATAAAACGAGGCTAACAACCTCCATATAAATACTTTACATTAAACAAAGACCACTTCTCATATAGCATCACGCTTACAAACATAAAGGTGCCTGTACCTCCAAACTTTACAATGAAATGTGGGGTTTTTATTAGAGCAATGGGCTCGGCTTGGCCAACAGCACCTTGTGTGAAAGTTTTCACGTTCAATGTCGCAACTAGCCCAAAAAATGTTTTTTTGGTCGTCGTCGTCGAAGAGGTCGACCCCCAGATCCAGTTTGGCTGGTAGCGACATTGCGAAATCTGGGATTGGCAAGCTTGATCGTGAAACTTTCACACAAGGTGCAGTTGGCCAAGCCGAGCCCGTTGCTCTAATAAAAACCCCACGTTTCATTGTAAAGTTCGGAGATACAGGCACCTTTATGTTAGTAAGCGTGATGCTATATGAAGAGTGGTCTTTGTTCATTATCAAGTAGGTGGACCCTGGCAGAGCCAAAGATGCAGAAGGACCTCTTTGGGTAACTCAGCTAAAAAGTCTGGACTTCAGGGACAATGCATGATAGGTACGCAACCCTCACTTTGATGTCATACATTGGCAGCTAATAGCCACTTTTGTGCATTCCCAACTTTTGTGCATTCTATTGTAGGTGGACGATGCTCCTGCTCGAGACATTCATTTCCATGATTAAAGTAGGTTGATCCGAGCTGATTTGGTTGAGTTACGCTCACGCAAGATTACATCGGTTGAGCTACATCGAGCGTGCTTGATGTCTAGAGTGATGTAATCTCTCTTTGACCACAGCTCAGTCAAATCAGCTCGGATCAACCTACTTTAATCATGGAAATGAATGTCTAGAGCAGGGGCATCGTTCCCATGCAGTGGATCCCGCAACAATGATGATTGGATAAAAGTGGCCGTTAGCTAGCAATACATGCCTGTTCCTAGATGATCCATAAACTAATTATTCATTGACCCTTTCATTCATGCAAACGTAGCGGTGTTACACAACACGACCCTCTGCATCTTTTGCACTGCCAGGGTCCACTTACTTGACAATGAACAAAGACCACTCTTCATATAGCATCACGCTTACAAACATAAAGGTGCCTGTATCTCCAAACTTTACAATGAAACGTGCGGTTTTTATTAGAGCAATGGGCTCGGCTTGGCCAACAGCACCTTGTGCGAAAGTTTCACGTTCAATATCGCAAACAGCCCAAAAATATTTTTTTGGTCGTCGTCGTCGAAGAGGTCGACCCCCAGATCCAATTTGGCTGGTGGCGACATTTGCGAAATCTGGGATTGGCAAGCTTGATCGCGAAACTTGCACACAAGGTGCGTTTCACCCCGCCGAGCAACACTGTTCTGTTAAAGACCCCACGGTTGATTGTAAAGTTATGAGATACGGGCACCTTTATGTTTTGCATATGCTGTAAGCGTGATGCTATATGAAAGGTGGTCCTTGTTCTTGCCAAGTAGGTAGACTCATGGAGCCAAGGATGCATAGGGGCATGCTGGTGTAACCCAGCCGATTTGCAGGGCTGGAAGGTCAACGCTGTTGGTGGAGAAATGCATGATGATCCTTCCCCTGCCTGTCTAATAGACTGAGGTCAACCTATGATAGCCCTACGACATGCTTCGTTATTATACATGGTTGCATAAGATTTTGTTAGCTGAAACTGTCATAGGTAAGCATGGTATGTTCACGTAATCCTGCCGCATTGTTATCGCTACTACTAGTAGGCTAGCAATGAACCACCACTATGATACGCAACATCACTCTTAAATTTATTAGCTTTGGAATACAAGCGTTGGTAGATCCTTACGCTCTTTCATCTATCAGCATGTAAACTATGAAGCTTTAGCCAATGTGATACATGATCTGACAAAAGAACAAAAGCATCTCGATACGACCATATACAGGACCCAACCTCGCTTTCCCGATTTGAATTCCTATCTCGCCCCTTCAATCCAGAAACCAACAAGTGGTATACATCTTGCACATGTAAGCTGAAAGAATCACACCTTAATTATGCTGAGTCCAATATTCGTTCAGTGTAGTAGGTATTTATCAAGAAGTAAACAAGGCAAGAGAGCAACGTATACAAATTGAATAGATACGGGTAAGGTACATAGAGTCTATCGGTATCATCGTGTCTTGCTTGCTGCCGTCATAAAGGTCTTCATCCAGGGCTCCAAATCAGCTGCTGCGTGATTTCATTCGAGTATCCCAAGATCATCCATGACTGTAAACTGCCTCTTGTTATAGGTATAAGCCTTCTCAACAATGCCACCCGATTCATCCTCTTCCCTCAGCTGTACCCGCGTAACATGATCCATTCTTCCTGATGATGACGTGCTAAGTAATCAAAACGACGTTCCAGGGTCCCCGTCCATTGCGCTTGACTGCATCAATCCATCCATAGCCATTCCAAGTTCAACACGTTGATCGAAAGAGCCATGTGATCGCTGCTGATATGCATCCCTTTCCACCCAGCTATTGGTCAATCTCTTCCTTCGCCATCGTGTGTGGCAGCCCAACTAGGTTGTGACATCAACCATGCAATGCGAGAGATGCTTGTATCGAGGCATACTTGATGATGGGTATCAATGGCTCTCCAGATAAGGTATCCTCCAAGTCAACCATCATGTCCTATGTATGGTTCACGAATGGTGAAATATTAATCATCATTTCTTGATCAACATAGCCATCCATCCTGTGCATACCTTGATAAATGGACAAATCATAGTACAGACCTCTTGGAGTAGTGCGCTGCTGGACGGCGTTCCCAATACCTTGTATCCATCCGACCCAGTATGTGCTGCTGCTGTTTCGTTGTAAAGCTCGTTAATCAACCTGTCTTACTTTGTAGATCCAATACCATGCGTACCATTGAGCCAACGTACAGCATTCTTCCTTTGAGATCAGTATGATGTTGCCACCAGAGGTATCATCATCCAAAGTGCTCAAGCTAGAACAAATGCAATGTAAGATAAAGAAGAGCATGCGATTTTCGTGTTAACATACCCAAAGTAACAACGTGAACCTCTCCTTGTGTGACAGCCATTGAAAGAGCACTCACAACACATGTCAGCCCCTTGGAACTTGTATAAGCCAGACAACCATCAACTACACAAGACTTTTAGTATCTCACCGTCCAACTTGAATAATAAAGGAATGCAGCGATTGAACGTACATGGTCTATTACAATGGGAGCTTGAGTGATGGGTAGATTGCACGCATACTTGTTGTTGACTGCTTGCAACTGGAAAGTGTCGCCATTGACCACCTGTTCACCCAATGGAAGATGTACATTGAATGGGATGCCAGCTGTTGATGCGTTGTAGTTTGTAAATGGAGACAAGCTTACCTTGTTTCGTGAAGTGGAAGTGAAGAAGGGACTCTTTGTTGTTGTTCCTCTCATCCTTCTTAATTTGGGCACTCTACGCCACCCCGCTTGCTGCAGCTGCTGTTGTTAACACGTACCTCGACGATAGCCTACGTTCCTAAGCCTATAATAATAGCCCCACTAGTACCCCTCGTAATGAAGCTATCCATGACTTTACTATGGCCGGAGGTGATGCCAATTAGGTCCGTGCGCGTTAATGCAGCTCAACTCCTATACCAACTTGTACAACTAACCTCTCACTCCCGCTACCAAATGTAGAAGAAGTTAATACCCGCGTATAGATTCATTGTCATTGTCATAATGAGTAGCTTCTTTATCAATGAATGTTTGCATACAAAGAATCAATCCCTGCCCAAGGCAATCGTCATCCATTCGTGTAACCTGTCAACTTGCATGTGTAACCCGCCTCAATAATTCCCCTCTCATTCATCCCAGCAAATTTGATTACCCATACACTACTCACAAGCATTGGTATATGAGTGCATCTTGTAAATGCATATACGTTTGCTTGAGTCAGCGTGTATTAATTTTGGATGATGCTATTGATCAAATTACTATTCATTTGGATGGTGTGAAATCACATCGCTTCTCAAGTGAAAGCTCCCCGACACCATACCTAGCAGCAGTGAAAGTAGCTGCTCAATAATACCTTTTTAGATACGAAAACTTTATGGCTAGGATATGATTTCACAGCAATATGGATAGCATGGGTCATGTTGCGTCTCCTCTATAGCCATCCTAAGAAATGGTGGATCGAATCAATGATGCTTGCTCACATTAGTTTTATACGAGCAATGGTATGGTGTCTTTACCAGTGCATGAATAGCCACTGCCACGAAAAAATGCCCTGTATGAATTGAGTTTTGCGTATGATAGAGTTGTATGCAGCCAATACTTGCATACTAAATGGCTCTTGATTTACGTTTGTTGGTGGTTGTTGGTGAAGTTTCCTATCGAATAACGAGCTCATTACCAATCACTAAAGGGTGACTTGAGACGTGTTTATCCGCTTTTTCTATACGCGGCTCTATCTTCATCCGATAGATTATGCAACGTTCTTTATTCAGGGGACCTATACAAGCGTAGCTAATATGTTTATAATTGTAAGGGGACCATTTTCTATGACGGAGAATGATTTTGCCAAGGCCTCAGACATGACAACGATGGGGCATTATACATGACCCAAGCATGTACAGCATCATTTTGGGATATGACCAGCCCCATTGTGATGAGTAAAAGAGATGTGGAGACCTGACATCCATTTCAAGTGGGCCAATTTCATTCCGCGGATAAAGCATGGGAATGTTGGTGAGCAATCGAAAACGTGGATGTCTTCCGACCAATGACATCAGTGCCCTGGAACGCTTATGGTTGGTTCATGGATAGAAAGGAATCTTTCTTATTCAAGAGCGTTGATTGGTAGTTGAATGGAACTAATGGGAAGCCGCTAACTTGGTGCATTTTTTCAACCTTGCCAAGACCATCTTGATCCAAATGCGCTGTCCCAAGGGAATGCATATTCTAAATTACCACGAAGCTACACATGCTATTCATGAGAGTGCACAAAACATATTAGGGTCGGAAGCAAAGGTTTGGGTTTTAGGCTGTGGTCCGTGTTCTCGGCAATACAAAAATCGATGACACATGTGAACTCAACAAGTCTAAAATGTAATTCCGAATTGGGGTGATGGGTTTAATCAAATGTGCGGTTTGCATATCACCGTTGTCTAGAAGCTGGTCGAATTACCACTATGGGTCATGACAATACAAATACCAAAAATTAGATGATGATAGTACAGCTACAAGAGGAATCATGTTTGAGATTGTTACAATATCAGCTGTGACATATGGATTGCATTGTTTATTATGTCACGGGAAATGAAAGGGACGTGTGGAGTCATCTTTTATCATCACTCCGTCGGACGATGAATCATCCACCCATTCATCGTCTATAAAAGCTCAATGATGTTTCACTGCTGCCCTTTTTTTCTTTTTCTTCTTCTCTTTGGACATTCGTCCCAACCCACGCTTTCTCATGCTCTGCACACGATCCGCCATTAACCCCTTGGCAGCCAAACAAGGCATTCCCCCAGGATTTATTGGTATGTACATATACACTTTTCTTTTATTCCTATTGTTCTTTTACTAAATGGTCCCTGTGTATTGCAAATAGACTTTGCCTCGACTTCGTTTGATGCCATTTTTTACCAACGACCCTTATCATCATTACGTCGAGATTCACAGCAAAGCGATAGTGACGAAGATGACGAACCAACACCATCACCTCATCGCCGCTCATCACACCTCCCTGATTTTTTGCCTTTTATCCAATTGATCACTGAAAAATGCAACGTACAACCTGTACAGCTTGTGATGGCACTTATCTACGTTCAACGATTCCGTGCAACTCTACCAGCCAGTTACAAGGCTGAACCACAAGCAGCACATCGTATCTTTGCAGCTAGTTTATTGGTGGCGAGCAAGTACAGCGAGGATTACTCTCTATCAACTCGGCAGCTTGTTCGTGCTACTGGAGATGTGTGGACTATCAAAGAAATGGCTCGTATGGAGATGGCCTTTTTACAATTCCTGCAATGGGATCTACATATCGACTCTGAGGAGATTACTCGCTTCTTGCACAGTCTCAACTTTGACGATACGGCATCCATTTTGAACAACGAGAATGTTCTTTAACTACTGCTGCGACATGCAGTAAAAAATGTACCCGATCCCCTTCCATCTTTGGTATACCCACCCACGCAACCCCATTTTCTTCCACCTTCTTTACGCATGTATTATCTCCTTATTCTCCCGTTGCTTTGTGTATAGTACCATTTTATGAATATAGTATTGATGTAAATATCCTGAATAATCTACTTTGTGTGAAAGTGATCACCTGATGTGTGAGTAGCTGCATAATGGGAAACATGTCAGCTGTCAAACCCAAAATCATGTGGTGCAAGGGTGGTATGGATATGGCTTTAGGTCACTTTTTCTTCCATTTTCCAAAACAAAACGCTAAAACGATGCACCATGTTTATTACTTTACTTCGGCAGTAAGCTTTCTATTTGACATTGTACGCTAACGGGCTACTAATTGAGTATTTACAGTGGCGAGAGTGAAGGCAACATGTTGCAATGCTGGCAAGGCATTACCGATGGCCCGTAAGCAAGAAGCGATTCAGCATGACGACGACTCAATCTGACAATGGAGATGACGTAATAGGTTAACGGTTGTTGGACAACAGCAAGCAACGTTAGCTATGCAAGAGTTGAAAAAGTACAAGGCATGTATATGAATGAAGATGTTGTATGAGCAACAACAACAACAACAACAACAACAGCATGCTGATATGGGAAAGCATAGTTCACTACTATCCTGTCAAGTCCATTACAACGCGCGTTGGAAACGGCCAAAAAAGTTCATGCAGCTCTACCGGAACCGAGACCCGAGCTTGTTGTGGAACCATTATTGACGGAATTGGATATGGGCAGTCTTGAGGGCCAATCATGGAGTGTACCTAATCCTATCCATACAAGAGATACTCCGTTTCCAGGTGGAGGAGAATCATTGAATGACGTGTATTTACGTGCAACGCGTTTCTTGGTGCAACATTTGGAGCAAGTGGATGATGAAGAAGAAGGGCACGTATTGGTGGTTTCGCATGGGATGTTTTTGACGGAACTAGTACATGCTTTATGCAGCCGTTATGGATATGGATGGATCGATTTGAGATGGTCTAATACTGGGATTACCACATTACGGTGTACTATAGACAATGGATTAGAGTTGATTCGAGTGAATGATACCCAACATGTAAAGCAAATGTACTTGTAAAAGCAATTTAAGTCGATATAAAGGGTTGACCATGGGGAGAATGAAGGATGCTGATCATAGTTGTGTGTTGTGTGGGAGCAAATGGCATATGCCTAAAGTGTACTATATACATGATAAACGAATGGGTGGGAAATATCACTATCGACGAGGGAACTTGCCTCCACGGCGAGCTACAGGTCGTTGCCTTGTAAGATGATTATGGCTAGGAGTGGTAGCGGTGGTGGTAGTGGTGGTGGGGATGGTGTTGGCGATCGTTGATGGTTGTACAGGTGTTTCAAGGCATACTGCAGGTCGTTTTCTTTTGTGTAGCAAGCTATTGGTGTTGAGATGTGCCAAGGTGCTTTCCAATAGATCCTCATCTTCCTCATACTCCTCAGTGTCCGGTGTCAATGATGGTTCAGCTGGTGTACGAACCATAGCAGGTCGTATACCCATGGTATCCAATTTTTCCTCCAGCCATTGATACGCAATACGATACGATGGTGATCCCATCATGGGAGTCTTGGTCCGGATATTGTTGTGAATATAGGCTCGAAGGTCGTGACAATCATTCGCAAAGTCTGCAATCGATCGGCTGAAACGACGTGGCACTTTTGAGACATAAAGACCAAAGCAAACGAATTCAAGTGCTAAAATCCCTTTTTCATGGCCATTGACTTGTGTGAAGACCCATGAGTGTGGTGATCTCGCGATTTCTCCAATAATGTCGAGAGCATATTTGGACTTCCTCTTGAGCTCATCACTGGGTGGTGTCTGCCCTTGTAAAAACGTCTCCACATTCTTTTTTGTCGCTGGGAAATTGGGAGAATCCGCCTTTAGAACCAATAGCAAATTGACAATGTGCTGGAATAATCGGCATCGAATATCACTGAACAGGAATGAGAGATCCTTTCGGTAGAGGGTATGTAGCTCCTCGCAGAAATCCTTTGTAGGCGACATGTGTGCTTTGAGCTTTTCAGCACTCGTAAGCGGGACACCAAGTTGCACTCGTGAAAAGATCTCAACCTATCATATTCCTTTAGCATTTTGTTGTCGCTTGATCCACATCTCCTTTTTATCTTACCTCAGCTTCCACACTCAAATTGCTGTATTCAACTATGTCAACCACTTAGTTATCAACGAATGCTATTTGTTTTAGTCGTACAAAATACTTACCGGAAAGGATCTCAAACTCATCAAAGCGCTGGCGAAGGTCGGGAGGCAAGTAGTCTCTACCTATTGATGTACATGGTTAATCGTCATCCACTGGATTCCTTGATCATAGATCCATACCTGACTTGTGTTTTCTATTCCTATCCACCGATTCTGCATAATAGTAGTCGGTACTCGTACCATCGGCTTCGACGTGGGTGTATGGAAATTCATTGTTCATGAATCTAACAACAATCATGCATCAATATACATACATTGCTCAATCCACTTGTCCAAAGCTACTCACCCAACAATCGATGAAATGCGTTGCTTGCCATCAATGCAATATTTGATCACACGGCTATTATCCTTGTTCTTGCGAACTGCAAAGATCAACGGTGGTACGTAAAAGTTGTGTATAATGGTATCAATCAAAGCGCCCATTTTTCGAGTCTGCCAAACGACTTCACGCTGATAGGGTGTATCCTATTTGTGTTCGATAAGAATGAGAGAGATTAGCTCACTTGATGCTACACTTTCAACGAGATTCAGGGTCGTACCAAGTTGATCGTTTGCTTGTTGACCATGTCTGTCAAAAGAGACCACTCATTAGCACTCAAGTCCTTCATAAATCAAGCTATGCTTACCATTTATCTTTGGTGGCGACAATAATTTGCTGCCTGGTCTGTCCACTTGTGCTGCCATTGTGGAAGAAGCGACAACAAGCGATGTGGGTGGAATGGGAGAGAGTTGGAGGGTTGCAGAAAGAAAGAAGGTGAAAAATCTCAGAGTGCCAGCTTCGTGACTTGAACAAGTTGACCCACCACAGCTCACCACAATCAAATGCGGAATGACCCGTTCTTTGTCTCGTCACTTACTATGCTGTTATCACCATCCATATTCATTGATCATCATGCTATTTATGGAAAAAGATATCAGTTCGTGCTGTGGCATCCTTTGTTTCATGGTTCTTTCATTATCATCGTTGTTGTCATTGATCCTAATCAACACATGCAAGCAACAGGATCAAATTTAGTCGAGTGAAAGCATTATAGCCGTAGCCATACAATATATCCTTTTACATTATCAACTAGGGGAAAAGGAGTAAAGCATACATTACTTTTTCATATCATATTGCTGCTGTCGTCATGTACTCGTATCACCAGCACGATGACAAGTGTCCCACCAAAACCATTAATATTGTATCTGAGCTTGCTGTTTTGATCCTAACGCAAACTTGCGAGTGGTGTCACTATCGACAACGACCACTTTAAGGTGATGTGGTATGGGTAATGAAGAAAAACACATAAAGGGGATCTTGATCCTTCCCATCAAATGCACAAGTCATTGTTGGTACTATAATAAATCATATGATGGGGAGCATAAAAAGAGAGGTGTTGGTTCTTTGTGGTCATCAAAGAGCACATGCCAAAGTATGGGAATCGGTGATCGGATATATAGTATTGCCCAATGAGGAGAGGAATTACCCAATGAGGATAGCGCGATCTCTGTGCCACATCTTCCATGTTGCAGAACCGAACAAATACTCTTATTTCCAATAAGCATACCACCAGCATAAAACGGGATGCATGCCTTATTGGATACAAGCCACGGGCACCAGTGGATGTTAATGAAAGGGGTGGTGTGGCCATACAATCGTTTATTGTTTTCCTTTTTAGACGTTTTTATGATATCAAATGCGCGCCTAAAGCTTGACACATTACACTCGGCATGATAAACATGTGGTCAACCTTGTTTGAAAAGTTGAAACTAAAAGTAATAATGATAGATCAGGGTGAGCCACATACATACAATTAGCGGAGGTATACCGGTGAAAAGGTAGCCGGCCAATTTGATGCTGGGGGCAATCATTCAATCCACGCACATGTTGCATGTACATCGATGGGATGGTTGGTATATCTTACCGCTGGGTCTAATGGTATTGGGAGTCATCGCATGCAAAATAAGGAAACGAAAAGAATCTCGACTCTCGTAGGTCACTGTGCACTGACCACGTTCACGCCCAAAGTCGTCAGCCCGGGGTTCCTACTCAAAAAGACAGTCGTCAATACCATATTTGTAAAATGGTGCAACGTGCAACGTGTCAATCCCGTGCCTTGTTCTTTCAGCTCTCTCTCCCCCCCTCCTCCTCAACGCCTCATCACACACCCCATGACTTTTTTGCCCCACATGCCAACACCGCATCACCCATTGTCCATTTTCAACTTTTATAGCCGATTTGTGGAATGCTCTAAATGCTGATCATCACCATAATGCTCATTCACAATGTTGGATGAAAATCTCCTCGTCATCATTAACTCGAATGCATCGTTCCTTGGTGGCCTATAGAATACGTAGTGTAACCATGTCATGAGTAGCAGCTAAAAGCTTCAGCAGCGGCAAGTTAAGCTCACACCGAACCCTGATGTACCAAATGTTTATGGTATAAAATGACATAAGCATACGCGTCAAAGCAAAATCAAGGGCGACCAACGTGTATCAATATGGGTCAAATGATGACATTACACCGGCTGGTCAAGTATATAAGGCATGTATCAGCTTTAAAGTGTTATAAAGGGAGGAAAAAGGGGAAGTAATCGAAAACACATCTCTTTCTCAGACAAAAGAACCTGCAACGTAAGAAGGCGTTGTTGAACGTGTTATTTGGTGTTTGCCCCTGACATCGATATTTCAATGCATGTATTCATTATATTGAAGCAAGTGCACTGTCATTGGTTTATGTATGTATGCTTGGTAGATGTCCTTGAGGAAAAAGGAAACACGCCTGCAGAGTAAAAAAAAAAGGGCACATTTTCATTGTGCAGGTTGCTAGGATACCATACTATGCTTGTTTTTGTGCTACTATGCAGATCTCTCAGCGAAGCGCCGTTCAACATTACCGAGGAACTGGTATTGGAGAGTAACAAACTCCCCCCTTCTTTTGTATAATCCGCTCCGTTCCTCCCCCCAGACACAATGACCGTAAGCAGGGATTATTATATACAATCGACATTTAAAAGCTCGACCGATCACACCCTTTCTGGTCCTTCCAATCATTCCTTCGTTTGATTTCACTGCTATTCTTTTTGCTTCCTTATCAGCATCACACATTTGAGAGTGCATGGGCATCAGCTCTGTGTAGTCTCTCCATATTGTTCCTATACGCCATTGACGTTATTGATATCAACCATCCCATTGTTATCTACTGCAAAAGGGGATTTCTCAACTTTTCTACTTTATGAATTATCGATCTTTCTACAACACGGCATTAGCTTACCCTGTACTATATTCACCTATCACTCAATTCAGCAATCCAATGTCACGTTCAAACCAACAACAAACACCAGGCGGCAATCGGCCTCCAAATGATAGTGCAAAACCTCGCAAATATACTCGATATTCCGATGGCACTCGACGTGCATCAACATCATCCAATATTAGTATCCGATCAGCCGTAGCTTCTGGTGGAGCATCGCATGCCGACACACCACCACCAGCATCTCAAACTTCAGCTCTTGACCCATCACGAGCGGCGACGACATCATCAACAACCAACAATGAACCAGGCAACAGCCGATTGACCAGCTTGCAGGATGCATTGGACACATTGTACGACGAGTGGATGTCTGTGGAGATTGTATTTCAATCGATGCAAAATGCATTTCCAGTGGCCCCGCTAGCAGCATTATCACACGAAGGGCGATTGGATGACATTGATCGCGAACTTAGTATTGCATACGATGATTTGATGGTACAAGTGCGTCGTATTCATCGCAACTTGAACCGGCTCTCTCATGATATGGCTCATTTCAGGGCAACAAAACTACAACACAATCAGCGTGCAGCAGCATCTTCATCATCGTCATCGTCTGAGCAACAACAGCAACAGCCCCAGGATCGAGCACATGATGACAACATCGGTCGCACAACAGCTTCACAATGACATTGCTCGCGTGGTGTGGTCAATTTCCTCATTTCTTTTACATACATACGCACACACACGCATGCATGATACATTTTCATGGAAGATGACCGAGATTTGCCACACACACACATTTAAGCATATATACATACGCACACACACCCTTACTTTCTTCCATCCCATATGCTCCTTTGTACGCAAAAAGTATACAACATCGCCATCCACAACAACTACAATGCACCATTGACGAGAACCTTTTTTAATGACTTATCGTAAGCACAAATTTTCTTTCTATCTTTCTTTTTTCTTTACACTGCATATAGTCTTCAATCTTTTCTGTATTGGTTCATGCATAGCGTGTTCCTTTTCTTATATTGTCTTTTTTACCCCGTCACTGAACCCAGTGTCTGGCTACATATGCTCTCTCATATGTGAATTCACTATTTCCATTTTGGGTCGCTGCCCCGAATGACGACGACTTTTTTGACCCACCCTATGTTAATCGAGATTTAATGACAGTCATCCAAGCGCATGCTGCAGGAATAAACAAAGAGTGGCCACCTCTATTTTCTATTACTGCATTGTGTGGGTATCTGTGCACCATGGTGATGGCACTTTTTGGATATGCAAGAAACGCACTTTGATGGGTAAAGATGGTTTTGGGGGATGTTTGTTGCAGCATGCATGCAAGCTTGTACACGTATGTAGATCGAAAGAAAGAAACGGAGTCAAAGCTTTTCATACGATGATGATGCTCTTTCGATCACAGCAACAAACATGTCGTGCGTGTGTGTGTATGTGTGGGCCTAGCCCTTGGGCCCATTAAGGAAGATCTTGGAATAATGACAAGTGCGTAAACCCTGTTGCATTCTCCGCTATGTTCCCAGCGGCCCCTTTAGCTCTCCTACAAAACATCTTCCGTATGAGTAAAAGAAAGCGAGAGAAAAGGTACATGAGTGTTTCTGTCGCACAAGAGAACAAATAGCTTTTTTGATGTATCTTGAATGCGCATAATAGTCATGGAATTGGATTGATCAACCTTGCAATTTTATTCACGAGCAGCGCTTTCCAATCAACAACTTGGCTTTCTCTCCTACCCAGGTGTGTTGTTAACAATGTTATCCTGAGTACGAGTATGTTGTTCTTTTCCATTCGTGAAATTTCTATTTTCCCCTTTTCGAATACAAGTGCTTTCTCTCTCCCACTTTTCTTTAGGCCCCTTTGCCCCCTAGGTTTGCCGCTTATGTTCTGGTCGTTGTGAAAATAGCAGTGCACGACCAAATTTTTCACTCCTGAAACGCCGACTTGCTTGCATGCACCCGATCAAGGTTTAAAAGGAAGTCAGGGGTTACTCAAATGATGGGCAATAGGTCCAACTGCCGGTCAGACCTTTTATCTCATCTCCCCTATTATCTCTCATCATCAAATTGCCATCCTGGATCTTGTACTACTACCAACGCCAAAATGCATATCACGATAGGGTGTCGTATACAAGGAAGATCATTTCCTGGACATGTAAGTAGCCGATTGGACACGTTGTATTTGACCATGACGCGATTTATTCAAGAATACAATACAGCAAGACAATACATTTTCTAATACAAGCAAGGGATTTGATGTGTAGAAAGAGGTGTCTTTTAAGGTTGAGCTGAAATCAATGCATTTTGACACCCTTATTCCGCCGCTTCATATTGTCTCTTGACCTTGTTCTTGTCTTTTTCCAATGAGCTCACCTCACGCAAGTCCATCGTCGCCGCCAAAGGATAATGGGTACGACCAACAACAGCATCGATGTCTTTCTCAACTCACATGCGCTTCTTTTGATCAAGTGACAATGCGCAAGCAGCAATGTCAGCAGCTGTACAAGGAGCTCAATCAGCGTACACAGCAGCCTATTCTGTGAGTGATAAGGACAACAGCTACTAGCGAACGTTCTACTTACAAGCTTGTTTCCAGACGCTCGTTCATGTATCGCAACACTTACAACAAGGACTACAAGAAACACAGGCAGTTATTGGCAAGGTATTGCAATCGAGTATGCGAATAGGTAAATACAACGAATACGTAAAGATAGCTTTCATGTTGTGCTCACCATGACTCTATGTAGCGAGTGAGATCAACTCTACGCCTTCAGGTGTGCGTCTTACTGCCAAGATTTCCAATATTGGGCCTGTGCCTTTACCCAATGCAAGATGCCACTTGTCATTTGAACCTCCACCAAAGCATCAGCGACAAATTGCAGAGGATGAAATAGCGTGGACATTTGTATCAGGCTATGTGATGAACGAAGGAGGAAACGGAGAAGGAGAAGGATCCACTATACCATCGCTCTTTGACACCCCATTGACGTTGCAGCCAAGTACTCAGTATATCCAAGTGGTCGACATTAAAAGCAAAGCGCCGATGCAGTATAACGGCATTCTCGAGATCAACTTTTCGGCGATGGATGAACAACCAATACAAGAGAAGCATCAATTTGGGATCTATCTGCTCGATCAAGTAAGTGCTTTATACAACTTGGATTAGAGGGGCCAAAGGGCTGACTGATGTGGGCACGACATGTTAGATGCAGAAATTACGGGTTGCAGAAACACAAATGGATGTCATGACTCATCGGCACTACTGGCACTCGTTTTTACAACACATTCTCGGGATTGAACTTGATTTGGGGAAGGACGTGGTGTATGTTTCGCTACAACCCTATCAACAAGGCTACGAGAAGGTTGGTCTCAAATGATATGCGAGGGGTGACAACAATGGGATTACTGAATGGTGTGTTGGTATGGTATGTAGCATCGTATCATATGCAAGATTCAACCCAATGACAAAGAAGAGGAGCTAGCCAAGGTGATGTTTGGTGCAGACACAGCGGATGCTATTGAATTACTACAGCCCCTGGTACAAGAGCTGGATATGCTTCATGATGGTGGTGGTGATTAGCAGCTGCAAGGAAAAAAGTTCCGATGTGGGTTCCATACACGTGTACGACGGGCTATCGAGGTATATTGAATCGATTGTATTATATAGTCTGGATATATACAATATACAACACACATTCCATCCATTTCATGTTTATAAAAAAGTTGAATCTTGCACGATCGATAGCTTTGCACCTTTCCTTTTCTTCTCTCCCCTTTCTTTACCGTATACCTTGAAGAGATGATGCTATTACCTACGGCAGCGATCATGTGCGGTGTCGTTGCAACAGGGTTCGTCAGCGCCTTTGAGATGCGTGTGGAATCCATGGTTCAAGCAGACGAATCAGAAAACACCAAACAGCATTGCTTAGTATTTGAAGACCACTTTAATCGACTTGATCTCAGCAAATGGCAACATGAAATTACCATGAGTGGAGGTATTTGAAGTCTCTTTGTCGGATCAAAGAACGGCATGTACTCATTGTGCTCTTTATTGTACATAGGTGGCAATTGGGAATTCGAATGGTACGTAGAGCTTTATATGGATCATGCAAGAGCTTCAAATTGAGATGTTATGTGCTATTACAGGTACACAAATAATCGATCCAACAGCTTTGTGGAGGATGGTATCTTGTACATCAAGCCCACGTTGACCGCTGATGCAATCGGACATAATGAATTGATGCAAGGAGGATATTTAAATTTATGGTAAAAGATTAGCGAGCCGACTAGGTCATAACAAAGAGCCAACCTTTATCATTGTACTATAGGTCAGGGGAACCATCAATGAGCTGCACAGATAATTCAAACTATGGTACGTTGCATCGACATACATACATCCGCATGGCGTTCTTTGACTTTTTTTTGTTGGTTATACAGGTTGTGAGCGACTAGCTGGTGCAGGTGGCAATTACTTGAACCCCATTCAATCAGCACGATTGAGGACAATCAATTCTGCAGCTATCCGATATGGTAAGGTGGAGGTCCGTGCACGACTACCCGAAGGTGACTGGCTGTGGCCTGCTATCTGGATGATGCCCAAATATTCAAACTACGGTCTTTGGCCTGCAAGTGGTAAGTAAGGCATAGCTCGGAATGCTTTATTTAGGTTCTAACATTCATTTTTGGGTATAAGGTGAGATTGACATTGTAAGTATTGGATGATCCATCATTGTATACATGCTCTTTCTTATGATGGTACACACATTTTGGTAGATGGAATCACGTGGCAATAGGAATTATCCTCTTGGCGGTATCAGTAACGTGGCATCGACTCTTCACTGGGGCGTACATTATACAATGAATCGATACAACATGACACGTGCTGAAGCTATTCTCGAGGATGGGACTACATTTGCTGATGATTTCCACACATACGGTAAGGTGGATTATACATGGATGAGAAGTTCAAATCTCCTTGGATCTTTACTCACACGTTGTATCAGGATTGGAATGGAATGAGGATGGCCTTCGAACTTACATTGATGGAAAGACTGTTCTATTGGTCGACTTTGATCAAAGCTTTTGGGATCGTGGTGAATTCCCGGGTTGGTCAATGAATCCTTGGAAATCGGGTGATATCGGTGCACCATTTGATCAAGAGTTCTATTTGGTATGTAGAAAGGAGGACATCATTGAAGCAAGTAGCTCATTATGGGAACGCTGGCATGTAGGTCTTGAATCTTGCTGTAGGAGGTGTTAATGGGTATTGGCCTGATGGACATGGCAAACCCTGGCAAAACGATGATCCTCATGCCGTCAATGCTTTTTGGGATAGCCGAGACCAATGGCTTCCGACATGGGGCGAGGGCAACAAACGAGCGTTAGCAGTAGATTGGGTTAAGATGTGGAGTGCAGACACTGAATGTTAGGAAAAAGAGAAAACAACGATTTTGTACAAAGCATTGTATTACAGTATTGCTTCAAAAGGGTGATGGTTATTCATGTGCCAATGTCCAATATGCAGGATGGAGTATTAGGCGGGGTGCTAGAATAATTTGTATGCTGAATCAAATAAAACATGGATGCTTTCGCCATAATGAATACGTCTCATCGCCTCAGCAAGTAGCGGTGCAATACTGAAAGTTGTTATCTTGTCGCATGATATGGTACATTGATTTTGGTAAATTGAATCGCTGACAACGACACGATCCAGGTAGCTGTGTTGGATTCGATCCAAAGCATCACCGCTAAACACAGCATGTGTCACCAATGCATAAATTTGAGTGGCACCATTTTCATGCAACATTTTGGCTGCTTTAGTGATGGTGTATGCTGTGTCGATTATATCATCTATGATGACGCACACCCTGTCTTTGACATTGCCAACGAGGAAAAACTCGTACGTTTGTCGCTTGGCCATTTTAGACGACCGTGTTGTCCCATGAATCAATGCAAAGTCCATTTGAAGGTGTTCAGCGATCGCTGTTGCCCTATCAAATCCATGAATGAGGCCCACATGGTCATTGTTTCGATTTTCATTGTATGTAGTACCTTTTGGCTCCACCAGCATCAGGCGAGACAATGACGGCTTCCTCGTGATTGGGGATACGTTGCTGAATGTACTTTGTAATGATCAATTTGGATGTCAAGTTCTCAACGGGGCAATCAAAAAAGCCTTGAAATTGCGGATCATGCAGGTCCAGCGTGATGATATGGTCCACCCCTAATATGTATAATAATGGGATGTGAATGATCAGCTTGATGTCCTCTACATACATACATAGCAATCTTTTCAAAAGCACGACCACTTGCCTGCACACATCAAGAGGTTCGCCACCAAAGTACCTCCTCTTGCAAAACGATAACGGTAATTTGGAGGATATGAAGAATTGGATATTGTGGATGGTGAAGCAGGGGTGGTAGTAGTAGTGGATGGAGAAGATGGTGCCCCTGTTGCTGTAGTATATGGTATGTTTGGTTGTCGAGAATACGGGAAGAATGGTAAAACGGCTACAATTTTCTTTGCCGATGCCGCCTTGCAAGCATGTATCATTGTAAGTAATTCCATGAGATAGTCATTGACTTGATGTTGTTGGCTTGAACCCGATTGCACAATAAAAACACCTTTGTCTCTGACGTCTTCTTCGTGTAACTCGAAACGAGTTTCATTGTTGCTGAATTTGGACAAACATCTTTGGGCAGGATAACAGGAGAGCTGCTGACATATATCATCAGTGAGACTTGGATGCGACGATCCAGAAAAAACAACCATGCCTCGTCGCATGATGATGATGAATAGGGGGTGAGTGAGTTTTAGAAGGAAGAAAACTGATAAATAGGTGCCATGGATATCTCATCAGTTTTTGTGTGTTTTGGTTGCTGCGATTGTGTTCATCAGCATAGATCTGGTGATACTGCTTTAGATCTGCTGCTGTTGGAATGATAAATTGCTCGTATCAGCAGCTGATTGAATCGGCTATTTTCAAGGCACAAGACTGGGGTCTATATAAAAGAAAAGAGCCTTTAGTAATTATCCACCATTAAATCGTTCTGCTGTGCGCTTCAAAAACGATGCTGAAAGTGAATGACTAGACACATGATTATCGAGCTACCTTGCACAACATCATCCTGGCACATGTTCACACCCACCCGCCCACCAAACCACCCCTAATAGCATCAAGGTGATGAGATGTCTTATTACAATGTAGCTTGTATTATAGCAAGTGTACACGAAGCTATGATAGAATAACAGGGGGAGGGGAATTTTTACTATGTACGTACGCTATTACCGTTCACGCGATATGCGATCATACGAGGAGGAGCTTCACTCCGAGAGCTACCAATTTTGGTGTGCAGCAGCTTCTTTTATCTCTCTTTCCTTGCCCAACTACTTGCACCAAAAGAAAACAAATGCCAAAACGCTCAGGTTCGCGGATCCCTTCCGTGGCGTCGTCTCGTGCGGAGACCTCTGATCATACCAACCTTGGAAGTCGACAACGTCAATCGAAGCGTGACGAGGTACACATTAGCGACTTGCAATGGGTGGATCGTTGTATATTAAGTATCTCTTCTTTCTTGTTATTTGGTTGGTGGTGTAGGCTATTCGTAAGAAGCTTGAGCAAGAGCTTTCCAGGAAGCAAACGAGTACATCACGTGTACGACAAACGAGAAAAATTGCCGGCACAGTATCTGCTTTACGGCCAACCCAGGCACTCACCGTCAAGGAAAACTTGCTCGTCATTGAAGCTTCTCAACTCATGGCTGCTAAACGAAGCAATTGTGTTCTTGTGGTCGACAATGATGATCATCTAAGTGGTATCTTTACTGTAAGTGACCATCTCAAGAGTCAATATCCACAGGTTGATTCATGTTGTTTGTATGTTGCATAGGCCAAAGATCTCGCATATCGAGTTGTAGCCGAATCGCTTGATGCCAGGTAAGTGATAGAGAAAAAAGGGGTAGGGGGTAAAATAGCTTGACGCCACTAACATGTGTTATCCATGCAAGGGCGACCACTGTTGCTGAAATCATGACACAAGGCCCAATGTGTGTCACCGCCGATACTTCCGCTACGGATGCACTCAATCTCATGGTTTCGCGTGGTTTCCGTCACTTGGTATGTGCCATCTAATCTTCCTCAATGATGATGCTAATTATGATCATAGCCTGTATGCAATGACGAAGGCGATATCTTTGGCTTGTTGGACATCACAAAGTGTTTGTATGAGGCTTTGGACAAGATGGAGCGTGCATATGGATCCTCTCGCAAGTTATACGATGCCTTGGAAGGTGTTGAACGTGAATGGAACACAAATAGCCCAGCTCAACTCGTTCAGTACATGGAGAGTCTTCGAGATCGTATGTCATGTCCAGATTTGAGCTCTGTTATGGATGGCACTGCACCTGCTGAAGTCAATGTCAAGACCAACGTCCGTGATGTGGCTCGTATCATGAAGGAACATCGTACAACAGCTGTTCTTGTCGCTGATCGAGAAGGATTGGCAGGTATCTTTACAACGTGAGTGATTTTATATACGTTGGGTATACCATTCGCCTATGATTAACTTTCATTCAGTAAGGATGTTGTTCTTCGTGTTATTGCCGCTGGCTTGAATCCTGAAAATTGCTCTGTGGTGCGAGTCATGACACCTCATCCTGAAACAGCCCCACCTTCAACAACTATCATGGATGCCTTGCGTCGCATGAATGGTGAGTGAACATAGACAAGGGGAAGGCGAGTGTTATTAACGAACCCATCCATGCTACTAGATGGTCACTTTTTGAATCTTCCTGTTATGGATGCTGGTGTCATTGTTGGTATGGTGGACGTCCTTAAGCTTACATATGCAACTCTCGAACAAGTAAGAAAGTCTCCTTGTTGTTACAAGTAATGCTCATCGCTAACCAAATGCATCATTATAGATTCACAGCATGCAAGGATCAGATGGTGAAGGTTTGATTCCAAGTGATATGATAGAACACAGGGGCTGACTACTTTTTTTTCTCCATAGGTCCAATGTGGTCACGTTTTTGGGATAGCTTTGGAGCAAACGAAGCTGAGAGTGAGTCGCAATCTTCTGATCCATCAGCCAATCATTCGGGCAACCATTCAAGATCACCTGTACACGGCATTTCACCTGAACCATCCGGCTCCTTTTCACAACTACAAGGCTTCCCTGAGATTACACCCAACGAATCGGCTAGCATGGTCAATCATGAAGATACTTTGTCAGCAACCTCTTCTCATCAAAGTCCACCCTCACGCATCACTCAAAAGGAACCAGTGGATGATGATACTTTTGCCTTCAAGTTTACATCGACAGGTGGAAAGACGCATCGATTCACATCACCTATCAACAGTTATTCTCAGCTTATTGAGACGGTACGCCAAAAAGTGATCAATGAGCATGTTGCAACCGAGGCAGATGATTCAACAGAATGGTTGTCGATTTCATATTTGGATGATGAGAATGATAAGGTGTTGATCAGCTCGGATATGGATGTCAAAGACGCTGTGCAACTTGCACGCAAATTGGGCAATGATCGTGTGAAGCTCTTTGTACATGATTTGACTCAACCTGAAGAACGAAGTACGCCACAAGTGGAAACAATGGATATGCCTACTACTAGTACTCAATTCGACAATAGCGGAGCATCCACACCTACAACAGTACCAGCACCTTCTTCTTCATCCAAGCATGAGAGTGATCGCAGCATCCGTAGTAAGCGTAGCAACAAGCGTCATTCCAGACGAATGGCATCCGACACTGAAAGTGACGATGAACATTATCATGAACCATCCTCGGCCTTCCCTCAAGAAATCATGTTACCAGCTGCTATTGCTTTCCTTGGCGTCGTCATTCTCGGCGTCTTTGCATACTCCCGTGTTAGTCCCAAGCATCGTTAGAGAATTAAAATTCATCATCATTTAATCGTTTTTATTGTTCTTCAACATCGTTATTATTATTATTACTACTATGTTCCTCTGTATTGGATGATGGTGGCACTTGTTCTGCATCATCAGTCTTCTTTGTCTTTTTCCTTCTCCGTCTCTTTTTCTTCTTTTCCTCAGCATCATCAGCACCCACATCCTCTTGTTTTTCAGGCGTTGGTTCATCCACAGATGGCTGCTGCTTCTCCTCCTCCTCTTCCTTTTTAGCCTTCTTTTTCTTTTCTTTCTCTCCCAATTCACGTTTCCTTTTCTTGGGTGGCGGGGGTGGTATCTTTGTGGATTTCTTGCAGGCTAATGGATTGACTCCTTTGGTCTTCTTTTTCTTTTTGGGTTCCTCTTCCTTTGTTGATGCGATCATCTTTGCAGACTTGAGCTTTTCATTTTCCTTGGCAGACGGTAACATCTTCTCCTCTTCGAGCTATTTTTGGATTGAATGAATGAATGAGTATGGACACATACATAATAAACATTGATCAATCAACCTACCTTTTTGATTGCCTCCTTTGACTTTTTGGACATCATCTCCATGATAATCATATGTGATTTGACATAAAACATCGGGATACCAGGTATCTCTCGTAGCTTGTTTCGAAGCTCAATGTTTTGCGATCCCACACAATAGTTGTACTTGTTCTCAGGGCCGATGACTTGAGCAACACAATCAGCACTTGCAATAGGTTGATGGGTGTGTGGGCATCGACGACGTTCAAACTTCCTTGCCAGGCCGTTTGCACCTGCTGCTGCTGGTCCTTGTTGCTTTCTAAGTTCTTGGATGCTGCATTCGGTAATAACTAGTTCATGTCAATGCATAATCCTCCTATAGACCAATAACCTTTTCCCACCCCACTTACAAGTCTTTGTAGGTTCCTGGAATGTGTTTTCAAGTTCGGTCGCCATATCGATTTTTTGCTTGCTCGCTTCGAGACAGAAATCAGCATCGACTATAGATCAGTAGTGTCAGTAAGTAGCTGGTGCGTTTTCCCGATCGCGGCCGATCGAGTCTTGTTGTGAAGAAAATAAGCAATTTACCGAGCAATTGATAGGGTGGGCGAAATCCAAACCCTAATGAATAGGAATGCATGGTGCGCCGGTAAGCGCGTTGTGTCTTGGGTCGCATTGGTGTGGTTGTGGAAAAAGGTTTGGAGGAAACAAGTAGAAGCCAGCAAATTTTCTGCTATGAGCTGAGATGGCCGTTGCCTTGACAACCATCGACGTGACAACATCCCCCCGCTACACATCATATACGTCCTACCGAGTGAGCTACTTGAAAACCAACCCCATTACTTTTCGCCATGAATAAACAGCTGATTATCATATAGATTGTGTATGAAAATTAATGGTGGTTTTGGCAAATACAAAGCATGTCATTCCCATACGAATTGGTGATCCCAACATGTTTCCGAGTCTAACTAGCAGGGGATTGCTTTTGTTGTACATGTGAGCTTATAGTATCTACTTTTAATCATGCCATGACAACCTATACATGTAAAATTGGTCCGGTAGTATATCCCTTAACGATGACATACATACCTTGCATACGCAAACGATGATAAAACATAAAACATGATGCTGTGTAGTGCATTGGATATCACTATCATCATCATCATCAGCAGCAGCAGCAAGTGCTTATGTACACAACAAATGCTTTTATCATTATAGTCGGTTTGGAAAGTCAACATGGCATCAACATGTTCAAGGTGATATAAGAGTATTGTGCTGCTATCATTGCTAGGCCAAAAAGAACCAGTGCTTCACGCGTAGTATGCAATGCTTTTCCGGCTGCATGATGTAAATATGTTTATTTCGCATGACGAGCATTGTCCGTCTCTCATTGGTGAGAGCACAATAGCCCTTAGTCATGTGTTTGCGGGGATCTGCATACCATTTTCACATGTTGTTCTCAAAAGTTACCATCTGATGCATCGCTTTGTGTACCCTTTTACTTCTTTCAATTCCTCTTCTCCCTACTCTTCTAAAACATGCCTGAACTAAAGGTCTTCACTCGCGACGAAGTGGCCAAGCACACATCTGAAAATGATGCATGGATTATCATTGATTGTGAGGTTTATGATATCAGCAAATTTGCTGCCATGCATCCAGGTGGAGAAGCTCTTTTGCTCGAATACGCTGGCAAGGATGTAACTGGTAAGTTGGTGCTTCTTTATTGCGTCCTTCTTTGCTCTAATTCTATTTGCAATGTAGACGATTTCTATGGATTGCATCGCCAAGAGGTGTTGATCAAGTATGCTCCTCGCTTGAAGATCGGCACCATTGCAAACGAGACGCCCCAGATTGCTCTTCCTGCTCCTGATGCCATTTCCAAGGTTCCCTATGCCGAGCCAAGCTATTGGATGGGATTCAAGAGCCCCTATTTCAAGTAAGGCAAACGCGTATTTCATATGCACAGCATGACAGCATTTGACACCATTGTTGAATAGTGAAAGCCATACCCGTTTCCGCAAGGCCATGCGTACCATCTATGCCGATGTCAAGGTAACATGATGCATTAGGGTGGTTTGTAGATAGCTTTTTTATTGACATACATGATGATGATGACGATGATGATAGCCCGATGCTATTCTTGCTGAGGAGATGAACCAAGCACCTACCCAGGAATTATACAAGATGCTTGGTGAGGAAGGTGTATTGGCATCCCAAATTGGTCCTGGCCCATGGCTCAAGGGATTGAAACTTCCTGGTGGTATCAAGCCTGAAGAATTTGATTATTTCCACGAGGTAAGTAAAAAGGTCTATCGATCCATGCGCGGTGTCACTCACATCCATTCTTTTCCACAATGTAGATGATTGCTCATGAAGAAACTGCTCGCTTGGGCACACCTGGTTTTGCCGATGGTATTTCGTCTGGCTATAGTATTGGTCTGCCTCCAGTCTTCAACTTTGGCCCCAAGCATCTTAAGAAACGTGTGGTACCTGAAGTCTTGCTCGGTCGCAAACGTATTTGTCTTGCAATCACTGAGCCTTATGCAGGATCAGATGTTGCCCGTCTTCGCACTACAGCCAAACGTACTCCTGATGGCAAGCACTTTATCGTCAATGGCGTCAAGAAATGGATCACCAATGGTACCTTTGCCGATTATTTCAGCGTAGCTGTGCGTACCGAAAAGGGCATCACCATGTTGTTCATTGAGCGTGGAGAAGGTCTCGAAACTAAGGGCATCAAGACTTCCTATTCATCGGCTGCTGGTACCTCGTACATCACTTTTGAAAACGTCAAGGTTCCTGTCGAGAACATCTTGGGTGAAGAAGGCAAAGGCTTCCAAGTCATCATGTACAAGTATGTATCCCTATGTGTCTTGTGTATTACCTTACAATGCTCTAATGAGCTTTTTCTTTTTCAAGCTTCAATCACGAGAGATGGTACATTTGCTGTGCTATCATTGCTGGTACACGTTCCATCGTTGAAGGTAAGTTGACAGTATCACATGCATTGCTTTCAACTTGGCATTCATCATGTTTTCTTTAATAGAATGGTAAGATCGATACTTATGGAAGGATGTATACATACAACAATCATACTAACATTATCAATGTCGATATGGGGACACAGCTTCAAGTGGGCTCATCAACGTAAAGGTAAGTGCAAGTCATGGTAGATTTTTCATCACATGGCTTATTCACCTTGTATTTTTAGTCTTTGGTAAGCGTTTGATCGATCAACCAGTTATCCGCAACAAGCTTGGATCCATGGTATGTTGTAAAAGGGAAGGGATCATCTCGCTGGATACACACAGCTGACCAAATTGACAACATTTTTAGATTGCGCAATTGGAATCGGTTCAAAACTGGCTTGAGAATATCACCTATCAAATGTGCAACATGTCCTATTTGGAACAATCCAAGAAGCTTGCTGGCCCTATTTCTTTGCTCAAATTCCAAGCGACCCGCGTTGCCCATAATGTTTCGGATGATGCTTGCCAAATCTTTGGTGGTCGTGGTATCACGCGCACTGGTATGGGTCGTAGCATTGAGAGCTTCCAAAGAACATACAAATTTGCAGTAAGTGACAATGTCTTGGTATCGGTACCATATTACACATCACTGATAATGGTGTTGCATAGGCAATTTTGGGTGGCTCTGAGGAAATCATGGCTGATTTGGGTGTCAGACAAGCAATGAAATACTTCCCCAAGAATGCTCGTTTGTAGTTATACTATCGCGTATCATATTTTTATTAAGATAAAGACGAATGTGTTGTATGCTCGTGGTCGTGCATGAAGTTGGTGTAACAATGACAATCATCCAAGTGATCTTGGGCTAAGAAGATGAGTGAAGAAGTAGCGTCATCTTATTTTATACATCTCTTTCCTTCTATTTGCCATGTTCTCGTGATCCGATCATCCTCGCTGCTTATACCGAACACGCATACCAATATCAAGAGTAGGTTGACAAGTGATAGATTTCTTATCACCTCCCTTAATTCAGCCGATGTATGTAGACATAGACAGCATTGCATTAAGCTCCTCAGACTTAATCCTGATGTATGTCCCCATCACTAATCAACTCATCTATCAATTTATCAAGCATCATCCCCAACAAACAATACCCACGCCCACCATGCACAATAAAAGAATGTTGTCGCCGCCCATCATACTCGCACAGGTCTCTTTCCTCTGTCATACTTTTTTGATTGTTTACAAGGTCAAATGTCCAAGGTTTGTGTGTAAATCACATCTTTCAACCAGTGAATAAGCGCTGATCCTTGTGGTCATTCATAGGGTCTAAATTTCTTTATTCTCTGCTTTCATTGTTATCGTCGTCCTCATCGTGATATTGGATTCTTATAAAAAGGTAAAGCCTGATCATGTTGTTTGATGATTCCTTACTCTTACACCCCACCTTGTTGCTTTCGATATAGCTATCTCTCTGTGAAGCATCTGCAAAAGTTGGTTTCGATACCATGGTCCAGGTCGGGTGATGACATTGACATGGTGCATTTGGCAAGATGCCAATACCGAAGGCAAAAAATGCAGGCTATACAGGTGTCGTGACAAAAGGCACCCCATCGCCATCATCGTTGTCACCCATTAATTCGAGGTGTGCCAATGTCTGGGCAGCAATTTTACCAACACCGGAAGGCAAAAAGCTCATAATCGGAACGAAGACATGGAATGCATTGATCACCTCATCATTGCGCATTGATTCGGTTCATCCAGCAAATGTCAGAGGCCTAATCCACCAACTTTCGACTTGGATACGCACAATCCAGCAAATGTCAACGTCGTGTTTTTTGCCTTTTTTGTCTTTGAATTGTCTTCTTCACGTTCTCGGCCCGCGGATACAAAGCTAACATAGTTGTCCTTTACTGGTTTACGTTGGCAACTTGTGACAGCGGTGAACAAGATTCAGCACCAAAGATGGCTTCGCAAGCAACGAGTGTTAAACACAACCCAGCTCTGCAAGGCGATGTCATGAAATCATTATTGCAGGGATGCCCCAATGGGAAAGTCAAGTTTATCATGATGAATTTTTTGGCGGTGAATTTCTACGACAAACCGCTTGCTTCGAAGATGCAAGAACTCGCCACATGCATTTCACCTGATATCGCTACAATAGCTTATGGACGGGAGTAAAAAGGCTGTGTAATCTCATTTAACTACAAGCTCCAACAAAGAGAGTCCATATAATTTGACATGTTCTACTTCTTTGTCTTTATACATAGACTCATACAGTAGACTACTTTCCTTTTCATTCCTCTCTCAAAACATTCACCAACCTCCATAGCTGTCTCTATCAAATGTCAATACCATAAGTTAATCAATGCTATAATAGAAAGGTTGTATTTCTAAGTCAATCAAAAGGTCACACACGCCTTGTTGTAGTGGAATCAGAGAGATGTGATCAATGACTTGGGGGTATTGCAGCTTAAACAACATTCGACTTTCCACCGTTATCTTTATGAGCTTTCATGACTTGCGTATGAATGAGAACCAGTAACGTCTTCCATTCCTGCAGCTGCTACCCATTGCATTAATTTCACGTATAAACGCCAAGTGTCTAAACGGCCACTAACGCAAGGTAAGCATCATCTTCGGGAAAGGTGACATTCGTGTAACGCAAAGTTGGAATAAACCAAGCGCAAGATCCAGCCAGCTATTAAATGCTTGTAGTACAGAAGGCACTTTGAGGGATGAAGGCATGATAGAATAGTATCATCATTCTTTAAATACAATTACGATTCATATCGTTTATTACAAGATAGACATTTATGATAAGAGCGTAGGCTATTCTTTACAGTGTGCTGATTGTGGATATAAAGTTGTACAGTATAGTGCACGCTTTCATTCGGTTGTTCAAAGTGCGTGGTTGGGAAGCACCGAAAATGGCAGATGGACACATTATTGTAGGTCTTGCTCTTCTCCTCTTCACTCTAGTATTGCCTCTATACCGTACCCTTTTTATACGGCACGCCAAACGAGTCAACAGCCGGCATGATCAGCGCATTCTTCATCTACAATCAGAAGGGCGAGGTCCTCATCTCACGTCTCTATCGCCATGACCTCAAGTAAGTGTGTCACAACAACAAGAGGTGTACCTTTTGTCCAATGGCTCATTGGCTTGATGCTACTATAGACGATCCGTTGCAGATATATTTCGTATTCAAGTGATATCCAACACAGACGTGCGTTCACCTATTATCACTCTCGGTTCAACTTCGTTCTTTCACGTGCGCCATGAGAATCTCTATATTGTTGCAGTAACTCGTTGGAACGCCAATGCCGCCCTCATCTTTGAGTTTTGCTATCGAGTCGTCAATATCGGTCTAAGCTACTTTGGCAAATTCGACGAGGAGGCTGTCAAGAACAACTTTGTGCTTATTTACGAGTTATTGGATGGTAAGTTACGAGCATGGTAATACGCTTCATCTTTGTGTGGCTATGGGATCTCACTCGTTTCCTGCAGAGATTCTCGATTTTGGTTATCCGCAAAACAGTGAAACAGATACGTTGAAGATGTATATCACCACAGAAGGTGTCAAGTCGGAGCGTGCAATTGAGGATTCGAGCAGGATTACTATCCAGGCAACGGGTGCTATCTCATGGAGACGTAGCGATGTCAAGTATAGAAAGAACGAGGCCTTCATTGATGTTATCGAAAATGTCAATCTACTTATGAGCAATACTGGTATGTGACGAGGGAGGAGGGGGATGGATGAGATTCTCAGGCACACTACTGTGACAAGGAGCTGTACAAAGGAGAATGGTGCTGCTTACTGTGTATCATTTTGTTTCCAGGTACAATCTTGCGAGCGGATGTAGCTGGTCAAATCTTGATGCGAGCCTATCTTTCTGGAACACCCGAATGCAAATTTGGTTTGAACGACAAGCTGCTTTTGGATAATGATGTCGTGAATCGGACAAAGTAAGTACCTTCATTGTGACAAGGGAAAATGGTGAGCTCATTGTCGTTTTCTTGATACTAGAGCTCCACGCACCAATACGGTTGCCATCGATGATTGCCAATTTCACCAATGCGTCAAGCTTGGAAAGTTTGATACCGATAGAACCATCAGCTTTATTCCTCCTGATGGCGAATTTGAGCTTATGAGGTGAGGAAATTGATGGGGGAGGGAACAATGACAAAGAAATGCATGATGATTGATTGTTCAATGATTAGATATCGTTCTACCGAAAATGTCAACTTGCCATTCAAGGTTCATCCCGTGGTGAATGAAATTGGAAAGACGCGAGTGGAATACATGATCAATGTCAAAGCGAATTTCTCTCCCAAGTTGTATGCCAACAATGTCATTTTGCGTATTCCTACCCCATTAAACTCGGCCAAGGTGGAGGTGAAGGTTGGATCAGGTGGCAAGGCAAAGTATGCACCTTCCGAGAATTGCATTATTTGGAAGATCCCTCGTTTCCAGGGCCAAGCAGAATTCACCTTGAGCGGCGAAGCTGAATTGACCGCCATGACGCATAAACGTGTATGGTCGCGACCACCCATCTCCATGGATTTCCAAGTGCTCATGTTCACATCCTCCGGATTGTTGGTACGGTTCCTCAAAGTATTTGAAAAGAGCGGCTATCAATCTGTCAAATGGGTTCGATATATGACAAAGGCAGGATCCTATCAGATCAGGGTAAGTGTCATTCTATACACCAGACATGCTTCTTTCATGATGACTCATTTTCATATAGTTTTAAAACACCATGTGTGGCGCTCAATCATCATCACATCTTGTATCCATACCCATAATACTCCTCCTTCTCCAATGCCATCTCGCTCTCGCTCTCTTATCCATCAATCAACATCCTCCTACTACACACCTACACGCAATCGTACAATAGAATTTCGCTTTCTTACTCATCAAATTCTTAATGCATATCACCTTTATGCTTTGCGGTGTCAATCAGCTAATGTATGTATATCATGGGTGGGGTCCAATTGGTTCTGGATAATAAGGTGCAAAGGTGTTTTGGCTATCCTGAGATAGATGTTGTTGAAAGTGGCTTCGTTAAGGGGGGGGGTATCCAAGGTGATGTATAAAGCAGTTGTGGTCGTTGTCATGGAAACTTGGATTGATGATGTATTCAGCAAGTACCGAAATAAACCCCTAACCTGTACACAAGGATCCATTCATCAAGTGAATTCTGAAGTTGTTTATTATGAAAGTACAAGTGTCTAATGGGATTTACAAAGGAGTAGTAGTTATATGGTAACACGGGTAACAATGAACCATCATCGGTAATGAAATAGCCGTATCGCATAAGAAATGTCAGAAGCAAAAGTGTATCCGAAGCGCTCTTTGTTCTCCAAAATGGCTGTATCCTCTTGGACATCCTTTGTTTTGGCTATTCTTATAGCATTTTCAGCCGAGAAGCTCTACAGCCACTTGACGCGTAAGCCTTTCAAACCTACCAAGAAACACTGCTTTATTACAGGCGGCAGTACCGGCCTCGGCAAAGCCCTGGCGATTGCATTGGTGAAGCGTGGAGCTCATGTAACCATCGTTGCTCGGCGTCAATCAGAATTGGACAAGGCTGCTGCTGAAATTAAGGTAAGGGGAACCAGAATGACAGGGGGTGTTCAAGTCAAGGTCGATGTTCAAGCGGTGTATTAGTCTAGCTGTGTGAATGGCGATCAGCGTGTTGTTGCCATTAGCGCCGACGTTACTTCCAAGGACGACGTTGTACGTGCGTTTGACGAAGCCAAGGTGCGAGTAGGATGTGATCCCGAGTATGTCTTTTTATGTGCAGGTAAGATGGTAATCATGATCGACAATGGATGGTATACTCACATGCATGCAACAAACAGGTGCCGCTTGTCCCAAGCTTTTCGTTGACCACACGATGGATGATTTCGAGTATGCCAATAAGCTCAACTATCTCGGTCAAGTGTATGGAGCTCATGTATGTAAATGCCATCATCGACTCGCTGTGCTCTATCTAACATGCATTCATTTATAGCAAGCAACACTACGCATGCGGGATGCTGGTGTCAGGAACGGCAAAATTGTCTTTGTTTCATCCATGGCTGGATTGATCAGCTTTGCAGGCTATTCAACTTATTCACCCACCAAGTTTGCTTTACGTGGTTTGGCTGACAGTCTCCGTAACGAGCTCAAAATGTACGGCATTGATGTGCATATCTTTTTGCCTGGTAACATTGATTCCCCTGGTTTCGTCAATGAAGTAAGTCAATGAAAATTCGCACTTGCAAAGGTACCATCCACTAATCAATCATTCCAAAGAACAAGACCAAACCAGAGGTCACCAAGATCATTGAAGGTCCCTCGGCAGCTATGGCACCCGCTGATTGTGCAAAGGCTCTCATTCAAGGTTTGTTCATCTACACGATGTCACGTGACTCAAAAGTGTATTGACCTCTGCTTTACGATAGGCCTCGAGGCTGGCAACTACATGATCACCACCGAATTTATTGCAGAAGTTTTGCGTTCAGCAACCAGAGGTAATACTCTTGGGGGGAAGATAACACATGCAAATCTAACATCATCGTTACCATAGGTGTTAATCCTTCAAACAATTTCATTTTGGATACGTTGATGGCTATCATAGCACAGGTAAAATACAAATGGTGTAGATCAAACATTTTCTATTTTCACTTACACACACATACACTATAGCCCATAGGATCGATCTATGCTTTGTATATGGATTACGTTGTTAAACAATCGAGATAAAAGAGGAAAGATTGAATCTATAGTAATCCAAGTTCATTGAGGAAGCCTTCACTTGCACGTGACACTTGTTTGAAATTGCGTTCGAATCCTTCAGAGCCACCATAGTAGGGATCACGGATGATGCGTTCACCTTGGGGATCATATTCACCAAAGAGCTATGATACAAAACGAAAATGAGCTATTGGGTGGTGATAAAGGGATGCGATAGTTTACCTTGATTGTGGCTGTGGTGCCAGCAGGAGCCATTTCCTAGTAGCAAGTGTTAGACGCACGACCCATATGACCCATGATCGCCTTATCACTAACCTGAAGATTGGCCAAGTTGGATTCATCCATGCACAAGATGTAGTCAAATCGATTGAAATCGGCCTTGTTCACCTTGCGTGCATTGTGATTCACAGGTACACCATGCTTGCGACAGGTCTGTGCGCTTCGATGATCCGGTGTCTCACCCACCTTTGAACAACAACAACAACATAAATGAGGATGACGTCCATTAGATAAAGGAGTTGATCTTACATGATAGCCTGCTGTGCCTGCAGAATCAATGACGCCAAACCGCTCACTGAGCTTCTTTTGGTTGACCATATGGGCAAATACAGCCTCAGCCATAGGCGATCGGCAAATGTTGCCTATGTTGTAATTCGTTTCTTAGTTACGACGGCATGCGATTCTCAAGTTGAATGAGCCTAACCGAGACAAACAAACAAAACGTTGACCTTGTCGGCAGCCATAATGTCGGGATGAGTCTACGTAGTTGATCAAAGACGAGCTACAACAACGCTTGTTGCGGAGTCAAGTAGAAGAAACATCCATCATGTCACGTGCATCTGATAGGCCATCATTGAAATTCCAGGCACCGTTCTTCCAATAAAATGGATAATCATTACGCATACTTATGCTCAGCCATTGTGAATACATGTCCCAAAATGATGGATAGTTTTGGTATGGGAGAAAGCATAAGTGTGTGTGTGTGTTTATGTTTTAGAGAAAGAGAGAAAGATGATGTACATGATCTCCTTATCGTATATGCACAATTGTTTAAAGTTTGTTCTCTCTTTCTCTCCTCCCCTTTCATTGCCATTCGACACATACATACATACATACACCACCTTAGCTGTTCTACTCCTAATAGCATCAACACACGCACGCCTTTTTTATCCTTGTTGCCCTCTCCTCCAGTGAGCACATACTCGTATACATCTCCCGCGTCCCTTATTCCCCTTTTCTTTTGCTGCAAGTGCTCTGTTTTATAAGCCTGGATGTGTGCGCATTGCAAAAAGGGGTGAAAATAACAGGGAGAGGGGAAAAACAGGTAAAGCGTGCCACCTATAAAACTTGTAGCATTTGACATATGTACCTTAGCATCGAAGTTCTCTTTTTCTCTTTTCATTTCATATTCTCAAAAGCTTAATCTATAAATCAGAACAATGTACTCGCCCGATAACCAGGAAATTATCTCTGAGGTGATCGCCGTTGCATGTGTTACCATCATTTCACTGCTCTTTGGTCGCAAGGCTGCCGGCATTGAACGCCCTGTTTGTTACATCCGGGCTTTGCTTCTCGCCCTTTACGGTGCCACTTGGGTATTCAACATTATCGCATGTATGGCCACCAGCACAAACAACGGCAACTACATCTCGTGCTCTCTTTCTCTTTACAACTCCATTGTGGTATACTGCCTTGCCAAAGTCCTCCTTTATCTCTACTTTATTGAAAAGGTATGTATCTATCATCACTCATGGTATGTAAAATGAGCAACAAAGACTAACACGCGTGATAGATTTATATCACTTCAGTTCCCAAAGCAGCACGTTTCCGCTCATCTCTATATCTCGTTGGCATTGGTCTCGTCGTACCATACATTGGCCTTGTTGCTTTGATGGTCGTTTATCGAGTGGCCCTTGTCAATGAAGAATACCCATTCCATTGCTTGATTGGCATGGAACTCCCCGCATCTGCTGCTGGTCTTGCCTATGATGTTATTGTCAGCTTGGTCTTTTCAGGCATCTTTATCAAATATGGCTACTTCCCCAACACAGCCCAACAGACAGCTCATCAAGCCTCTTCTCTTCGCATCATCGCTCGACGAAGTTTGGTGGCCACTTTGGTGGCATTGGTCACAGCAGCTATCCATTATTGCGTACTTATTTTCATGGGTGGTCAACAACGTGGTTTGATCGCATCAACGATTGCTGCTCTCGTAAGTGACTTTGACCACATCTCCCTTTACCTCTCCCATCCCAAAGAAAAAGGAAACTGATATGCCGATCTTTTTTTTTTCTTGCTACTTTCAAACAGGATCTCACCATCGTTATCGTCGTTGTTCACTGGGGTAAGTATTTACGCGTGTGTCGTTTTATTAGTAGTATGGTACTGACATGTTCCTTTTTAGTCGCTACCCATCCCTCTGAAATGCAATGCACTCTCAAGAGCTTGCAAAAGAATGGCGGTGATAAGCCCATGAAGCTGGAAATCAAGCAGCATCAAGAAGTCGTTGTGCTTTCCGAAATGGCGCCTTAAGCATAGGCATTGTGATACCCATTCAATTAAACTCGTTACGAACCTCTCTTGTGCACCATTGTCTTTTCCACCCATAACCCCCCCTCATCCACCAACTATCCCAAGACTCTATTTTTTAGTTTTCTAATGCCATAGTAAATTACATGATCCAACACAATAGTAAGAGTAAAACAAGATAAAAAAGGAGTGATTTCCCATATATGCATCCCTCGTATTAACACGTTTACTTTTTGACTACTTGGACAACATCCTCGTCATGTACTAGATGATTGATACCGACTCGTTGTGGATTATGCTTGGTAGACGTACCCTATAAAGTGTTGTACAATTCATCATCCTTAGAATTGGACCTGTCACAGGAGTACACGTTCACGGATAAAGAAAGGAGAAATAATACTTACCCAAACAAGGGCGTACCGGAAACTATGTGCCAGTGATCTGTGAATAGCATGGCATACGTGTTCAATGGTTGCACCGTTGCGTACAATAAGGCCGTCATCAAAGTCGGGAAGCTCACCCCTCCTTTTAGTATAGACTCGCATAAGATTCAACTTCTTCCAAATAGAGTCGACAAGGTAATCCATGTTGAGATCTTGCTCACAAGAAACGACCACCGTATTAGGCTCTCTTGCCAACCGATCCAATTCCTCCATTGTGATTTGATCTATCTTGTTGTAGCACTATCACGTGTATGTGTATGTGTAAATCGAATGAGTTGTCAAAACAAGATATGGATTCTTCTTTTGCCATCTCCCTCTTCTTGCTTCTACTCCTCCTCCTTCCTCTTCCTCCTCCCCATCATCCCTCTGTTTTTGTTTTCCTTTTTCTCCTTGCTCATTTGCTATGCAAAATAACCACCCCTTGTTTTCCCTAATAGCCCTCGCGCCAATAACCATATACTTACGTAGATACATTTGATATAGCGTCGATTACCAAGAATCACATCGATAAACTGGTCCACTGTAATGTCCTCACGAATCACAATATCGGCATTGAAGATTTCTGTGTGCGAAAAAAGGAGAGCGTGAGTTATCTCGTATGTCGATCACTTGTCTCTCTCTCTCTTTGCCATCATGCTGAGCATGGGTGTCTCCTTACTGTAGTCATGAAGAATGTTTTGCACCATTTTCTGGTCCAAGTAATGCAATTTGACAGTAGCGTTGAAACTGATGCCTCCTGCTTTTTTGATCTTGAAGGATACGTTGGGGAAAGACTGATTCAACCGGATACCAACAGCTTCCAATTCAGCTTCCAGCAATTCACTACATGCATCATTAGCCTCCAATGATATCCATCCTACTCGCTTGTTTGTAAGCCATACCGTTGACGTGATGATTTAGTGGCGTCAAGCATCATGAGGACAACATCGGCTGTTCTAGCCACTGCAATGACTTGTCGACCACGACCCTTGCCCTGAGAAGCCCCTTCAATGATACCAGGCAAATCGAGCAATTGAATGTTGGCGCCCTTGTAGGTAAACTTGCCAGGGACACATGTGAGAGTGGTAAATTCGTATGCTGCAGCAACTGACTCGGTCGTTGTCAGCTTGTTTAAGAGTGTCGACTTGCCAACCGAAGGAAAACCAATCATGACAACGCGTGCGTCTCCTGATTTCATAACATCGAAACCTTCTCCCTATATCCCCAATGTCAATGCCATAATAACAAAAGAGCACTTTGTTATGTAGTGTACCTTTTCTGATTTGGTCTTGGAGCCTTCAAGGAGCTGTACTCGGTACTTGGCCAGCTTGGCCTTGAGCAAACCAAGATGGTATTCCGTGGCTACAATTGACAGTATGTAAGACGCCATTCAGAGCATGCTGTTCTTCTTGTACCTTTGTTCTTTTGCGTGCGACGGATTTCGTTCTCAATGTCCTGGATCTTCTCGAGAATGCCCATGGTGTGTGTGGAAAAACAAGGTGGCACCTAACAGTTTCCGCTCTCAGACGAGAACAATCAACCCACCCAGAGGAGCCGTTGCTGATCCAATCTTTTTTTCTCGAATGCTCTTATTTACTTATTACCATCATCAATGTTGTCAATATGCTCATTCATATTCATTTTGCATGGCACGTGATGCATAGTAATAAAGAGACCAAATGATATTATATGTAAATGCATATTGGATGAGAGTCTCATTGGAGTGAATGCAGCAGGATTTGCATTGTGATGGGGTATTGAGAAATGGAGTATTTAAGTGCCTCACGGACAATGGCATCATTTCCAAACCAAACAAGCATGATACTAAATGTGCATTGATGCAAGTGTATTGAGTGATATAAAAAATGCTCTTCTATCTAAAGATCACGCTTGACATACTTCCTTGCAGCAATATCCACTACAACTCGATCGCCTTCATGTACAAATTCAGGTACCTGGAGCTTTGCACCATTTGCAAGAGTAGCCGTCTTATACACTGTGCCCTTTGCAGCTTGACCAGCACGCTCAACCACTGATTCCACGGTATAGGTATGGTTTTGGGGTAGCTTGAAAGTAATGGGATTTCGGCCTTCTTCAGGGGTCGTTAAAAAGCTGACAGTGAGGTTCATGCCATCTATGATACAAGCCGATTAGCACATAGCACATCTTCATCATCCCTACCATTGTTATCCAATATACCTTCCAACATGGCCGCACCATCCTCGCCAGCCTCGCAAGCACTCATGGACATTTCAATCTGATCAAAGGTTTCCGGGTTCAACAAGTGGATGGTGTTGCCTTCAGAATAAAGATATTGCATAGTCTCTTCTTGCATGTTCAAGACTGCCATCATGGATAAAATGTAAGCACGTTTCCTATACAAGAGGATAATACAACTTACTCTCAAGCGAATCGCCCGACTTGAATCGCTCGTTGATCTTGGCCTTGGTCATGAGATCCTCCATTTCGATCTACACGGGTTCATTGAGTACCTTGGTCTCAAGCCAAAGAGACTTGTGAATACCTTGACAACGGCACCTCCACGCCCTGAAGAAGAACTATCGCGGTTAAGTACACGCCACGCCTTGTCTTTGAGTTGAACAACCTGGCCTCTCTTGATAGACTGAACACTGAGCTTGTAGTAACGCTTTGCGATCGACTGGTTAATCGGGACAAGGTGTGGAGTACGAGTACGAGAAAGTGCGCGTGCAAAGAGGCTCATGGTTGCTATGGATAGGCGGGAAGAAGAGGAGGATGGTATTATCAAATCACAGTCATTTCTCTATGCCCGCATCATTTCATCTAAAACTCCCAAATGCATCTTTATTATTAAAATAATTGAATGTTGATAAGATAAAGTAATCCACAAAAGGAATAGGAGATAACCAAAAAGGAAACGAAGACCAAAGAGATGACGGAAGAATAGTAAGAGAATGTTGTTAGTATCAGCAACGAAAAAACCACCATACCCAAATACAAATACTTACCCCCACAAGCAAAGCAAGGAGGGAACGCTGGGATGGACCCAGCTGCCGATGTCCTCTACGTTTCAAGGTAGGGAGGCGGGAAATGGCTGTGCCTTTGTTTTATCCCTTCTATTGAAAGATGTCAATATAAATCATACATCAGATCCAACTTGAAGACTTACCTTGCTGAGGATGATGGGGAGGGGGGGAGAGGAAAGTGCGGAGGCGAGTGACAAAGCTAATGGCATTGGACTTGGTAGCAACAGGTGGCAGCAAGACGTTTGGGAGGGTGGCCAACTACAATGACATGGTTGCAATGAGTACATGGAAGAAGCATAACTTGAATGAGCCAGCAATACGAACCCCCGAGATGATGTGTGTATGTGTGTGTGTGTGTGTGGCCAAGAGAAAGTTGGAAGATAAAGGAGCGTGAGATAGAGAGCGTGTTCAATATTATATATCGTTTCTCAATGAGCACGGTCCCGCGGAAGGCGCCAGAAAAAAAAAAGTCATCCCGTCATTCATGCGTCAATCCACACAGCATCCGAGAGTGCAGAAAAATAAAATAATGAGTCATCTTTATCGCACCTATGGGATCCCCTCGCAGAAGAACAAGATAAGGATAAGAATGACATTTGTTGGGGATCAATGCATGAATTCAGGAGCATCACGAGTGACAAACGGGAGAAAACATGAGTCCAAAAGTATGCCTCGACCTACATGGTCGCGTGTACAAACAAAAAAAAAGTGTCATTGTTGATACTTCATTGGTGTACGAGGAAGAGATAAGCAATGGGTAATACATGAATCCAAAAGTATCAGCAGTGACAAGGTGGGGTGGGTCTCCGATGACCACATCTTGGAGGAAGAAAACCGTTGTTGATGATCCACCATTACTTTGTGAAAAGAAGACAAGCGAGGATGCGTCATTGTTGATCCATTGACGGTTGGCATCAAGGCGTTACAGGAATGTGGAAAGGTCACTGCATGAATCAAAGGATGCCAAGAAAAAAAAAATACATTGTGTCAAAATCTAGGGGTCAATCTCCCCCTCCCCACAAACACAGAATCCCAACAAGAAACACTATTGTTGATGTATGAATCCATTGGTTCACGGAGCTACGAGATAAGGGTGGCGTGTCATTGTTGATGCATGAATCCATAGCTCAATGAGTATACGAAAGTGGAATGTGGCGAGGTCATTGGATGTAGTAAAAGTACCCAGAGTAGCGGAAAAAGTTGTATGCGTCATTGTCTGATTCTCGGCCCACATAGCCAAATGTAAGGAAAAAACTATACCTGATGCATGAATGTATTGGCTCATGGAGTAGGAGATAAGGGTGGCGTGTCATTATTAAGTCATGGACTCCAGGCTCATGCATGAGAAAGGGAGAATGTGAGGGGGGTGGTCAACACAAACAAAAATTATCCTGAGTAGGAAAAGAAATGTCTAAATCTACATCTAGACTCACACGGCCCCACATAGAAAAAAAAGCTATTGTTTGTACCTGGAGTATGTATGAGATAAGGGCGCGTCATCTTTGATGCATGAATCCGTAGCTCATTGGGTAAGGGAAATGGAATGTGGATACCCGACAACAACAAGAATAAAGACATCATGTCATTGTCTCATTCTCGGCCTGCACAGCACGCTGTAGAAAAAAAAACTATGGTTGATGCATGAATGCACTGTCCAAGGAGCATGAGATAAGGGTGGCGTGTCATTGTTGAATCATGGACTCCAGGCTCACGCATGAGAAAAAGGAGCGTGTGTGTGTGGGGTGGGGGATCAACACGTAAACCAAATCTATCACGAGTAGCGAGGGAAAACAATAGAAAATGCCTAGACATCTAGGCCCGTATGGCCCTCCAGCAATAAAAGTTATTGTTTATGCATGAGTACACCAACACATGTTATGAGATAAGGTGGCGTGTCATTGTCCATGCATGGATCCCAGGCTCATGTAGCACGAGAAAAAAGAGAGTGTGGGGACAGCACAAGAGTAACGTGGCGGGATAAGAGAAATAACAAACGCGCCCACATAGCCCTTTGTATGTAGCAAAAAAAAACTTGCATCACAATGATGCATCAAATTACGTTTGTTAGCTTCCCTCCTTCCCCTATCGATTAGCAATCGCTCTCAATTGAAGAGGATAGCAGCAACAAGCGATGATGGTTGACTCTCAATGATATTTCAGTAACGGCATTACATGGATCAATGTACTGGAACTGCATGAGCGTGTCAAAAAAAAGGGATCCCGGAAAAGCAGCAGCATCAACATCAGCAGGTGGAAGTCTCAAATGCGGGCGTCTTCTTTTTCATGCTCTCAAAGAAAGGACTCTTTTTTATCCCATCACAATGACGCATCAGATTACTTCAACTGTTTGCTCCCCCACATTCCTCTTTCGATCATCAAAGGGGAACTCTTTTCTCGCATAGCAACGTATATAAGACATACAGGTTGCAATTGTACCTGTAAACAGCAGTAAAATACATGCATTGATTCTCGACGTATTCTTTCATCTTTTTTTTATATCTCAAGAGGGAGCAAATCATTCGGCCCGGGTAACATGGATGGAGCCGTCCTATTTTATTTCCACGACCACCGCTTCCTTTACATCCATATGATTACATTTGCTAAAACGTCTACCTCGTTTAATAAGGATACCATCAAGGATAATACTAGTCATGGCTGTATGGTGGGGAAGGTTATTTCTAACAATGTCGTGATATAAAGCTTGTAGTGTTGTAGTAGTAACTGGTTTGGTGCTAAAGTTGACTTGTTTGATGTATCATGCCACAAGCTGAGAGTTGCAATGATAGATGGTACTGGTAAACATTGTTGAGTACGAGGATGTAGTGTTGGTGGATGATTCCAGTTGTTGATGTTGTCATGGTGAGCGAGTTGTCGCATCGCAGGATGTTGAGCTGATAGTACAAAGGTGATGTTTGCGATTGAATTGCACGTGATAGTTTTTGTGGTCTTGGATGAAGTGCTGATAGTGCTGTCATTTTACTTCTTGGTGATTAAATGGGCTGGTCATCCGAAGCTATTGCATTCTCATTGTTGATCCACATATATGCTGCATTGTTCAACCATTCCATGCCATGTGCCGTGAACGTAAATACTCGAGTGGTTTGTAATGCATGTTGGATCCATCAGCGTAACATGACCGCAGTTGCCTTGTCAACACACTCCAAGTAACCTGGAAAATGTTTTACCAATATGTGTGGTATCCAAATGAATATACGTGGCAAATACAGCATCCTGGATCAAGCTTACCACGCAAAACAAAGAAAGCATCGAGAGGACTTGTTCTTGTATTGGTGTAGCTCACCATATCCCTTCACTTCATCAACCACTTGCTTTGCATCTTGATTAGATATCCTTGAACATGGCCTTGTACTTGAGCAGCTTCTTCACCGCAATCAACATTCACGTCACTTTCTTGTTGGTTCATGGCGCCATCATCAACATCACCCAGAGGTCGTCTACACATAATGATTCCATGAGACTCGATATCCACAAGCAACGGAGATAGCGTTACACCTGGTCCCTCAACTTCAAGGTCTCTAATGGGCTCGTCGTTGGTGTTGTCAATCGAAATGAGGACAGGGGTCGAATGTAGTGGAACTGACAAGACTGATTTGCTGGGCATTGCTGGTTGGAAAGGAAGGCATTATCGATCGTATACATAGCACCAGATTCCTTTGTTCTTGGACGACGAGCTTTATGTCCCTATTTGCTCTTTTGCCCCTTTGTATGTCCCCGTTTACTCATTAGTGCAGAAGTGAAAGATAATAAAGATAAAAGAAGCTGACTTTTATAAAACGCGTTGTGCCTGTCCTTTTGCGTTTCATGCAACAGCAGCGTTGCACCAGCTGCTGGTGCCTATTCCCCTTCCTTCACTGACAGTTACTACTCGCTTTCTCATTGGCCAGAGCTTACTATCGAGCATTCTTATTCGTAGATATCGCCATTTTATTGGCTGCCACGGCCCCACCCACGCTATCTGAGCCCCTACTCGCGCCGTGTTGAAGGCTTTTCAAATTTATGCAGACGTGCGGCGCTATCGTTATCTCTCTCCCTCTCTCTTTTCTTAAATCACCCTTCTTCTTCCGTAATGTTCAATGAAGAATTACTCAATCGATATGCTTCAATGCAAGAAGCAACAACATGTCAAGCTCGCGGAGGTAACATTCTTTGATCCCTCTTCGCTAGATTGCTCATTGAGACATGTAGGAAAGACAACAACCAAACTATCATACGAGACCCTTACGCGGAAAGCTGATGAAGTTTTTGGTGTTATGAATTGGAGCCAAGAACACTCGCTCATGGAACAGCATTATGTAAGCACCATGCATCCCAAACTATCATGATGCTTACCTTTATAACAGTTAGACCGGAGAAACAATGCATATGATTGTATGTATACGACAAAGGTCAAGATTACAGCAAACAAGAAATCACGATCGGTAAGCAAAGTGGTATACGACAGACTGGATGAGTAACATCCATTCTATTAGTTCCAAGGATGTGGTTTGGTGAAAGGCGCTCCGGACATAGAGACTGCTATCCAAGTGGTAAAATGGATTGGATCAGTGCCATATGTTCACAATGTTAACCAGATAATCTAGGCGCAGAACCGTTCCATTGAGCACGGTGCAGAGAAATGTTTTCGTATGCTTGGTAATTATTTCAACCTCCCACCAGAACCAGAAGGATCAGATACCACTGAGACCCGTGCACCAGAAAATCGACCATTATCATCAACAAATTTGGTTACAACAACCGATTCGATCGATCATCAATCAACATCCAAAGAAGATCAGCGACGCGTGCCAGCAGCAACAGCTCCAACCACATCTGTTAAGATATCCAAACCATCATCGTCGGCACAACATCCATCTGCACAAAACCAAAGCTCTTTATCTTCTTCATCTTTGCGTCGACGACGATCAAATTTATCATATACCACAGAAGACAAGGAGAACCATCCACCAGAAAAGAGAATGAAAGAGACAACTTTCGACATGTCGGATAATCAATCTGACGAATACGATCAAGATGAAGGATTAGATGCCGATCTAGTGGAAGCATGCATGTCCATAGAAGGATCAGCCGCAACCTAGTCAAAGCAATAGTGGTTAGAACCCTTTATCATGCATCATTATCTATCCCAACTACATGACAACTCTCCCCACAACGCCATTAGCACCACGTATTTGTGATTATAAAGAACTTGAAAAAGCGTATTGTAATTGGTTTCATTTACAACAGGATTCATGAAAAACAGATGCTACACCTCTTTGCTGCTGCTGTTGGTACTGGGGCACTCGTCTCTTTGTTTATTTACAGCATACAACTTGAAAGTGCTCGATACGAGGAACGCACATACACCAAATCAGGATAACGTATCATAGCAACAATGTCACATGGATGCTTTTTCATTGGGTATTATAGCAGTTGGCCGACATGTAGCTGCATTGAATTTGGGAAAAGCAGGATCTTTCGTTCCCTGTCTAATGGATGACTAGAAAAGAAAAGGCTATTCTATGGCTTTTGAATAGGACATTGCATCATTGTACACATGACCGTGTTCATTTGAAAGAAATGACTGACACCATCATTGGACGATATATACACCAACACCACTCATATTAATAACATTTCTACGGATCCCTTATCCGTTCTTTGTCGTCTTCAGCAATCCATCCAGATGGAAGAAATAACATACACTGGCTATCATGAAAACGATTTCAATCAATCATCATCGTGATGCTATATATAGGCAACGAAAACAAGGTAAACGACAAGTAATGAGAGTATCATTTTAGAATTGAGCATGTATCATAGCAACTCCCATTCCATATAAGACAACCTTCAGCCTTGAGTGGTCTCCCATCTGCTTTGCAGGTAAATATCAATCGGGAATTTAAAGTGCTGGCTTTAATCTTCTCTCCATAGCTCTCTCTTCTATCTCGCGTCAACCACCACCATTTAAACAGATCCCTGTTGGAGACTTACATTGTCAGCACCACTCTTACGACAAGGAATCGACATCCGATGGCAGTGGCTGCTCTGGAAAACCTGACAAACAAGGATTCTACCAGACCACATTTCACGACACATGTACACTCTCGTTCCCTCTTTCATCACTCAAAGCGTTTTTATTAACAAGTATCCTTCTATATGTACTTTTTCATGAAGACGTGGACATCCTTTCGTTACTGGATTCATCGGTGATATCTTTGTACACGTTGCTCAACGAACAAGCCCATCATACCAAGGCACCGGTTGTTGTGGTTACCAGGTGACCATGGGAATGGATAGGTATCGTTGGTGATAAGTGTATATTAGATTCAACCTATCTCGACTTTATGGGCTCATCTCTTGTTGTTTAGGGATCACATGCAACAACGTCCCGGACATTGTCTTCCTTCTGTTGTGCTTGAACAAGAACTCTTGGATGTTGATGGCGGATCATGATGGGTATGCTGGAAGATATACCAATCCTACGTATTACTCACATAAACCTTTTTTGGCTAGGTACATGGATGATACTCGCTCTTTTATCGATTTGGATACTCTTCAAGTTCTTCATACGCACGTACATCTGAACAACTGCAAGACATAGACGTCAAGTCAACAAGATGATTGTGTAATCCATCCTCTAATCGTGCATACGCAAGCCAACAGTGATGATACGCCTCGACCTGGTGATTATGTTGGAAGTGGCACCGTTCGTACTATGGAAATCAAGGGAGATGATATCAACCCATCATGTGGTATACACGTTTTGTCGACCAGCCATTTAAGTGATCAAGTGCGTAGTGACAATACTCGATTGTTCTTTTTGGTGGGCCAAGGAGTGACTGGTCATGCCGCTCAATGGATTACTATCGGGTTCAACAGAATCTTTTGTGGATAGTGTTACACGTCTACAGCACAACATGAAAGCTACCAAGCTGTGGATGGGTGACTTGGCAGGTCGCGTGGCAATGGTTTTGGGTCATCGATTGGCGCCTTATGATACAATGGGTCGGGATTGCGACACGTCGAAGGATACGCTATTATTGGAAGGTCATAAACCCAAGTTCATCTTATCGGCTGTATGTGAAACGAACGGGTGGTCCTATTACGATGCTCGATGGATCCAATTATCCTGTTCAGGGCACTTCCAAGGCGGTCGGTATATAGTTGCTCATATCGGGTATCCAGGTGGTGGAAATGGATGATGGCAAGGCAAAAGCAAACCATGGAAAGGAATCGAATCGCTACAAAAAAAGCCGTATCAGCTATCAATGTCCATATAGATGATTTTGAAGATTACAATATACAATCATGTCCATACACGCTTTTCTTCATTCTTATGATGGGTATTTGGCAAAGGATGTATTGATGAAAAGTTGCACATGTTTCTCTTCAATTCCTTGTTTGACAGAACTCGTCCTATCATGTGAGCAGCTTTTGGAAGTGTAGCACCATCGGAGACCATCGCCTGCTATTGATCTAAATCGTCTAACACCACCGCACGTGTATCTAGCGATGGCATAGCCATTTGTATCACACCATGTATCAACCTAATAGTTAAAGTGTTATTAATCCTATGTATTATTACCCTGGCTATGTGGCCTCGACACCTTTATGTGTATACCACTTCAATTTACATTTTAGTGGATAAACGATGGTTGAAGAAGGCGTTTATGAATAAGCTTCCTAATAGAGTATACGGAGGGTATATGTAGTACAATCATGCAACGAGTGATAGCCCAATACTGTGCGTGATACACAAGTGAGGATACAACACTATCGTCCTTTGCTGAGTTCAAAATGATTGGTATCCTGAGGTAACTGCATGAAAACTTGAAACTTGAAACTAAGGAAGGAGGTCCTTTATTACGCAACTCCATTTCCAAAATGTCCACTTCCAACGATTTAACCACAACAGCTCTTGAAGCTTTTCGTTCAATGATCTCGGCAAGCGCAGCTACTTCCATGACAACGGCTTTGGAGAAAGAAGAAGCCAAGAAAAGCGATGGTGAACAGATTACGGACGACGACGTTAAGAATGTCAAAAGCTCGGTCGCCGTGAAGAATGCATGTAAAAAGGCAAAGGATCAACTTGAAGGCGAGAGAAAACGTGTACCTAAAGGATTGTATGATATGATGGATGAACTCCGTGGGCAACCTAAAAGCGCTACCAGGAAGGAGATTGATCGCAAAAGGAGTCTCAGGGGCCCTATCTTGGAGGCGCTTGGAAAAGTGGATGTCCACTCAGTGTTCATGGAGGCTATTGAGAGGTTCAGCATCAACGATTGGAATGAATTCATCCCCAAGGACTCTAAGCGTGATATCCGTTATCGAACCGCGTCTTGTCCATTTAATAGCATTATCAAAAAAGGTAACAACATTATGAGTACATCGAGACACCCAATATTTAACATTGCTTGTATGGCAGATATCGCAAACAGGGCGGATATCCTCTCCCGACTACAGACAGCTGCCATTGATTGCACAGACTTGTACAGCAACATGTGCACAATCGTTTACATCAACATGTTGAGATACGCGGTTTTGGATGAAAACGCAACACGCATTTCGATTAACGAGTTGGTACCAAGAGGGCTCGACAAATCGATGTTCGACCAAGATGATGTCAAGGTGACGACATATCCAGAGTCTCCACAAGCCGACACCAAGTTGATATTCACGCACCAGCATCTTCATTATCTGTATTCCAACCATTTCAAAATGGGATCTCGGGAAAGCACGCATACCAATTACCCCATATGGCAGACCATAATGGTAATTAGAATTTGGCTGTCACCAAAATGGTACACAGGTATTGACATTAGAAAATAGGGTGAAGTCACCAAGGAGCAAAGTAGTACCATGTCATATACAGCACATGAGGTGATTCAGCGACTAGCGACAAATCTATCTAATATGTATGAAGATGGGAAGTTGATTCGTCGATTGCTCGACAATCTACTCAAGGTGTTGTTGGATATACATTTGCATGCAAGTGATAACGACGACATCGACATCACCAATCTCGCCATTGAAGCTCCTCTTCAAGTTCATGAAGACACGGCAATACCTGTAGCATTCGATGATCTTGACACCGCTCACGTTTTTACCACAACATCGTCGACGTTGATGGTGCCAGTCGTACCATCGTCGATGTTGGTGCCAGCCGAAGAACAAGGCGTTGCTGTACCTGAGCCTATATCAGCCAAAGACGAGATGGGTGTAGCGTTTTTGGAATGTCCTCAAGAAGATCAAAAAGCTGGACCTGAATCTTCCCCAACATCACGACGATTCCAAAGACAACGCATACGTGACACGTTACGCATGAAGAAGAGAGAGCAATCGAAACTGGAGAAGTTGGTTAGTCCCTCTGACAGTCAAATGAAACGTCTGAAAGCTGTCAAGGAGAGAATTGGAAAACTGGAAGCAGAGTATGCATCGTATCGCAATGATGTAAGTAATACTTTTGAAACCATCACCCATGAATCTAATACACATTCCACTGAAGGCTAAAGAACGTCGGCTAGCGGTTGAGGAGAACATTGTTGCATCTAGCAAAGACGTCGCTGAAGAAATACCAAGGCGAAAGAAGGAGCGTGGTGCATCAGCTTTGCTATATGGTCCTCGAGTTAGCAAGGCTAGATCAAACAAACTGAGAGGATTCCTGAAGAAGACATGCATGCAGAAAGCCGAATTGGATCGGGCAGGATTTGAATCCATATGGGATGGTGACCCTTTGTCTGCATTTGAGATGGATACTATCATCGGCATATACCATATTTTGCGACCTTTGTTGCGTCATGTCTACGCTACCAATTGTTCACTGGCATCGCAAATTCCTTTTTGTTACTTGGCCAACAAAATATTGATCGCAACTGGAAACAAAAAGTTGTCAAGAGCTTTAATTCCGTTCCCTTCAATCGGTGATATTCATGCATTGCCCATTACAGCAACAACTTTACTTGAGATGGTCGGGGACCTTCTAGAAAAAACCGCTTCCGTTACCATAGAAAACGCCAATGATGACAAGGAAAAGGTGTTATCATTTCTCTTCAACATTGACAAGGTCAATGAGGCATGTGAAGCTCGTGGTTTGGTATCGGCGCATCGAATTACGATGACAGACCATGGTATGGCACGTATTCTTGGTGTTGTCAAGGATACTTCTCGTCTTGCTCCAACTTACAAGCCAACACCACAATCCAAGCCGACTCTATCATTATCCAAGCAAGAGATAGCAAATGAAATGAACAAGATCAATGACGCCTTGAAGGGACAATCGAAAGAGATCGATGAAAAGAAAGAGGCTTACGCGAGTCTTTTGTCACAGTGGGACAAGAAGCGCATGGATCTTGGCAACCATTTCAATCCGAAGGATGACGACTGTGTGCGTGCTCAGAAAGAAGTACGAGAATTAAAGCAGCAATTACACGACCAGCAATACCACATATGCCTCCGAGACGAAGAAATGAGAGTACAAAAAAAGAAGAAATCAACGCTTAAAACGGTAAGCCCAGAGGTACATGTAGGAGATCTCATGTTGACTCGCATGTATTTAGGCGTTAAATGCATCTGCAAAACCCCGTCAAACGAAGAAGGATGGCGAGAATGAAAAGGTCGTGTTGACGGCAGGCAACATGCGGTGCTTAGCCCCCTCCCACACCGTGGATATTTCACTATTACATGAAGAAGAAAAGCAACTTGGTTTCATCGGAGTGGATTATGGTTTCCATACCCTGTCTACATCGGTGCCAATGTTGGAAGAGCATGTATCCGCTCATTTGGATCTCATATCATCTGACAAGAAACCTACCACCGAGGATAGTGCCTTTCATGCGCTTGTTAAACCAGTCACAACAAACAATGACACCATCGCCTATCAAACTGGAGAGCTGAGACGTCGTCGTCGCCTTGAAACAAGAAAAAAGGAGGTATGTGCGTCCATTTGATAATAAACCCAGGCTGATACCTTTATAGAATGCAGATGTTTTTAAGGCTGAGACTCAACTTGCAAGTGTATCCATTTCTACGATGGTCAATGAGGATCATATACGACATGCCAACGAGGTAATATTATCGTCACATTCGTTTAACAACGATACTGACAGGTTTGACAGATACGGGAAACTCACAAGGATACACTCAGAGGTTTTTATCATGACAAGTACCTGACACGAGAAAAACGTCGGCAAGAATACAGTGTTCAGAAATGGAAAGACCGTGTTTTGTCATTCGAGAGGAAGTGTTTAAAAGAGGCGTTGGTGGAGAAAGCGGAGAAGTCAGGCACAATATTATCATCAGCAATCTTCATGATCGGTGGTTCCGGGATGGGATACGGCTCTACAATTAAAGGGTTTATGCGTTATGGAGGAAAATGGTTGCGCGTCAAGCATTCCTACAATTGGCCAGTACTTGTCGTGGACGAGTACCGAACGTCCCAGGTGTGTGCGTTCTGTGGGTGGCAGATTCAAAGACCGCGAACGGCAAATAAGAAGAAGTCGCAAGGTGGTTGTCTTTGCATCAACCCGAAATGTGTCTCGTTTTTGGAAGGGCGTGCATCTTCAGGTCGCGACACGATGGCAGCTACCAATATTGGTGTGAAAGGAGTGGCATCAACCAAAGGACAAATCATCAATGGTATGGAGCGCAATATTGGCAGCTTTCTGTTAGCTTCGAAATTGTAGGATATCCCCAAGATTAGCATCAATTTCTTTCATTGTATACATCATTTGTTTTAATGCTTGAACAATATCTCGAACATTTTCGCTTGTAGCCATCGTCTATTATGTACCATCTCATGCGATAGATACGATATTCTTTTTTCTTGTATCACGTTTACGTGGCATGGTTACAGTCATTGTTTGAACCATCTCTCATTATCGAAAATAATTCGCTCTCATTTGAAGAACATAGCAGCAATCAATAGCGATGGATGGATGATTGTGAATGACATTTCGGTGATCCCATTATACATGATTCAGTGTGTTGGAAGTACAAGGGTGCGTCAAAGGGAGGCCATGTAGCAAGCAAATGAAATGTTACATTGCATGCATGTTCGCGCATAAAGAATCTCTCCTCTCAACCGCATTCTTACAAGTATACAAGTCTATATTATCAAAATGATTGTGCTCTGTAATGATGTTACTCTTTCAAGTATACAAAAAAAGAAACCCAGATAAGACATCGCCATCGCAACAGACATCTTCTAGAATACTTCCAAGCGAATCCTTGCAAGCGAATAAAAGCAACATATAAGTCACTATGTAAAAGTAAAGTAAATCTCATTTGGGGGTGGGTGGATGGGTGGTGGGATGAGCGGGTCATTTGCAGCACACATAGTGGTAAGCCTTTCCACACAAAATCGACGTTTACGAGCGAAGCGAGCAGTTGGCGGCCTAGTAAAAGTGTAGATATCATTTCTCTATTTGAAGAACCAGTAATAAGCTATAATAACCATCAATACAATAAAAAAGATCAAATAGCACATGGTTGCTCCACTCTCTTTTTCAGCCATGATCTTAAAGTTGTGCATCGTTCGACCAAGGATCGTTCCAGTATCCGCAAATTGGGTATTCTACAACATGACAATACCCCATGCAATGAGATGACACGTTCACACTTCGTTACCATCATCATCATCATCAACCTACCATGCTATCTAACAAGCTGTTGCCAGATCGGATCTCATCGCCTATTTTACCAGTAATCTACATAGAGACGGGGATGTTGATAAGCCCACTTGTCGTCGTCGTCCATGGATACCATTCTTCCACCACCACTTACACTCTTCAAGACTTGCACTTTGGCTGATAATCCAGTTATTCGTTCATCACTTTGGCTCTCCAGATATTCAAGGTCATGGTCATTGAGCTTTTGTTGTTTGAGCGAGTCGCTACCAGCAGGAGATGACGATCGAGAATCCAGATGCGGGGATGGTGTCGAGAACTGCCTCTCTCCCAACAATGCCGAACGATTATGGAGGTGTTGAAAGGATCTAGTGCATGGCGTGGGTAAGTCTCTGGCACACAGTGTGATGCTTTCATTACCTTACACTACGAGGGCCAAACTGCCGTGACATAAGGAGGTGGAGGAGAAAGAGTTGTGTGTGTGTGACGCAAAGGAAAAGAAAGAATGATTTATGTGGTATTAATCCAGATGCGTTCGGCCACGTTACTTTTGGAGATTCCTGCAATCACCACCCCATATACATTCATTCATTTGATGGCTGCCATTGGCTGAAAGGCTTCATTTGCGCATAAGACATCTTCTCACTCAACGTCTAGTAGCTAGCTAGCCCATATCTTGATTACCCTTTATTCTTGACAACATTTGTAGTATCATCTCTACACCACCTGCTTGTCATATAAAGTTCTTGTTGAAACTCGCATGCGAATAAAAGTCGATGTTCCATTTACGTTTATCACTCTGACAATGAAGTCTGATATTCATTGTCCTCATGTATCCGCTGCAGCTTATCATTTGAAGAATCAGCACATGCACGCTGTTGATGGCTATTCACGTTATATGACCCATAATAATTGATTGGGAACAATAATAGGCAGCCGGATAACGTGTAAATGTTATGCATGTACAAGTTGCATTGCCTATAGATACATCCCTCTCGTATCCTTGTAATTACAATGCATACAAGATACCTTGCTCATCGCCAAGCCAAATATGGGAAGAACGTGGTAAAGAAGTTGTACGGGGTCCATGCGATTGGAAGATTTCTTTGCGAGTCTTATCATCACAATAGCCGATGCAGAAGGGAGTTGCCATAGCAACCAAAAAAGTGCCTAATTGCAATTAATACGTCAAAGGAAGCGTCGTAAGGATTGCAGAAAACTCAATGAATGTTGTCAGTAATGTAATGCACCTAATATCAGTAACATGCTTTTGAGCCCTGAACAATGGAATACTTGGAAAATAAGATACCCGGCAGAAAGTAAGACTAAAGCGGAGCAGTTGAGATGTCAGTCATCATCCCCCGCTTTGAGACATATATAAAAGAGGGGTGTATGTTGTCTTTAATTGGTGCCTGCCCATTCATCCATCCCATTCCTTTATCTCCCTTTCTCTCTCTTTTCTATATGAAATACTTTTTGTCGACCTTCGTTTTTGCACTTAGTACAGCAGGATTGGCAGCTGCTCAAGCATCTGCTGGTGCTTTTTACATCACAGCCCCACTCGAAGGCGATACTTGGACAGCTGGCACAACGTATGTTGTTATGAAATTGCGCAGTAAACAAACATTAATACCACTTTTTACTTTATTCTTGGCAGTGAAACCATTAGTAAGAATTACATATACACAATGACGAGAGCAAAGAATAGCATCAATTGATTAATTGCTCCTGGTTGGGGTCATGTACAATAGAATGGATCAATGGGATGAATCAAAACATTAGTATCAATCTCATTGAAGGCAAGGACAGTAATAGCATGGTGTCTACCGGCGACTCTATCAATGCTAATGGAATTAGTGGAACTGCATCTTGGAATGTAAGTTTTCGCGTGTGATAGTATGTGTGTCACAAATGCCTTACGCACGTGGCATATGCATCTTTTATGGAAATTGTTGGTGTAACCCCCGTTATACAGGTCCCTGCTGATATCGATACTTCTGGACGTTATGCCCTGCGATTTGATTACACCGACAGTAATGGAAACGAGTATGTTACTGCGGCAATAGAATAGAATTGAAATGCCAAGAATGATTTATTTATGTTTTCATCTATCCATATAGTGCATCCTCCTACTCGGGAGCTATTAAGATCGTCAAGGGATCCTCCTCCTCGTCATCATCAGCATCAGCATCAGCAAATAGCTCTGCTTCTCTCTCTGGTTCTTCCTCAGCTATCGTTACAGCATCTCAATCATCGACACCTCTATCATCCGCCTCAGCTTCAGCTTCTAGTGCTTCCTCAACCCAATCCTCATCATCAGCCCAAAGCACAGCCCCTTCATTACCACCCAATCTCAAACCTTCTCTTGCCGCATCCACTACACCCGAAGCTATCCAAGAAGGCTCGGCAATCAATAACAAGGTGGCCGCTCTTTCCATTGCCATCCCTGCTGTTCTTGCTTGCACCCTTTTCTAATTGAATAGACATACCATCTCTTCATCCTTCTTCCATATCCACTCATTTATACATGCATTATTCGTAGCCATACAGATAGAACTTAATTCATGGACGCAATTGATCTCTTTTTGATTCGTATACAAGAAATTGAGGGAGAAAATAGATGCTGGGCGGTATTGGTTCGGAGCAAGTGGTACATTGTAGATGATGAAGATAATGATGATGATGATGATGGTAATAGGCGAATGATGTAAAGGGTGATTTAAAGTAGGCCGTCGTTTCGGAAAAGCATCATGTACTGGTAGCCTGTGTGAGCTGAAGTGAAGTCTTGGTTGCTTAAGCCGACATTTTCGTAGTTGTATTCGTATTCGCATGACAATTGAGCTGTGGGATGAACGACAGATTCGACAAATTCGCGAAACAAGTCGGCTGCTACATTGGGTGCCGAGCAAGGATGATAACTGATCTGTGCCATGCCAACAATAAGTTTCATTCTTATCTTTTCCATCCAATGCATACTACACCACCACAACCACCACAACCACTACTCACCTCTAGTAATAGTCCTTTGTAGGTCGATCCAAGAAGAATATTGGCGACTCGCAGCGTGAAATCACCAATCTCAAAGCTTGTACCCTAAGAGATGGAATGAATAAACCATGTTTCCTTAACAACGTCATGCTTACCTCGATCATCACGCTTTGTCGCATTTGCCACAAGTTCTTCAACCTCGAAAGGATAATCTCCAACTCTTTTTCAGCCTCGACAACGACACTGCCATCCACCATGCAATACACTTGTCCTGGTTGCTGGCCCAATGTCACCTGATACATAAGCTTGTTATCCTTGCCTTGTGAAGACTGCTGATGGTGCATCGCTGAAGATAACGACGATGAGGGATTGGATCGTCCTCCAGTGCCATGGTTGACGTCACGATACACCTTGAATCCAAGCGACCAAGGGCCTGTGTTCTTGCCATGAAGGGACTTGGTGACATGCTCTTGAATATAGGTGAAATCACGCATGCCGGTTGCATTCTTCCATCGCACTAAACTATAATGTAGTAGTTCATATCGTTAGCTACATGCCTTGTTAGCCTGGACACGGAGAGGATAGACTTGCCATGTGACCACCATTGGTAAGAACAAAGACGCGGTAGTGCTCTTCTGAGAAGAAAGGAGGAGGAGGAGACTGACTTGGAAGATTAGGTCGCACCGACCATTGGATCCACTACCACCACCACGCACATGGACCTGTCATTTCCCTTATGAACACATGTTCCTTGTATATAGCTCTTTCTATTACATCTCTATAATAATACATTCTTCTCCTTACCCTAAATAATGCTTTGTCCACCTCGAGAACAGGACCATGGCTGTGTAAAAGGAGGATGTTCATGGCGTTAAATGGTCATAGCATCGTACATAGAATGAAAAGGAGCATGACGACGACATGATGCAAATTCATATCATTTGATTCGAAACGCTGTGGCAAGTTTAAGATGCCAATGATGAAGCCAACCTTGTACATCATAGTAGGTTGAATGTAGAAATTAACTCATCACATGATAAGCACCCTATTGCATAATAAATCCGTTGTTGACTTCCACCATGATGATGATGATTGAGTGAGAAGAGGCATGTTGGGTCTATGCACGAGTGCATGGGGAACACTATGGAGAAGCGGTAGGACATATACAAAGAATAACCCCATGGGACTAATGTAAGCCATGAATCATGTTGGAAGAGGGAGGAGGAGGAGTCAAGTCTATGTACGCAATTCCATCATCTGCAGGAAAGTGCACAAACCACAAGGAGGGAAATGGAGAAGCCGCGTTCCTTTACAGACCACGAATTTTTCATTGAGGAGAAATGGAAATTGAGGAAGATCTGCCGCCGGGGCCCGTGCATTGGCTTTGGCTTTAGGTGATGATGGAGGTGGTCCTTGCTTGTGCTTTGCATAATTCAGATGCTCTCTTTTTTCCCTTTATCTCCATACTAGCTATCATATTATGCATCCCTCGCATTCATCAATGACCTCCTCTTAGCTTCTTTGTTCTGTATTGTTGAATGCACAATCATGAGGATTATGTATATGCCGGTGCATGTACGCGTGTGCTCTTGCATTTGGCCTAGCAACCAGCACATCCCTTACCTCTCCTTATGTTGCAAAATGATTTGATGTATATCACATGAGCTCATGTCCACAATCATTGGAGGTGTTTTTGAAGGACACTTTCAATCAAAGGCTAGTAAAGATTTTGCATTGGATATGATGTATCTATAGATCCGATGGATTGATTGATCGGTTCATGAGGTGCGAGTGATCGAGGGCTACCCCGATACATTCCCTTAAAAGATAGGAGAGAAAAGGCGATCATACAAAAGGGAAAAATCTGGTAGGCGGAACGGTGAAGCCGACTGAAAAGAGAAGAAGATTGTGCATTAAGATGAAAGGGGGTCCAAGGAAGAAGAGTGAATTTGGAAACCCTTTTGCCGTATTCGTGGGCAAGCCGATGCAGGTGTATAATATCTCTTGGGGGCGGTTTACCACCACGGGCACTCGGGAGACAAAGAGGTATAGTAAAAAGGGATGTCTTTTTCTCCCCCAACTACCTCAGAGCACGCACCTCTCTTTGTTTCCTTTCTTTCCCTTTTTTGGCTCCTCTTCTTTGTTCTCCATGAACTTTGGTCTATGGACAAAGAGAAAGAAAAGGCGAGAAGGGGAAAAGGAGATACTGAATACCACCATGGCACCATCACATAGACCAGTAACTCACATACACAAGCGAGCACTCAAATGCTGTTTGACTTTTTTGCTCCCGCTACAATACTATTTTGCCTCGTTCCCTTCATATTCGGATCCATCATCTTCTTCTCTCCTCAAGGGCAACTCCTATCGCTTTTCTCTCTCTCTCTCCAAGATAGACATCTTCCTATTGCGAACCTTAATGCCTTAGCAAGGAGTAGTCTATGTTTGATTGATTGAGATCTATACTAGGTGAGGAAGAAAAAAAGACGAGATGATCAGATGTAGCATAGATGATCAGCATTGTTGTTTGAACCAATCCAACTTTTTTGTTGTTGTCACACGTTGTCTGTGTAAGTTAACAGTGCATTGCATCGCTTGGCATCAGCAGCAACAGCAACAGCAACAGCTGCTTAATGCTTGATCAATACATCACACCCATGCATGTGGCTATCACCTAATAGAATCAACTCGGGATCGGGATAGTAATGAAGGGTTCTTTTGCTCGCATGGTCAACGCCGAAATGAATTGGGTGGTGCTGGTGCAAACCGGTTTTCCTATAAGGTGCTGATTCATTTGTTGGTCTCCTACAGGTACAATTATAACCACACCACGCCATCTATCTTTTCACCACAAACGCATCCTAATTCAACTCAAAGGAGAGCCCATCTTTTTTCATGTCGGCTTGCCGGTTTGCCATATCAGGGAATCCATCACTGAGAGAAATGGCAAACGTGTCGTAGTAGGTTGCTGAGTGCCATCTTGGCATCTGAAATTGTATGCCATTGTATTGGTTGCCCCATTGTATGAATCATGCATCTCATTCATGGTAAATGCATATCCATTGTGGTGGCCCCAAATATGGTAACAGCAATAGTACAACCAAAATGATTTGCCCAAAATCCCTCAACCAATCCACAAAGGTTAGCAACATTCCTTGAGCTATAGAGGATGGCAAACATCGTGGTGGAGATAAATTTTTCAAAAACATGTGTATTCAAGACATCCATCAATGACGCATGAAGCAAATGTAATTGGATGCTCGTCCTCGTGTCAATGAACATCAAGAGATGTGGGTGTGTATGTGGCATGGCGTGGTCTTTGTCGTGCAATATTGCTTGCATACATGCAATTTGGTGCGTTGTATATTATTGGAAATGTAGTGTTCCGTTTCCCTTTAAGTTTGATTTGTCCGTGACATGCATGCGATCTTTCTAAAGTGCGAACATGAGTGTGTGCATGTGCTGTGTGATTTTGATGACCATGGCCACTCGATGAAAAAACTCCATTGTCAAGCTGTGTTATCATCATGATCTCTCACACAGACACAACCAAATCTTAACATCCCTATGCCCTTTTTACCTTTTGAACGATTGAATTAGCGTATGCTAACATGTATGCGTACGCTATGGTTCTCTAAACCGAGAAACACTAGTCAGCATCTCCCCTTTATCTTCACTCGCTCGCCCCTTCCCTTTCTTGTTCCACCCATTTACAAATAATCGCCTCCCACACAACCACAGAACAAAAGATCCAATTCACTCCCCCTTTTTCTTATGAGCCTCAAATGCCCTGAGGTGTAGTGGGGTAAAATAATTGCGCAAGAACGAGTTGAAATAGTGCAAGTGTACATCCCCTGTTCCCCGCTCGTCCCATCCACCCACCTCAACCGCATACGTACCCTGGCATAATGAACCTACATTGAAGGAGACACGCTAATGTGGATTGATCGGTACTAAATATACAAGCGAAGATTGTCATGGCAACCAACCACTTCTATCGCGTTTAACGAAGATGTTTTATATACATAGATGCGTGGCCGAGTGATTGTGTGATAGATCACAAGTACTTGCAGCCATCTTTTAAAAGCGTTGGCGTGTATGTTTTTGAGTATAAGCAATAAACTATGTCGTTACAACCCCAGATCAAGAAAGCTAGGCACCTTATCCCTAAGATCTGCTCCACCCCCCAAGAGCCAAAACATATAAAAGGCGTGGCATTTGTACTCGGATCGGACAGCATCACATCTTCCCTTTCCGCTCTTATTCAACTAGTTATCCAACGCCTTTTTTTACTCTGCAAATTAACTTTTTCGCACAAACATACCCATAATGAACAGTAAGTTAGCATACCTGATGTTAGCGTTATAGCAGTGCATTGACTTTTACATTATCCTTATAACAGTTTCCGATATCTTGAACCCATCCAACGCTTCTTCATCAATCACAGAAAGCCACAGCAGCAGTAGCAACGTATTGCCAATGCTTCCCAACCATTCCTCGTTATTGCACATCCCATCCACTTCAATGCAACACCACCATCATCATCAACCCATGCTTGAATCATATGGTCATTCTTTGCCACAAGTACATAGCCATGGCAACAACGACTTGTATCACTATTATGAAAATGATCATGACGCTTTGCATGGCAGCGAAGGATATGGCAAACCACGCAACCGATTCACCGAGTATGAGGATGCTGTGATTTGTGAAGGTGTTGCCAAAGGCTTGACTTGGGGCCAAATCTCTGCACAGCTTCCCAACCGTAAGCGAGCTACGTGTTTCAACCGTTATCGTACATTGCAAGGCATTCGTAAATCCCGACGACGAGTTAGCAGCTTCCGTATGTCGACATCGCCCTACATGGTTACTCCACCAGCTTCACGACGTGCTTCTATTGTCTCGTGCTCTACCCGTGGCATCAGCACACCTTCTCCTTCGCCTCCTCTTCCATCGGCAACATGGTTCCCCTCCAAGAACAATGCTACAACCCCTTCACGTCATTGGGTGCCTGATCTGGTGATGGATCGGTCGTCCTCATCATGGTTGGATGATTATCATCCTCATCATGGTGGTAGCATTGGATACCGCTTTTAGTTGCCATGGCAACTCTATTGGTGTTGAAACGTGCATGCATGTTTCCTCTTACCATCATCATACGCATTCCTCCTCATCATCACTCTTTTCATAACAGCCCACCAATTTGACTTTATATTTTTTTCCTTCACCATTGTTGCATTCCAATTCATCTCATTGCCCACCCACCCAC